GTTTATACCGGAAGTGGGGGGTAGGAGGGGGGAGGGGGTCTAAAATTTTGTTTTTGGGACCTATTTACCATGTACTATAACATACCAAAAGCGCGTCAAGATCGGTGACATACGTGCGCACGGTTTTGTAAAAAAGTATTATTTTGACCCATATACATAAACACGGCGAGCTGCGGCGCTATTATATTGATTTTTTCAGCAGTCACGCTCATAAATGCACTCGTTTTCTATCTCTCTATTTCTTTCTCGCAAAGTCAACGACTCGCGCGTCTATTATGCATGGCTTAGACTATATAGACTTCATTCAACTTAGCCAGTGCAGAGAATACTACGAAGAATACGACGCTCTCGCGCGCGCGCGCGCGTCAGTTGAAGAGTCGCTTGCCTTTTTTTTCTTTGACGTCTATATGCTCGTCGGTGGTGTTGAATCAATGACTGCTATAAACCAGGCGATTATCTAACTCTAATCGTCCTTGAGTGCTGCCGTTTTTTTTTAAATGTTTTAAATGAAACTTTTTTTGATGCGTTGGTTGTTGCTAGTTAGCGAACTCGTGAAATCCGATAAAGAAGATGAAGTATTTTGCGCGCTGTGATTTTCCAGCGTAGAGTTCTGATAGTCCACAGCTTGCTCGTTTGGTATTCACGGATTAGCTATCTGCGCCCAACGCTCCTGAAAAAGTTTAACTTCAAAAAAGTCTCGTTTTTTTCTCTAAAAATTCAGGCTAAAATTAGGGCCGTATCAGCAACCGCTGAGCCTTTGCAACGACCTTGAAATAAAAGGCCTAATCAAACATAGAAGGCTTTTTTTTTATTGACACGCGCCGCGTCGTACTGAATATTTCATTGGGCGCTCGAAATAATCGCGATTGCATCGATCGATACCAATATGTACCTGTATATAAACTCGCGCCTTCGGCTCGTTTCTAACGAGTCATTTTGCAAATTACCGCCTCGACGCATTATGTATAGCTTCCTGCGCCGCGCGATGAAATAACTGCGGCACACAATGCACGCGGCACACCAGCACGCTCTCTCGAGTACTATGTAATACATACCTGTATCTATCGCAGAGCCGGCAATGATTTCTCACCATGCGCGAGTGCGAAAGGGCAAGGGGCGCGTCGCGCGCGCGAGTCGTTTACCTGCTATTAAAAGCTCTCTCTCTCTCTCTCTCGGCTCGAGCGAGCGGCAAAAAAAAAGTCAGCGAGAGAGAGAGCGGTTGCTTATGCACTAAGGGCGTGGCTCAGCTGTCCTCATTGTTTAACGTTTATATGTACGCGCGCCGATCGATTCGTCTCGTCGTCGTCGTCGTCGTTACCGGCGACGAACCGTTGAGTAGAACGCCTCGATGCTTCGGGAAGGTTACTCGGGTTACATTCATGACATGCACTCACACATCAAATGTACTCTCGGGGATGACGTACATTCGATATGACCGGCTCATCTTTATCTTTTTTGCCCTCCCAATAGCGATGGACAGTCTGGACGAGGCGTCGACGGCCCGGGATAGCGCCGTGCCATCCGAAGCCGATCTCGGCCAGTCGCCCTCGTCGACCACCACGACGACACCCTCGTCGATTCTCAACTATCACTGCACGCTACCGCCCCGTCAGCCGCCCATGCTGCAGGCGGCCTGTAGCAGCAGCAGCGGATGCAGCAGCACCGAGACACCCGTTCCGTTCGACTTGGCGCTCCTGGGCAGTCTGCAGGCCGCCGACCAGCACAGCTCCGAGGAGGAGCTCGAGGTCATAAACGGGCCCAACAAGGTGGGCCCCACCCCGGCCGAGGTGGTGGCGAGCAGCAGCAGTCGGCAAGTCGTGGCGCCGACGCCGGTGCGCGCGAGGCCGACCACCTCGGCGCCCGAGAAGCGGAAGTGGTCCGAGGCCAATCAGCAGCAGAGGTCGAACTGCGACGAGGCGGACGTCGGCACGGCGTACTCCGCTCCCGTCAGTCGATTAGGTAGAGAGACCGGCTCGGGCTCCAGCGATGAGGAGGTACACTAGCATCTTTTCTATCCACTTGCTTTTTTGTAAATTGAAATTAATACGTTGCTCTTTTTTGTCTCTGCAGATCCAAGGACTCTGCTACAGTCGAAGCGGCAGCGCGTTCTCGCAGCCCGTGCAGTTTCGCAGCTCGCCGCCCCAGGACGCTCACAGGCCGGTGCGCTCGTTGTCGCCGCCGCCGAAACTGTTTCATGCCTCGGCCTCGGCCGCCGTGGCTGCCATATCTTCCTCGTCAAATTTGCACAGACCTCGCTCGCGGCCGAGGCCACATCATCATCAGTCCCAGCCGAACCTCGAGCCTCATCATCATTTTTCCTCGCATCACAGTCACAGTCAAAGGAGCCATCAGCAGCAGCAGCAGCACGATGAGCCCGTCGACATGGACGTCATGCCTGCGTGCAGTCCGAGAAAGAGGCACAGGCCGCCACACAAATTGCCAAGACCTCGGCTGGATTTCGAAAAAATGCAGCAGGTGAGCGATTCTGACATTCTGAACCAAATTCGACGCATGTATATAGATTGTGCAATCTTTATTTTCTGCATTATTTTCGCGAGTTTTTTTGACGGCTTTATTAATGCATTCGGTTCGTTTTTCCAGCTGAAAACACAAGCGGTAACGAGGTGGCGACACACGAGCGAGCACGGAGGTGGCAGCGAACTATCGGTTGGCTTCTGCTGGTGAGACCGGTGAGCCGTGGATCCCCGTAAGGGTTCACGGTGACAGCCCGAACCACAGCACCAATGCCGCGCCTAGTATTGTCAGTCTCGGTTGTTTACATCTCGTCGCATACACACACCAAGTGAGCGAGTGTCATCCTCATCGTAGTCGAAACCAACACTACTTCGTTAGTTTTAGCTCATTGTAGTACGTAAATTGTGTCATTCGAGTTGACGCATGTAGTACGTACGAAAAAATAACGTAATTTTGCATAGGGACTTATTACGATCGAAGGGAAAACAAATTCTGCTAGTAATACGATATACGTAATTTCTTCCAATCACAATGACGTTTCTAGTGCTCTCGTTCTTAATCATTTTTATCCATTCATATAATAATAACGTCATAATGTATTAACGTAGACTTTGTGATAATTATTATTTTTAATTGCTCTCTTGACGGAACTAAAAAAAATCAATTATTCATGTTCTAAATTTGTTTTTAAACCTACGAACTTTCATACGTAAAGTATCAAAATCGCATGTTTCTCGCTTTTGGAATAAAAAGTGATTGCAGTAAATTAAGCAAAAAAGCAGCAGAAAACATGGTAATATATTCTTCTAAGCATCTCCAAATCATGAAATTCTATTTTTCGATATCGCTCGTGCAAAAATATACATTTATCACATAGTAAACTTAACGAAAAATGATACTACATGTAGAAAATTTAAGAGCACTGGATGTCAAGTATAAGCCATTGTAAGTTTCTATATGAATGATTTTCTTTTATTAAATAAATAGTAATACGGCGCCTCTTTGAGAAAAAAACATTAAATGCGAAAACAAACGAAAAAATGGACGTATAGAACTGATATGAAAGGAGAGTTTTTTTAACCTAAAATTTGTAAAAACAATAATAGGCAGCTGAAGCTGCGAGAGGCATGACTAGCAATCGAAGTTGAGTATGTTGCAATTCAATTGTATAGATGTAACTACAAAATTTTTATATCTTAATTGTATTATTGTGATAATAAAAAATTAGACTACGAGAAACATTTAACCGGTTAATTAAATTAGCGTGCATTGGTACTTGCGTAATATCGCTATAATTTGTTGAATAAACTGAGGGGCGAACTGTGCAAGACTTGGTTACTTATATATTCAGATATTTGTATTTGTTATAGGAATGTGAGTTTAAATGATGTAGGAATTAATTCGAATAACGTTTGCTTTAGACTTTAAACTTCGTTAAAAATCTTATCGTTCGTTTTACATCCAGAAAAAGTTTTCATTGAATGCGAATGATTTTAATGAATTTTTTTTAAAGAATATTTACGTTTTAGTAGACTTCTCTAAATAGTTCGAATTCAAAATTTTTAGACTAGTGATATTACACTACAATGTGTACATAAAGTAGCATTTTCTGGATGTAAACGTTTTAATAAAATAAATTGTACTTTTGTCGTGGACGACGATAACGTCTTTTAGTTTAATGTTTTATACTGTTTAGAAGTATTTACTTATACCACTGTAACGTTTACAAGAGTGAGATGTATAAAAAAATTCTTGAAATGTTTTTTTTTCTTTTTTTTTTTTCATTGTTTGAAAAGACTTGACTCACCAAACTCATCTTGAAATCATATTTACTATTTTCAAAGGTCTCAACACTGCAAATTGCCGATCCATGTATTATACTTTATTTTGCTATGTAATACTTGGCAAAAATTTGTATTTTATTTCAGTGCAATATGACTGTACGTGTTTGTTAATTCAGAAATTTTCAAACTATAGTAATCTATATCTGAAACTAAATTGAATTTCTAAAGACGTGGATGATCAACATAACGCAATAGCAGAGAAATTCTGACAATTTTTTACAAAATATTGAAATACCACTCTTAAACTCAAATATTTAATCGGCTCAAAGAATGTGCACATTTTAAATCTACATACAATAAATGAAAATTTACAATAACGAAGAAAATAATGAATTCTTCATTAACATCATTTTGCGTATCTGATGCAATATATTGCCGCACTTGCCATTATAATCAAAATATTTCTTTTTTGCATTAAGAAACATTCATGATAGGTAGTAATTTTCATTCGCTTGTACTGTAGAAAAGAATGAGAATATATTAAATCACCGACGTTCATTATAAAAAAACATCCTCTGTTCATTGCTGCATTAACTATTAAGTTTTAAAAGATCTCGAATTTTACTTTTACATTAGTTTTTCTCCGAAAGAGTATCATGTCATTTTTATCGATAATTATAGTAAGGTATAAATCGACGAATGAACGTGTGTAACGTTATTATTAATTGCGACAATGACGAATATAATCGTGTAGATCGATATTACTCTCGAGATTTTCAAAATAGTCAGAAACAATGATTTGTAAGGATTATTGCCCATAATTATTCTACAATAATTGCATGTATAGGTATGTGTAAGATGAATATTATTATGCATTGAAAACAATATACAAAGGCATCAGTGGAAAGTACAGATAACGTTTTTAAGTACAAGTATGTATAATAAAAAATACAAAAAAAAAGAATTATCCTGTGTCATGCTGGATACCTCGACGATGAGAAAAAAAAAGAAAATAAACGAACTTGCGTAAAAAAATATCGTATCCGTTTTTCTTTTCTTTCAACCCTACTCGTATATCGACGATCGGCCTACGCAATATCGGAAACGTCTGCTTATATACACGGCATTCGAAATACCCGTTTAGAGACTCGCGTGCTGACAGTAACGAGGCTCGTGAGTCGTGTGCTCACGGAAGGCGCGTCGCCGGCCGCCGTCGTCTACCGCTATACACACGCAGAGCTCGTCGGGTCAGTCTAATTATAAAACGGGCTCTGGTTGTGTGTACGTGTGTATAAGGCGACTGGCGAAGCGAAAGCTCTTTGCCCTTTTCTCATTGAAAGTTGCGCGTGTCTATATCATCTCTTCGCTCATCGTAACAGTCGCATGTAACACGCGCGGCGGCGACTGCTGCCGTCTCTCTACTCTCTCGATTAATTATTAAGCGCGATGGTGAGATGTAAGGCCAATCGTAAGGCCATGGCCGGACAAAGTTGCTCCAAGAATGAAGCCAAGGAGCCCTCGGACCAGCAAGACTGTTGTTACAAGGTACGTACAAGAAATAGTAATAAAGGCAAAATGTCAAACGTGTTCTCTCACGATCGTCGTCGCAGATGGTGGACGACAAGAAGCTGCTGGGCCGTCACTACGTGGCGACGCGTCGCATCGAGCGCGGCGAGATCGTCATCCGCGAGGACGAGCCGTTGCTCCAGGGACCGCCGCTCGAGACCGAGTCCATCTGCCTCGAGTGCGGCGATCGACTGTCGAGCGGCGACGAGGGCGACTTCCGGCCCTGCGACAAGTGCGGCTGGCCCCTGTGTTCGCAATGCGAGAGCCACACCAAGCCCGAGTGCGAGTTCACCCAGAAGTACCACAAGAACGGCCGGGTGCAGACCAAGCCCGTGCCGAAGATGGCCCATCCGGCTTACAGGTGCGTGACAGTCATCCGAGCTCTCATGCTGAGAGAGACCGAGCCCCGAGTCAGCGAAAAGTTCATGCGGCTCTCGGGCGATTGTCGAGCTTCCGACAAGGACGACCATCTGACCGTGGCCAGGTTCGTCAAGACCTTCTTTTCCAAGTACGAGGAGAGCGTGGAAGAGATCGCTAAAGTGTCGGCCATCATACAGGTGAGTTCAATTACGTGACAGCAGCTCCATAAAAAATATTCTATAGCTATGTTTTGTTTTGGAGGACGTAAAAAGCCTCGTTTTCTCTCAATTAAAAATGTAGCGATTCCGTGTTTGACAATGTCAAAATCATTCGAAACTTTTCTCTGACTCTCTTTCTGGCTTCGAGACATCGATTAATTGAAGAAAAATCCGCTATTTTGGCTTCGTAAAAATAATATAATTTTGAGTGAACGTTGAGCTACCCTATCTGGTAGGAAATTAAGCACTTGAAAAGCTCAGATGACCAGTAACTAGTCAGTGCATTTTTGACGATTTTAGCCCATTAATTATATTATTTTTTATCGTTTCTACGATAATTCGCGAGTAAATTTTTTTTTTCATACCAGCGGCCCGAAAGTGACTACTTCCCTGCCGCTGCGCAAAGCGGGAAGAGCGATTTTCGGGCCACTGTGTTATGAAAAATAATATACAGGCCTATGCCGCGAAAAAATCGGCTTCGCCTCGGCCACTAATTACACGTACTCTGGGACTTTTCTGTTTTTCGTGGCCTAGGGCAGTAATATACTATTTTTTGATCAAAGAAAAACAACTATTTGTTTCATGCAATCTCCTTGTTAGTAGAATGGTGGACGAATGTAAAAAGCTTCTATTGGTCTAGGAGCTTGCAGTCCCGCGTGGGCGCTATCGTACGCTTCAAAAGAGCGCTGTACGAATATACGATATATCATAATCGTCGAGTATTTTAAATAAAGGTATGCACAGGTGTAAAGGATAATGATCAGGTTTGAAATGTTCTTTTTGAGTGAAGATTCAGTAGTATTTTTTTTTAATACTTGAGCAGTATTTTTACATAATTTGGTAACACTTGAGAAACTAAACATATTATTAAGTATGAACATTTATATACCGAACGTGTATATTAATTTATATACGTTCATCAAGTTGTAATGCGTGAATGATACACTATATCGACGTGGACTTTGAGATGCCATTTTTTGGTGAATTTTGCAAATACTTTCAAGTTCACTTATTAACATTATGGGACGCTTTAACATGTCGTGTAAGGTGAGATCGGTGTATAAATATCTTTCCACATAAATCGCATGTATGTTTGACGCCCTTGTGAACTGCATTAACATGAGTTTTGAGATGACTCTTTTGTGTGAATGTCTTTTCGCATGTTTCACATGCATGGCTTACTTCATTATGCACCGAACCGATGTGTTTTTTGAGACTACTATTGTCTGAATACGTCTTTGGGCATATATCACATGCATAAATAATTTTATTATGCACCGATTCGATGTGTTGTTTAAGATTACCTTTCTTTGAGAATTTTTCACGTGTATTACAGGAATGTGTGACACTGTTGTGTACCTCTTCAATGTGGCGTTTGAGGCTACCCTTCACTGTAAATTTCTTCCCGCAAATATCACATGTATGAGCAATTTTATTATGCACTGCGTCAATGTGGATTTTGAGATTACACTTTTGGACAAATGCTTTTGGGCATATATCGCATGCATGTGTGATACCATTATGTACCGAATCGATGTGAATTTTGAGATACTTTGATGAGAATTTCTTTCCGCATATATCACATGCATGAGTGATGTTATAACGAACCGAATTGATATGGGTTTTGAGATTACCTTTCGTCGAGAATTTTTTTCCACAAAGATCACAAATTGACTTAACACCATTATGCGCCGAATCTATGTGAATTTTGAGATTACACTTTTGTGTGAATGTCTTTTCGCATAAATCACAAACGTGGGTCTTATCAGTATGCATTGCATCGATGTTTGTTTTCAGGTTAGATTCGTTGTTCAACTCTTTTGTAATTTTTCTTCTTTTTTGATCGACAGATTCATTGTATAATTTCAAATTCGATTGTTCTGTGACGTCACTAAAACACTCCTTTTTCACTTCCGTCATGGTTTCGGTTTTCATTATGTTTTGTATTTTATAATTTTCACTACTATCTTTTAAATTCAGCAAGTGATCAGAAGAATAGTCGTCGATCTTTTCAGTCACTGATAAATTCAAATTGGGTTTGACGTCTTCGCATTCAAATATTATTTCCACTTTGTTTTCAAGTTCATTTTCACGATGCCCATTACATTTTGGAAGGCTATGGATCTGTTGAAAAATTATAGCAAAGTGAGAATTTTCAGTGAAAAAAAAATACAATCCGAGTTACAAATAGTTATGATCACTTACCAAATTTTCTCGCGGATATTGTAATAGTTGGATGTTCTTAAAATCGGGTTTTTCGTAAATTAATTCACTAATCAATGTATCGCTAGGCTCCTCTTTTACTCTAAAATAACTCCAGTAAAGTTAAGTATTAGGTTATGATATTTTTATACTTTTATTCTGATAGAATGAAGATTACCTGACGGCGCAATTAATTATATCTCTGGATTCCATCTTCATTAAAGTTAATTTACGATGCGTTTTGCAATGATATTACACCTATCAAACTAACTGAATACGAAAAAACAAGTGAACCGTGCTGCGCTATGCTCGCTGTAATTGTATATTGCAAAGTGCCTGTGCGAAAAAACCTCGGCCAGGTTCGCACAGCTGACAGCGCCCTCCGTGTAACAAGGTGATGTGGCTGATGGCATGCACAGCAAAACACCGCGCCGAGCATAACCCTGAGATATTATGTATATCATGCACGACGTAAACAACAAACCGAGGATTGGTGCTTTTCGTCCGTTTTTTTCGGGTATAGCAAAAATCTATGAAGTTATTATCAATGTAAACAAAGCAAAATTGAGTCATTACAATTATATTCAAATTAGAAATTTGTCATCTGCTTTTGACCCATTTTTTCATGTATTGTTATGAATTATTTTCGATCGATCACAAGGGACAATTTTTTTTGTCTCTTTTAACGACTAGCCTCTTAACAGAGAGATAATATTTATTTAGACGTGATTCCCAAATGAGAAATTTAAAAATTATTGTACGATACACGATGAGCAAATAAAAATTTATTTATAATGTTGGATATTCAAAATCTGGTGCAATGTCTATATTTTTCAAGTGTTTCGAAATATTCTGAGAAAGTTCACGCGTATTTTTCGGTCGATTTCGAACATTCACTTGAAATTATAACTTTAGATATTCCAAAACCAAAAAATGAGTAACAAAAAAGTCTCGACTGGTTTCGGAAATGTTGAATATGGAGTCAGTACAATCATATAGAGAACAATTAACTATCGAGAAAGTATTGTTTGAAATTGCTGTTGCCTCCATGAACAATTATCAACTTTTGTTATACAAAAACGCGTTTTACACAGATAAACGCGCACGAGTTGCCGATCTGCGAGCCGGCCCAGATAGCCGTGTACGACCTGGCCTCGTACCTCGAGCACAGCTGCCAGGCCAACTGCTCCAAGATCTTCACGGACCAGGGGGGTCTGCTGATCCGCGCCTCGGACACGATCGAGCCGGGCGAGCACCTGTCCATCTGCTACACGGACCCGCTCTGGAGCACGCAGAGCCGCCAGATGCACCTGCAGGTGACCAAGAACTTCGACTGCGGCTGTCGGCGCTGCCAGGACCCGAGCGAGGCGGCGACCTACTTCAGCGGCCTGCTCTGCCCGTTCTGCGAGACCAAAGACGCGGTGATGGTCCGAGAGAAGGTCGACGATGGCACCGATGGACTTGGCCAAGGCCAGATGGCGGAGGAGAAACTCGAGTGCGCCAAGTGCCGGGACAAGCTGGACGTGGCCAAGGCCGGCCTCGACGATCTACTGCTGGAGATCGGCCAGAAACTCCACAAGCTCGAGAAGAACAGCGTCGAGGCTTGCAGGGGCTTTCTCAAGGAGCACGAGCCGCTGTTGCATCGCAATCACTACTACATGGTCGACGTGAAGATGGCCCTGGCTCAGCTCATTGGCCAGGAACAGGGACGCGGCCTTGGCCAGATAAGCACGGACCTGCTCAAGGAGAAGATTCAGCTTTGCGACGATCTCAGCGAGCTGCTTCTCACTTTGGCGCCGGGTGAGTTGACTTTTTTTTAATGGTCTTTCCTCCTTCTTGCAAAAGCTAACCGAACGGCATTTTCATGACTAATTTGCAGCCGAGCATCGAGCCAGAGGTACCATCCTGTTTGAATTATCGGCGGCCTATGCGGAGTACGCTCGACGCGAGAGCTTGCTCATGCCCGTGTTGCTAAAGGTTACTTTCATAATCTATCACGTCGTTTTTATCGAATACGAATTGATTTATTTTTTAATAACTATCTCTAATTAATTAACCGCAGGAGTCGAAAAGATCGCTGGATGCAGCCTACGAACTGCTCAAGTATGAGCCGGACTGTCTGCCGGAAGGCAAAATCGCCATGGCCGCGAGGAAGAATCTCGAGGAGCTCGAACGCGTCATAACTCGCTTCGATAAGATGCGTCTCAATCCTCCAACGTTCCCGTGATAATTTCTGTAAAATAATTTATGTTTAAAGATGAACGATTCATAAAATTAAGCATAAGAAAATGACATGGTATTTATTTATACCAATAAGCCTTGTACAAAGAATATCATTATGATATTATTAATAATTATTATTATTATTATTATATCTGAGTATATAAGCTTTATTGTAGTAATTAAGCTTTATCTGTAAACTGATCCACAAGAATCAATATAAATTTTCGATTCAAAGCATTTATTAATTTTACCTGATACTAGCGTTTTGCCTCGCTCAATAAAGCTTTTTCGCAGAAATCTTCCGGAACGAAGTCGCATTCAAAGTAAATAAAAAAAAAAATTCGTCAACTCACTATTAAATGTATACCGAATATGCTGCATTCAGTTGAATGTTGTTTCTACTCTACAAGTGAATAAAATTAGATTTGAGTGTATCATAGATGAATATTTGAGTTCCGCAGTTTCTGAAACCTTTTTTTCAAAATAAGCACGAATTCAAAAAAAAGAAAATGAACGTTCTTGGCAGCACCTACTCGCATCACACAGACCGAAAAATAACAAACAGAATACAGACAGAAAAATTGCGTCCAAATAACGTTTACGGATAATCAACAGCATTACCATAAACATATTCCTCTGAGCTTATAAAGAAATACTGCATTCAGCATTGATGAACAATATACCATTGGTCGGACACAAATATTACCATGTAATTCGCTCTCGTTTGATTATGATGTTGCAGCGAGGCCAGTGTTGGTATATGTAGTAGCCGCCGGCCAGCTGTGATTTCAAGTCATGAACGCTTTGCTGCGAAGTGGCGTGCGCGCATGTTGGCAGATCTCTGCTCAGTTCACGTTCAGTTCGCAGTACGGTTTACGACGTCGCAGCTTAATAGTCCAGTGAAAACTTACATGAAATTGCATTTTGTTGGGGAGAGATGAAACCTAGTCTACTTTATGTTTTTGGGTGCGCTGAATTCATTGCCGATGTTATTTTTTACCTAAAACATCAGCGTCAGGGTGAAAATCGAGGGTGAAAGAGTTTTTCGCTGATATCTCGCGAACGAAGCAAGATACAGAAAAACTAATTGCACCAATCGATTCCTCATGAAATTTTACATCGAAATACACTTTAAACTTTTCAAGTGTCGGTGCAAAATTGTTCACAATATTGAAAAATTAGTTTACAGCGGTCGGCGGTAGTGGGGACCTGCGGCGCCGCGTGAGTATCTATATATGTCGCTTCCCCTTCGCTGCCGGCCCGCACTACCGCCGACCGCTGTAAACTAATTTTTCAATATTGTGAATAATTTTGCACCGACACTTGAAAAGTTTAAAGTGTATTTCGATGTAAAATTTCACGAGGAATCGATTGGTGCAATTAGTTTTTCTGTATCTTGCTTCGTTCGCGAGATATCAGCGAAAAACTCTTTCACCCTCGATTTTCACCCTGACGCTGATGTTTTAGGTAAAAAATAACATCGGCAATGAATTCAGCGCACCCAAAAACATAAAGTAGACTAGGTTTCATCTCTCCCCAACAAAATGCGATTTCATGTAAGTTTTCACTGGACTATTAAACAAAAATATATCGTCATATCGATTGCAGCATCGTGATTCTCGCGAAGAAGTAAAGTATTTCATAGTGTAATATATTGTGTTTGTGTGTGATTGTGCATAACGATGTCTTCTTCCGACGATTCTGATCAATATGACCCGAATGTCGCACAACTTAACAGACGTGTCGATGACAAAGACTTTTTAAATGAACTGAAGAGTATACGTGAAATAATCGATTGGGAAGTCGAAGATGAGCGGGATAAATTTTTAGATCATGTTCTATTTTTGATCAGACATTGGAAAGGCCAACTTCCGAATCTCCGAGATATCTTTTCGACCGAAGAAATGGATTGGCTTCTCAGGGAAGATATTAAGAACGAAAAAAGCCAAATTTATAAACAATGTTCGTTCATCGACTTTGCGGTTAGAACGGCTTACAAGGACGAGCCCGAAATTGATGAAAACGGACAGCCAGTGACGAGGCGCACGACGGCACTGCACTGGGCGGCTAGAAGCCGCTTTGTTTACGGCTACAGCGTTACACAGCTTTTTAAAATATATGATAAAATAGATCTGAACTACACCGACGAGTCTGGTCTGTCACATTTTCACGTAGCCTGCACGTTTAGCCTTGACAACATAGTCGATCAATTTCTTAAGCTCGGACAAGATCCTAATCTAATTTGGCAAGAAACAGGTGATTCACCGCTTCATTTTGCTCTAAAAGACGGGCCAAGCAAGGTTATCAAAATGTTGCTGCGAAATGGTGCCGATCCCAATGCGGCCAACAAGGACGGATGGACACCTCTACATATTATTTGCAAGATAGAAAACAGTAATACGGATGATAGGCCGAATCTATTCTTCAAGATCGTCGACGAGCAACATCTAACGGTGCAGATTGATGCCCGGGACAAGTTGGGTCGGACACCACTGCAATGGGCGGTGGCGAGTATTTTGCCAAACGTGGTTGATTTACTCTTGGATCGTGGCGCTGATTTGACTTGCTTCGTTTTCCCCACTGAGAGTTACTATGGTGAAATATATGGCCCGCTCAATCAGCATGACGATGAGTTTGCAATTTCTCTAGCAGCTAACGCCCTGATCACCCTCGAATGTCTGGAGAAAAGAGGATATGAACTGAATCGAAGCGACACTCTAACAATCATGAAATTTATCGACAAATTCGGAGCATTGTTCGACATGCCAACGGATTTTAGCGAATATTGGTACAAGAATAAGAAGTTTGCGAAAGAAGCGAAAAAACTCATGGTGAGTTCGAGTCTGTCGCTCTACAAAGTGGTTCAATTATCAGTTGAAGAGGCGATAAAACTAATCGCTTCTGAGGACTGCTTTGAGTTCGCGAACTCGGATTATCATTGGAACTTGCTCGAAGTGCCCAGTAGAGCATGTGCTACTCACCTTATCGAGATTATATTGAGAAAATTTTGCCGACGATGGGCATTGGAATATTTCCTGGATTTAACGCGTTATCGGCTGCCGATTCTATGCTGTGAAATGATTATCAACCAGCTTAGGAACAAAGATTTGTATGACATTTGTTTAGCGACTGCGGGTGAAAATTCGTTACAACGAGATGCATATATAAAGAAATTTCTAACGTCTTATATTTAATGTTGTCATTTTTCCATATCATACAGATAAATAAATTTTTAAATCCAAAAGAATTGTTCTATTTAGTTTCTATTTAATAATACTTACCTTTCAGCTTTTATGTTAGTTTATAGGAAGTACCGAAAACTCACTGAAACTGATACGCCTTTACTTTTGTTTAATACTGCTTTGATAAATGTTTTGGAATTTAAAGGATCTCGATAATTGATCATAATGTGAAATTAATTTTGAATTTAGTCTCTCGTAGATACTTTTTAGTGGGCGCGTAAGACGTCGCAGTTGCAGCGAGTGAAGAATTGTCAAAAAAGGCGAACTTTATCAGTTGTGCCGACGACACACATCTAAAAAAATAATCCTGACTCATTAAATAGAATCATCGAGTTGAGTAAGCTATGCGTGGAACTCAAGGGCGCAAATTAAAATTTGAAATTTTATGCGAAATTTTTCATAGATTACGAATATTATTTTCTCAAGGCCGTGGGAATAGTAGAAAAGGTTTAAAATCGCAATTGTACAAATGAACAATAAAAAAATACGTTTCTTTAAACTTTTCCGAGTTAGTTTACTTTTTTTCTCAAAATAACGATGATTTCTAACAGTTATACAGTATATACGATAAAATTAATAATAAGCAAAATACGGTTCGAGTTTAAGTTGGCAACTTTGATTCGATAAAACAGATGAGTAACAGACATGATGTAGTCGCCTTGTCTTTGTGCTAAAAAAAGATTCATTTTAATTACTATTAGTAGAAACTCATGACACCGCGTATGTAGGCGGTTATGCGTACCGAATATCTACGTGTTAAGTTCCAGTTCACGTTACGACGTTGCAGCGTAAACAACGAAACATCATTTCATCGACTGCAGTCGGTGATTCTCGCGAAAAAAGTAAAATATTACATATTGTTAGTGACTGTGTTGTCGTGTGAGTGTGCAGAACAATGTCATCTTCTTCTTCTTCATCTTCTTCGTCCCCCAAAGATGACTTTTCAAAAGAACTGAAGAGTATACGTAACATTTTCTCTTGGGATGTCGAAAAAGAGCGATCTATACTTTTCGATCGCGTTTGGTTCTTGATCAGAAATTGAAAAGGCCAACTTCCAGATTTCTATAACATCTTTCGGCTCAAAGAAATCGATTAGCTTGTCACGGAGGATTTCAAGAACGAATGCGACCTGTATAATCGAAAATGTTCAATCACCAAATTCTGCTGTGAGATGATCACCAGCAACTTAAGTAACGAAGATTCATGGCGTATTTGTTCAATATCTGGTGGTATTGAATGTTGCCAATTTCCTGTATCATTTCAATAAAAAAAATTGAAGAAATCCAAATATATTTTCCTATGTAGATTCTGTTTAATATTGTTAAACTTATTTGTGAGGTTTATTTCATTTTCAAATTGCTTATTCTTGTAAGAACACCCTCCTAAAATTTTTTACATAAATCCCAATTCTAAGTTAGTAAAAGTCAGAATTGAGTACATACGCTTACACGGCGCTCAATGATAGTTCCCATTTTTAAATACGTGTTTCTTTCTCAAAACCATGATGTTTACTGAAATGGGCGGCAAAATTTATCAAAAAATTAATCTAGATATGTTTGTACTATTCATTTAGTTTTACAGTCAATTAAAGTTAGTGTGCTAAGATAATTGTACTTTTATTACTTTTTTTCATAAAGTAGCTTATGATATATTTGATAAATACCGAAAAATAGGGTACTTTATTCATTATCGTCTAAATGAATTTTTGTGTCTCTAGATGAGAAAATCTTTTTGATAAGTTTCGAAGCCGCTGACATACCTCTCCGTTTTTCAATTTATATGTTAATTAGTTTAAATTTAAAATATTTTGATAATTGATCTAAATTAAATTAAATTCTCGATTAAGTTCTTGCAGATACTTGGCGGTTTATCTGTATATTAGGGAGAACTTTACCATTTGTTAGTGGTAAATATTTATGAATTTTATGGGGAATTTGCTTAGAGATGAATAAATAGGCTAACTCGTAGGAATGATTGAAATTGTTGGAATAAATAATAAAATTTATATTTTTAAGTTTTAAGTTTAATGTGTTTTTATTTATTTTGTAGCTAGCCTTACGCTGCTGAGTTAAAATAGGTTTTTTATTAAACTTAATGATATACTTGAATTTTTTCATTTTCATGCTCAAATTCGAAATTAATTGTAACAGAATCGTTCCCACAGACGTTTTATATTTTGCAGCTGTTCTTGTGTAGCTTATTTTAAAATGTCTCTAAAAGCCAATTTTGAATTTAATTTTAATTATTCCTTATATCAACATTTTTTCTGTTTTGACTCAAGAAATTAGAAAAATATAAACAATATACAAAAATAATTTTTAAGATTCAATTACAAAACAATAACTGTGGTATCCTATACGTGAACGTACATATAATACGAGGGAATCAGTAGATTGTTCAAATATTATTATGTAACACCATTTGCTCGAAATCGTTATTAATTAAATCAATTTATTCTCTTGTCAATTATTTTTTAGATGTGACCCCTTGATCTTTGTAATAAAAGTGAAAAGAACTTTACGAGCACATTCCGCTATTTATTTTTTTCTTTTGTAATTATCAATGTACGTAAATTTTTACTCGCTGCATAAGTTACGTTAAAAAATTTAAATAAAATTACAACTTAAAAAATTAAAATGATTTAAATTTTTTATTTTAATTTATTTATTTATTTTAATGATGTGAACAATTTGCCAATTTTATAACAACGGACATGATGAACTAATGCATAGATGAAAAACTTTATCGGACTCGATCGGTCCTCGTACCAGCATCAGTCCCCATCGGCGAAGAAATCTTCTCGTTATTATCTCGCACAGGTGTGCAGGACACGCTAAGTGCATCAAATTGTCCGAGCGCCAGAACTCGTGAAATTCTCTGAATGTGGGTAGGTTATCCGTTTTTACGGGTCCTAACTGGAGCCCATCGTAAAGCGACAGGCTCGGACGTATCATTAGCTTTTTTGCAATGCTCGGGAACTTCTCATCGTACCAATTTGTGCCAAGATCCACCGAAATTTTGAACAATCCAAACTTTGCGAACAACTCTATGATCGTCATGGCGTTTCTCCGATCCAGTTTGTATTTTCTTTCCTCTAGGTGCTCGACAACGGCCAACGCGCCACACATTAGTTTCAATTTTTCTTTCTCCGGTTGCAAATCTAGTCCATAATAATGTTTAGTGGGAAAAACGAAGCTAGACAGGTCAGCGCCACGATTCAAGAGTGCATCGACAATATCCGGCTTGAGATTTGCCACAGCCAGTTGCAGCGGTGTCGGGCCTATTCTACCCTTGACGTTGACTCGCACCGGCTGCTGGATGTCATCGCAGATTCGGAAGAATTTATGTACCAAGCCATCGTCGCGGCTTCTCGTGCAAACAATGTGCAAAGAAGTCAAGCGCTTGGCATTGAGTAAGTTCGGATTGGCGCCTCTTCTAAGCAGCAATTCCATCACCTTGTCCACGCCGCGGCGCTCGATTTTCAAAGCCAAATGCAACGGAGTGTCACCCTGTTTGTTCTGGGCATTGACTTGTAGCGTTTGATGGTGCTCGTCGCAAATCTTGAAAAATGATTCCACCAAGCGATGGCAATCGAAATCCGAGCATAAAATGTGCAGCATAGTCAACCCCTTCGCATCGGCCACATTTGGATCGGCGCCGTTTCTCAGCAGTGATGCGGCTATCTTCTTCAAATCCAGCCTCAGAGCCCATTGAAACGGCGTCAGATCGTAGTTGTCTTTCGCATCGACTCGCACCGTCCGATTCATTTCTTTACTGATCCGGAAGAAAGACTCTACCAAGGTGACATCATCGAGCTCACCATCGCCTCTCTGACAAATTAGATGCAAAGGTGTCCAACCCTTCTCGTTGGCCAAGTTCGGATCGGCGCCGCTTCTCAGCAGCAACTCGACTATGAAGTCCGATCCGTAGTGCTGAGTGCTGCGTATGCGTTCGTGTAGAGGTGTGTTACCCAAGCTGTTCTGAGCATTGACTTGCACCGGTCGATGTTTGGCGTGACTGAGCTCCAACAACATCTCCACCAATTTGTAGTCGTCGTGGCTCGTGCGGCAAGCATAGTGCAGAGGAGTACATCCCTCGTTGTCGGCTATACTCGGATCTGCGCCCTTTCTCAGCAGAAATTGGACCAAGTTTTTGTGGCCAACAGGCACAGCTAAATTTAGCGGCGTGCTACCCAAGTTAGTCCTGGCATCGATCTGCTCCGGCTGATATTTTTGCTTGCTAAGCTCGAACAACATCTTCGCCAAGCTATAATCGTCGCGTTTTCCACCACATATTACATGCAGTGAAGTCAATCCCGCTACATTAGCCAAATGTGGATTGGCGCCTCTTCTCAGCAGAAATTCAACCAATTTTCTGTGGCCATAAAGCAGAGCCTTATGTAGTGGTGTCTCATTATACTTGTCCTGAACGTTGACTTGCAATGGCTGATATTTGGGGTCGCTAAGTTCGAATAACATCTTCGCAAAGGCGAGACAGTTTTTTCTCATGGATATAAAGTGAAGAGGAGTCGACCCGGCGGTATTGGCTAGGTTCGGATCGGAACCATTTTTCAGCAGCAATTCGCTCGTAAACCAGCATCCCCGAGCGAGGGCCAAGTGTAGGGGTGAATCACCTGTTTTTTGCCAGATGCAATTAGGATCCTGGCCAGCCTCCAGGAATTTCTCGACGACGTCGTAATAACCAAACTTGCAGGCCACGTGAAGATGAGACAGACCAGACTTGTCCGTGTAATTCACGTCGAATCTATTAAATATTTCAAAAAGTTCGTCGAGTACGATATACTTTAACAATCCTGAGCGTTTAGCCACGCGATGCACAGCTGTAGTGCGACGCGAGCATAGTTTGCCGCCTTCATCGGCGTCGGGCTCGTGTCTGTAGCCTGTCTTGGCCACAAATTCGACGAATCGTTTTGCTATACGATATTTTTGATATCCTACATAACTCACGGAATCCAAGAGAAGACGATCGATTTCTCCCTTCTGAAAAATTTTTTCAAGATTTGGAAGTTGGCTCATCCATCCCGTGAATAAGATGTCAATTCGAACAAGAAGTTCAAATCGCTCAGTTTCGATCTCCCAATTAACATTTTCTCGTAAGATTCTCAATCTTTTCAAGTGGAGCTGGAAAAGGTTGTCCATATTCTTACACCGAATTCGTCGTTCGACGTGGCGTCGCTCTGCACATTCACACACGAACACAGTCACGATTAAAATTCAAGATATTTTATTTTTCACAAAATCACTAGTTTCGGTCGATTTTCCTTTTATTGTTCGCGTCGTGGCACCATAATGTTTTAACTATAAATGCACTGCGGTCTTCATGCAGTGTAAGTAGGTAACACGTGGTCGAAACTGCGTGAGTGATACTCGTTCAACGTCGAGGCGTCAATTAATCCGTACAGACTCACTCATGAGCGACAAAGACATAGAAATACACGAGGACGCGCTACGGAAGTAGAAACTTTCTAATTAAGCTGCTGTTACGTAAAAATTGGTTTGAGTGGTAATGCAGCTCAAACGCAACACCATACCCGCGAAAATCAAATGTGTAAAATGTAGATTACTAATGCTAAAATTTTAATTATTTTTTCGGTCTTTTAAACATTTTATTAGATTAATGATAATAATTGCACTTTTACAAAGTGAAAAACTCGGTGCGAAAAAAGTGAACTTTTTGGTTTATTTGTGATTTTTTCTTATGAAAATTGAATATTTCAGAAAATCTGATATTACCATTGGAAAGCTGAGAAAATTTCCTACCGAAAGCATAACTTCATCTATTTTTTGAGCCGAATTACGAACGAATTTCGATTGTATAGCTGTGCAACGCTAAAAACCTCAAGACCGCTCTGAACACAGAAAACGCAGAACAGAGCAGTTAAAATTCGCTTGTAATTTTTCTGTATCTTGCTTCGTTCACGAGATATGAGCGAAAAACTCTTTCACCCTTGATTTTCACCCTATGCCTGATGTTTTAGGTAAAAAATAACATCGGCACTGAATTCAGTGCACCCAAAATCATAAAGCAGACGAGGTTTCATCTCTCCTCGCAACGAAATGCAATTTCATATTGTAAGTTTTCACTGGACTATATTAATACTATACCATAAAGAACTTCGCGCAATCTAAGTGCAAATTGTGTTTTACTATAGTTTTCTGAAATATTTGGGGAGACTTTTAAGAGCACATGAAATAAATTCCATGGGTAGCAGGGCCGTAACCAGAAAATTTTTTCGGGGAGGGGGGGGGGGGGTTGACCCCNTTGGGGGGGGGGGGGGGGGGTTGACCCCTAAACCTCCCCCGCTGGGTACGGCCATGATGGGTAGAGAGCGCAGCAATGTTTATTTGATCGTTTATATGTTCACAGGGCTAAAGTAGCAAAATAATTAAATTACAATGAATTACAATCGAATCAAACTCATGAGTTCATTTTTTTAAATAGATTTATTTGACTGATGTAGAAAAATATATATATGACATTAAATATCACTAGGCATAACAAAATACTACAAGTATGCTTATCGTCATCACCAGTCTTCGTCTTCGGCCGCCAAGCAAACATGAAATAAATCTTCGTGCGTGAGATCCTCGAAAATCATATCGCAGCATCGAATCGACAGTGGCTCTTGCGTCAACTCCATGAGAGAAACCCGCGCCCATCTCCGGTAAAATCCTCTCGACATTATTTCGCACAGATGCGCAGAACCAGTCTCACGATGATCTTGGAAGAGCTTTTTCAATTTACCCGGACGCCAGAACTCATAGTAATCTGCGTATGTAGGCAGTCTTTCCTTCTGTTCCGGTCGCAATCGGATCAGATCGTGGAGCGACAGGCTCGGGCATATAAATAGCTTTTGCGATTTGCTCACAAATTCCTCGTCCTCGTACCAATGCTCGTCGAAATTCACCGGTTTCTCGAATACTTCGTAATTGGCGAACAATTGCATGATTGTTAGGGCGTCTCTTCGATTCAGCTCGTATCCTCTTTTCTCTAGCCTCTCGATAACAGCCAAAGCTTCAGACATCAGTCCTAGTGTCGATTTTTTTGCAAATGATTCAAAACTGTCACCAAAGTAACTGTCGGTGGGGAAAACGAAGTTAGATAGATCAGCACCACGATCCAAGAGTGCATCGATAATATCCGGCTTGAGATTTGACACCGCTAATTGCAGCGGCGTCCGACCCAAATTATCCCGGGCATCGATTTGCAACGTTTGATGTTTTTCATCGCAAATGTCGAAGAATATCTTGACTAGGTCATGAATATCGTGAAGAATCGATACGTCTCTCCTGCAAATGACATGCAGAGGAGTCGATTCTTCCTGGTTCGCTAAATTTGGATCTGCGCCTTTTCTCAACAGAACTAGGGCTGCATTCTTGACGCCTTGGGTCGCGGATTGCAATGCTAAGTGCAGTGGAGTGTTACCGAAATCGTCTCGCGCGTTGATCCGCAGCGTTTGATGATGGTCGTCGCTTATCTTGAAAAGTACCTCTACCAAATGATGGCAAGTGTGATCCTTGCAAAAAATGTGCAAAACAGTCAGTCCGTTAACATTGGCGAAATTCAGATCCGCGCCGTTTCGCAGCAATGATTCGACTATCTTATTGTATTCTTGCTTCCGAACAATGTGAAGCTGCGTGTGGCGCTTATTGTCCTGGGCATTGTCTTGTCCTGTTTGTTGTTTTTTCTTGCTACTCTTGTAAAGTATCTCTGTGAAATTGTCATCGCGGTATCTCTTGACAAAAATACACAAAGGTGTCAAACCCTCGTCGTTGGCTACATTTGGACTGGCACCATTTCTCAGCATCGATAGGACTAAATTTTTGTGACCGTTCTCCAATGCCAAGTGTAACGGGGTGTTGCCGAACTTGTCCTGAGCACCGACCTGTATCGGCTGATATTGTTTGTCACTGAGCTCGAATAAAATCTCCGCCAATTCATAGTAGTCGCGGTTATTCCTGCAAAGAACGTGCAGAGGCGTTAATTCATCCATGTTATTGGCCAAGTTCGGATTTGCACTCTTTCTCAGCAGAAATTGCACTAAATTTTTGTGGCCATTAGTCAAAGCCTCGTGTAGCGGTGTGAAACCCAACTTGTCACGTGCATCGACTTGTATCGGCCTAAATTGGTCTTTGCTCATCTCGAATAACATCTTGGCCAAATTGTAATCGTCACGTTTGCCCTTGCAAATAATATGCAGTGGAGTCAATCCCTCCGCATCGGGTGTAGTCGGATTGGCGCCATATCTCAACAGAAATTGGACTAAACTTCTGTGACGACCAGAGAGGGCCAAATGCAGCGGTGTCTTACCCAAATCGTCCCGAACATTGACGTCCACCGTCTTATTCATTTCATCGCTGATTTTGAAAAATAGTCTCGCCAATGCATCGCAGTCGCTGGATCTCTCGAAAATAACATGCAGCGGAGTTGAGCCGTCCCTGTTAGTCAAATTTGGGTCGGCGCCTCTTCTCAGCAGCAATTCGGCCAAGTTTCTGCTGCGACAAAACAGAGCCGTGTGTAGGGGTGTTTGGCCCGACTTGTCCTGAACATTCACCTGCACCTTCTTCTGGTTTTCGTCACTCGTCTTGAACAATAGATTCACTAAATTGTCGTCGTCTTCTCTCTTGCAGACGATATGCAGAGGCGTCATGCCCTTGGAGTTGGCCAAGTTCGGATTGGCGCCGTTCCTCAGCAGCGATTTGGCCACCCTCTTGTCGCTACGGAGCAGAGCCACGTGCAGCGGTGCGTTACCCAAAATGTCCTGAACATCGACGTTCAATGGCCTATATTGGTCGAGGGTGTACTTGAGTAACATCTTCACCATGTCGCCATTGTCTCTGTCGGTGCAAGCGATCTCCAGCGGGGTCAATCCGTTGGCGTCGGTCAAATGTGGATTGGCGCCGTTGCGCAGCAGCATTTTGAGCAATCCTCTGTGGCCACGAGACACGGCCCAGCGTAACGCTGTGTTACCCCATTTGTCGGCAGCATTGACCTGCACCGGCTTAAAATGGTTTTGGCAATTATCGAACAAAACGTGCGCCAGTTCGTGATTGTCGAGATCCCCCTTGCAAATGATCTGCAGCGGAGTCAATCCCTCCCGATTGGCTAGGTTCGGATCGGCGCCTCTTTTAAGCAGATATCTGACATCGTGCTGGGTTTCGAGGTTCAGGGCTTGCACTGCGTAGTGCAGTGGTGTATTGCCCAACTCGTCACGAACGTTGACAAGTACCAGCTGATTTCTTGTATCGTTGTAATAGCAGAACACCTCCAGCATGAGATCATCGTCGTCACTTTTAAATATCATGTGGAGAGGTGTCGATCCCTCTGCGTTGGCTAAATTGGGATCAGCACCTTTAGCCAGCAGACATATCGCAGTGAATCTTTTACACCCGTCGGTGAGGGACCAGTGTAGCGGTGTGTTACCCGACTTGTCTCGAGCATCGACCGCCACAATTTTCTTGAGCTGTTCTTGGATCTGGAAGAATAGCACCATAAATTTGTCTTCGTAGCCAATCTTGCAAATAATATGCAGACAAGTCGACCCCACTGCATTGGTCAAATTTACATCAGCGCCTCTTCTCAGCAAATATTCTGCCATCTTCTTGTTGCCCCAGATCAGAGCCAAATGTAATGGTGTGTTACCCCACTTGTCTGGGGTATCGATATGCGGGAGAGGATTTTTTTCGTTATACATTTTCGATAATACACCTGATATGCCTTTAGCGTTGCTATCCATGCAAATTAAGTGCAGAGGAGTTAATCCATCCTCGTTGGCCAGAGTCGGGTTGGCACCTGCTTTAAGCAGTAATTTGACTGTATCCTTTTTGTCGCAACGCAGATCTTTCGCCGAGTCATTTTCATCATTGTAGTCGGCGATCTGCCGATCGGGAGTCGTTCGTATGGCGTTAGCCAAGAGTAGGTCGTCGCCAGTATTCAGCAGCCACTTGACGGACTCTATGCGTCCGTTCATTTGAGCCATGTGAAGCGGCGTATCACCTGTTTTTTTCCAAACACAGCAAACATCTTGTCCATTTTCGAGGAATTTCTCGACGACGTCGTAACAACCGAACTTGCTGGCCACATGTAAATGTGACAGACCGGACTCGTCCGTGTAGTTCAGATCAAATCTGTTGTAAATTTCAAAAAGCTGAATAACGAGATCATGAACGACACTGAAAATTTCGTATTTATTAACATAATGCACTATTGTGGTGCGACGCAACAATGGCTTGCCGTCCTCGTCGATGACGGGCTTGTCGGTGTAACCACTTCGCAGCAAAAATTCGACGAGTAGGTCAGGCTCGATCACGTTGTCATTTACAGACTTCATAGACTCCATGAGAAGCCAATCGATTTCTTCGGACCGGAAAATGTCGTGGAGGTCAGGAAGTTCGCTCTCCCAATCGCTGGTTAATGGTTTGAGTTGACGGAGAAATTCACGACGCTCTTCTTCGATCTCCCACTTGACATTTTCTCGTAAGCTTTTTAATTTTTCCAATTTTGTTGGGTTATCAATACTTAAATCGTCGCTGGAAGTAGACATCGTTTTATGCACTATATACAAACACAGTCACTAACATAATTTAAAATATCAACTTTATTAACGAAATTATCACTCGATGCAGTCGATGAGATCGATCTTTACAGTTCACGCGGCGGCGTTATAACGTGTACTGAACGCGCACTGTTCCACGCAGGCTATTTCTGTATAGAAAGTGAACATATGGTGAAAGCTACGAGACACACATGTATGATGTGGCGCTAGCAATGAACAGAAACGATTAGAATCAAATATTCACTTACAACGTACAAAGCTAAATGAGGCAAGCAGTCACGAGATAGACATTACTAGTTGAGGCTCAAATTTCTCGAAAAAAATGTCCCACTCGGTATCTTTCCATATAGTCTTCTGTAACATCTCCCGCTGAATTTGAATTTTCATGTTAACAGGCTCAATAATGAGTTTAGAATTATTCAAACAACTTTTTTTCTAACAAATGGTCAAAAGTTTTTTTTTGACCAGGTCACGCCTTTTTAAAGTTATTTGAATTATTTTAAAGAGAACGAATTTTTCCCTTGAAAATTGATAATTTTCGAGTTACTTATTACTTAACAATTAATGTTGCAAGAAACTCAGAAATGGATAATTATAACATTGGACTAGTACAAGTGTTCAGAGGCTTTTCAGTTTTTCGCTTCCTAGGCACTTAATTTTCTATTTCGATAAATTTCGTATAATTCTCTCAATGAGAGATAATGCTCTCTATTTGTTAATTATGATACTGGTGGCATCTTTGCTAATTGTTAAATGTTAATGATACAGATTGTACAACAGACGGAATCAAGGTTACCTAGTCAAACTAAGTGTATCAAGACAAAAAATAATAGCAAGATTTCATTCATGTAATTTATTAAATTGATACACAAATGCAAACATTGCATATGAAATTGTATATTGTTGTTTATTTTTGAATTTTGTATGTTTTTACATATTTTCGCCTATTTTTACGAATTTGAACAACATTTTTACAAACCAGAGCAGTTACAACGCTCAATTTCCAATATTCAGATGTTTGTACAAATGTAAATAAAAGAGTAACTTGAATCATAAGAATTATTGTTTCTAGTTTCTAGTTGATCAAGTAAGTTTTTCGTTCAAAATTTTTTAATGTGGTCCGCAACAAAAATTACATCAATTACATAATTGAATATTTGCCATTATATAAGTGCTCTATAATAATAATAATAATGATATTAAATAAATAAATAAAAAAATAAATAATACAAGGTAATAACATAAGTATTTCATTAAAAAAATCATTTGCTATTGTCAATTATTACTTAAAATAATACGATTTTAACTATCTGAGGCAAAAACTATTAAGAAAGACTAGAGATCATAAAATTTAATTTAAACCAAGTTTAATTTACAAATCAAATTGACTTGTGAATTGAAATAAATTAAATTCACAAATCAAATGGATTTATGATTTATGAATTTTCTTAAGCATATTTTTTATAAACCTGCTTGTAACATCGTTAAGTTTTACAACGCTACTAGAGTTAAAAGTGGAAATTTTAAAAATTGAATTATTTCTTTTTCATTTTTCGAGGCTTTGACTTTTGAAATTTGAATATCAGCTTGAGTAAGATTGCCACTAGTTTGTACAAAGTGACGACTAGCAACATAAATATTGTAGCCAAAAATGCATACACGTCCAGCAAAGAAGCCTGCCACCAGGGCAAATTTACTATCGGAGATCTTAGTGAATATTTCCCATGCTTGGCTATGTATTCAACCCAATAAATGGCTGTGTTCAGTGGGCTCAATGGCGCATCTCTAAACGCTTTGCTTGCCTTATCAGCCGAATTTCTAAAAAAAGAAAAAACAAACATGAGGAATCATGCAAAGCTAAGTCAATTATCAATTTATTAAATTTTTAAAAATCGAGCTTACTTATACTGCGGATTGTTAATGATTTCTTTGATGGCCGCAGTCAATGTTTCTTCTTTTATATTATAACGATCAAGCCTAATGGCCAAATTTTTCTTCGTGTAAGAATCTATGTTGAAGTGCTGATCGCCGAATAGAGGAAAACCTATGAGCGGGACGCCGTAGTAAATAGACTCTTGCGTACCCATGAGTCCGCCGTGTGTAACGAAAGCCTTGATGTTTTTGTGCTCTGAAAATCATCGAAAAATGCTCCGATTAGTTTGATTCCTATTTTACTCAAAATCTTCTTGACTCACTCAGGACTTGAACTTGCGGCAACCAAGAATGCGTAACAACGTTCGACGGCAAGCCGGATGGTAGCAGTTCCGGTTTAGCTATTTTCATCACTACTCTAATTGGCGCTATGTTTTTGAAGCTGGCATATAGTTCTTTGAGATCGTGCTCGGGGAACGTTTCGAGTTGCACCATCGAGCCAAACGAGACATAAACGAAGCCATCCTTGCTCTCGTCCATGAATTTCTTGATCTTGACCGGTAGCGCGTTATCTTCGTTTTCGAAAATGTGGATACCGCCCACGGGCACGACCGACGGCGTAAAAGCTCGCACGCCGTTCAAGGCGTGATGATAATTCACCAGGGTCAGAGAGATCTCCTTTTGCAGGTCGATGACGTCGGTCGTACCGGGACCGAAAGCTCTCTCGACCACGGCGTTCTGAGACTTGCGAGCCTCCGCGTTGAACGAGCATTCGGAGTAGTGACTCAGCAGGACGTTGCGCACGCGGTCCTTGAAGGACATCGGATGATGGGCGCCGGAATACATCGTTGGCTCCACGGCCAGGCGCGATGGGTTGCCGAGTGGCCTGTACATCCATTCGAACAGGCTGGTGGTCACCATCGAGACCATCGGGACATTCAAATGAGGCCCGAGTGCCAAGTAGCAGTTCGACAAGAACATCTGCAAACAATCGAAATTTCGCGATAATTTTTTTCGAAGAATTGTATTGTAAAGTGGTACTTGAAGCCTCGTAATTGACCAAATTAAATATTTATGTTGTTTACGAAGCGAAAAAACCCGAAATTAATTTTTCGAGCATGATTAATTAACAAAAATTTATCAAAAAATAATGCAATCTACACAATCTTAACGTGTCTCTTGAAGATTTTTTCGAAAAAAAGATAAATAAAAGAATGTTATACCTCGATAATGATGAGATCGTACGGCGGATCATTCGGTGGATTTTTAATGAGATTCTGGAAAATCGGTAAATTCAGCAACTCGCAAACTGGATTGCCGATCAATTCCATGTCCTTCGACATCGAGCCGACGCCAGTGATCGAGTTCATGTAGTTGAAGGACATGTTATTGGCGAGAGCCGGCAGCGTCCCAGCCAAGCTGTAATCCGTGTAGTTGGGAATCGGTTTCTTCAGCGGAAAATGACTGTAGACGTCGACCCGATGGCCCTTGGCAGCCAATCCTCTCATGAGGGCTTCGCCCATGATGAAGTGGCTTTTGCCCTGAAGCGGAAATATGCCCAGGATACGCAAGCCATGGCTCGAGGACAGACTTGCAGCCAGCAAAAGGAGAGCGACTATCCACGATCGAGCCATGCTGAGAGATCGATCAAGACTACGTTCAAACGGGTGCTACGATCTCTCTAAGTGGCGGGTAATCTTCGATATCAATAACAGCTCGTGCTTATCACCGAAGAGGCATCGCCCGCGTAAAAAAAATAAACAGAGACGACTTGACGAAAAATCGGCTCCAATGGTAGCAGTTCTCGCCAGAGATTATGAAGCTACGAAAGATAAAAAAGAACACGATGACGTGAAAGCAGTCAGCATTAGTCAATTGACTGTAGATAAAAGCGCGAGAATGTAGAAAAACGTTATCTGACAATTTTGCCCGAAGCAGTACAGCGATTCACTTGAGCAACATACATTTGAACATTTGAATTTCTATAAATGAAGCGTTTGAATACCGCCGAACTGTTTGATAAAGCGTCAAGGAATTCTCGACGAATAAAGAACGAAGCCTTATTAAAAATGTAGCCTTATATTCAAAGGCATGTGTAGCGGCAGCAACGCCGTGAGTTTTTTTGACAGTAAAACATACGAAACGTTAAAAAAGTCGCGTTATGATTGGTCTTTAGATTTGTGCAGACAGCGGCCAATGCATTGCTGACAAATTTTCAAATTAATAGGTGATAGTGTGCGTGCTAAAAGATATTTCTCAGCTTTGATCTGAGTTTGAATAAAAAGTTCTGAGTTCAGTGATACTCAAACGCCTTTAGTTTTGTTTAATTGATATAAATAATTGCAATAATTGATTTTAATCTGATTGAAATTTACGATTTAGTTTCTCCAGGATACTTTTCGTCTCATTTGTGAATTTATTTAAGTGCCGAGGCTGTAGATGCGTCCAGTGGCGGATTAGAACAAGGTTACCTCCATGCAGACTTTCATTTGCCGCTCACATAATTCGAAAAGCTTAAATATAAGTTTTATGATTGATAAAAGTAATTAGAAAAGGATGAAACAGTTATAAGGATTTTTACTAATTTTGAAGACATTTATAAAACATTTTTTGATCCAAATTAGGATATTAAATGGTTTTCACTTTCATTTTTTCGGTAAAACTTATTATTGTTATCGATCACGTCTCTTACAGCGGAAGCGATCAGTTTTGCAGCAAATTAATCAAAATCTTACACTATAGTTCATATTTGATCAATTCGGCATATTATCACGTGAATTTTTCAAAAAATTCACGGAGAGCAGCAATTAACAGTAGTGCTCAACATGCAAAATTTTGTTTAGTTCAAAAATAAAGCAACACCACGAAAGTAACGAATGTGTAATGATAATAGGAAGCCTGAGATTCAGATAATGCACAATCATTTAGACAACAATTTTATTGAAATTTTAGAAAAACATATGTATAAGTAACTATACATATTTACAATCGTCAATCCTTACTTCTGAAAATCGTATTGGTCGCAAACAAAATCTTTGCGACCTTCACGGCACCCTTGTGCAACCCTCGTAGTGCACAAGTGAATAAGATTTATCCCTAAATTTTTTCCCGCACCTGTCGCATGGATAATCTTTGCGACTGTCATGAATTATTTTTTTGTGCTTCAATAAATTTTTTATAATAATTAAAATTTCTCCTCGCACTTGTTGTATGTGTAATCTTTGCATCATGTACTGTCATGTACTATCTTTTGGTGTTTCCTCAAATTACTTTGCTGCCCAAATTTTTTTTCACACTTGCCGCATGCGTAATCTTTGCGACCTTCATGGATTGTCTTTTGGTGGATGAGAAAAGTGTGTCTGTGTCCAAATTTTTTCTTGCAATTATCACATTCAAAATCTTTCCGATCTTCATGGTGGGTGAGCAAATTACTTTGCTTCCCAAATTTTTTCTCGCACCTGTCGCATCTATAATCTTTGCTATTGCCATGGACTATTTTTTTGTGCTTCATTAAATTCGATTTTCTTCCAAATTTTTTCTCGCACATATCGCATGCCAAATCTTTGCGACCTTCATGGACTGTCTTTTGGTGGATGAGCAAATTACCTTGATGACCATATTTTTTCTCGCACTTGTCGCATGCGAAATCTTTGAAACGTTCGTGTACTGCCCTTTGATGTAAAATCAAACCCCGTTTGTATACAAATTTCTGCTCACACTTGTCACAGGTGAAATCCTTGCGACCTTCGTGTACTATCCTTCGGTGCTTTAACAAATCTGATTTACTCCCAAATTTTCTCTCGCATTTATCACATACGTAATCTTTACGACCTTCGTGTACTGTCTTTTGATGAAAGAGCAACTTAGCTTTTTGTCCGAATTTCTTCTCACAATTTTCCCATGCAAAATCTTTGGGATTCTCGTGGACTGTTTTTATATGTATGAGTAAACTATTTTTACTGTCAAATCTCTTCGCGCAGATTTCACATAAGTAATTTTTGAAAACTTCGTGGAATATTTTTTTGTGCTTGAGTAAAGTTGATTTATTTTCAAACTTCCTTTCGCACTTGTTACATGAGAAATCTTCGCGATTTTTGTGTACTAATTTTTGGTGCGTAAGCAAACTCGATTTTTTTACGAATTTTTTCTCGCACTTGTCGCATGAAAAATCGTTGCGGCCTTTGTGTTCTGATATTTAGTGTCTACTCAAATGACTTCGAAACTCAAATGTCTTTCCGCACTTGTCGCATGCGAAATTTTTTTCTTCATTGTGAATTGTGTCTCGGTGTTTTGTCAAACTTGATTCCAGTGTAAATGCCTCCTGACAAATACCACATACGTATTCTTCGTCGCGTGAAACAACAATGTTATGTTCACTTAAATTATTTTTTGAGACAATTTTTCCGGATTTAATCTCACTTTTATCCATTTCGGTGGTTAAATCGCAGATGGATCTTTCTATTTACTGTCACGTAAATTGAATGAGTAAAATGTATCTTTTGGTTTTATTGCTAGTTTCATCGGGAATGACAACATTCATATACTAATTTGTTTTCTATGAATATGATCAGTTGGTTGAACGACTTTGTAAAAATCTTTTATGATATTTACATTGTTTACAATTGAATTACCAATTTATTTGTTAATACGTTGTTAAAATTCTAACTTGGCGACGATTTCTTCGAGGAATTTTCTGGGCTTTTAAAACTAACAAGGAGACCTTCAGTATTATATTATTCAGTACCAAGTATTTTCAAAAAAACTCCTTACAGACAAGATTGAGTAAATAGATCCTTAAGCATATGCATGTTTAAAAAATTTCTGCTTCACTCTATGTCATAATTAGCGTGTTCCATAACCCGCCATTAAATGCGTTGACTAAAAAATTCTCATTTGAAAAAGGCTTAACGTTCGGCCGAAGATGAGCGAGTTCTGACTAGTTATTGAACTGGGTTCTTTCGCGTACACCACTCAAGGGCAAAAAAATGGAATTTTCAAATCTTATGGGAAATATTACTCGGATTGTGATTTTCTTTTTGGCAAAGTCGTAGTAGTAATAGAAATAATCTAAAATGGCTATTATTTACAGCATTTATTAGCGTGATGCAAAATACCTTTTTTTATTTATTTTTCTAAATCAAATTAATTTTATTCTGAACATATAGACGATTTCTAAGACACAACTCGCGATGAAATGTATACGCATGCGCATTCGGCTCCGCTGCTCATTATAGCGACGTGAATCTATGGGGTGGTGTGTTGAAATTTTATATAATAACAAAATGCATCGACGTGAGGTTTCGAGAAGGATGGCCGTTACCGTTAGGAATTCTCTCGCATAAAACTCGTCTCAGTGAAATGACCGGCGTGTATCAACAAGTGACAAACGTATTTCGCCCGCCACATGCTGCGACGATGGTGACGCGCATGTAATAGCAGTTATATTAGTTTTGACTGAGCCGCGAATCGAGTCACTCAGTTCGGTGTTCAGTCCACGTTACGACGTCGCAGCGTAGACCAAGAATCACCATTGCATCGACTGCCACAAGTGATTCTAGTGAAAATAGGAAGACATTTTCTATTTCGAACGATTGTGTTTGTGTGTGAGTGTATTTGCAGAACGATGTCCGACGATCAACGTGCCACTTTTGCAAGAGATCCTAGTAGGCATGTCAATGACAAAGACTTTTTAAATGAGCTGAAGAGTATACGTGAACTGGTCAATTGGGAAGTCGAAAAAGAGCGACTTACATTTTTTGATCGCATGCATTTTCTGATTAGAAATTGGAAGGGCCAACTTCCAAATCTTCGAGATATCTTTCGAACCGAAGAAATTGATTGGCTTCTCACGGAGTATCAGAAAAACGAGGAGAACCACTATTATTACGGATATTCATTCGTTCAATTTGTTTACGCTACCGGGTACAAGGACGAACCCGTTTTAGATGATGACGGCAAGCCAATTCTGCGTCGTAGCACGGCACTGCACTATGCGGCCAAAAACAGACGCTTACGCAGCATCGACACCCAAAAGTTTTTTCAAATATACGACAGATTCGACGTGAATTACACCGACGAGTCTGGTCTGTCTCATTTTCACGTGGCCTGCAAGTTTGGTTGTTGTAACGTCGTCGAGAAATTTCTGGAGGCTGGCCAGGATCCCAATTGCATCTGGCAAGAAACAGGTGATTCACCGCTTCACTTGGCTCTGGAGATGGGACAATGGTATTATGTGTCCGAAGTATTGCTGAGACACGGCGCAGACCCAAATTTGGCCAACAAGGAGGGATCGACACCTCTGCATGTTATTTGCAGGATGGATGAGTTCGATGAGACGGAAGAATTAGTAGATCTTTTTTTTGAGGTCATTGACGAGATCCAGCAGACGGTGAAGATTGATGCCCGGGACAATTTGGGCCTGACACCACTGCAATGGGCCGTGGCAAGTCTTTTGCCAGCTACGGTTGATGCACTCTTGGATCGTGGCGCTGATCTAACCAGCTTCGTTTTCCCCACCGAGAGTTACTTTGGCAAAATATTTGACCCGGAATATAACTATAGGGCTAACTTCACAATAGGAAGTACATATAACGCTTTGGATGTTGTTGACCGTTTGGAAAAAAGAGGATATGAATTAAATCGAAGCGACGCCATAACGATTATGAAATTATTTGCCAAGTACGGAGTATTCGTAAATTCGACTAATCTTAACACAAGTTGGTGTAACGACGAGAAGTACACTGTAAAAGTGAAAGAAACAATGAAAAATTATAATTTTTCTCTCTACGACCTGCTCCAGTTACGACCCAAAGAGGTGGGGAAACTAATTACAAAAACGAACTACTTAGATGTAGTGAAAAATTATTATTGGAATTATCATTGGAGGATCCCCGATTGGCTTACGGAGGCTTGTGCTGCGCACCTGGGCGAGATTATATTCAGAAGATTTTATCAACGATGGGCGTTGGATTGTTTATTGGAGCTGACGCATTACCGATTGCCGATTCTATGCTGTGAAATGATCATCGAGCAGCTAATGAACACAGATTTTTATCATATTTGCTTGGCGGCTACAGGCTAAAATTCATGATTCAAATGAACATATTTGTAGTATTTTTTCAATATCTGGTGGTATTTAATGTTGTAGATTCCCTGTACTATTTAAATAAATAAATTCAAAGAATTCAAAATGTATTTATCAAAACATACGTTCCAAACGTTTTCTCAAGATTTACATCTGTAAAATAATGTAGTACTCATGGGTAGAAAAATTCAAGCTAATCTTTACACATGGAATATGTTCAAGTCTTGCGATTTTGTTTCTTTATTTGAAAAAGCTTAACAACATAGTGATAAAATTTCAACTGAAACTTTCAGATTATCATTCATAGTTTGATAATAGAAATTGAATTTCACGTAGATGATCATTGTTAGTATAATAGTTAAAATTTCGAAAAAAAATTAATGAAATAAACGAACCAACAATGAATTAAAAAATCTATGATTAATGCATCTGGAGGACATTTCCGATCGACAGCGAGCCATATACATTATTATTCTATTAACATTTTGGTGTACGGAGAAAAAACGTTGCTATAATATTAATAACATTTTATACTACTTGAACAAGCGCGGAAAAGATATTTTCCTTTACTATAATTATTATATTTTTAATTATTTTTTTCTATTTACAGTCTGGAGTAATATAAAAATCAAGATTTTTGAGTTGTTTATAAAATATATTCTCTTTATTTGTTCTTTATCATATACTCTTCTGTAAATGAATTTAGTCGATGATGTAGATAAAAAATACAAAAGCGATTGCGTTAGATTTACGGAAACCTAGCTCGTTTTTTCGAATCGAACGTCGCCGTCGTAAACCATGGCCCTGAGCTCTTCGAGCGACCTCGAGCCGATGTCCTGCAGGGCGTACTTCAAGCCGCACTGCAGATACGGCATCGATTTGAGCAGCATCTGCTCGTCGAGTCGAAAGTCTCGGGCTTTGCAGCTGGATACGGCAGCAGTTCCGGGCTCTCTCGGTGGCTGCTCGGCAACCGCTGCTGCTGTTGCTTCCGCGGCTTCCTTTTTCACGGCATTTTTGGGGAGCTTGGCCATACCCGCGAACAATTTGGACCCGAGCATGACACCGCTGGCCCCGAGACACAGGGCCTTGAGCACGTGGCCGGTGTTGAGGACGGTCGCGTCGTCGGCCAGCACCGGCAGACCCGAGGCCCTCGTCGCGAACTCGGCGACTTTGTAGACGGCCGTGGCGGAGGCGCGACCCACCGCGGTCGAGCTGCCACAGAGCAAGTGATCCTGACGACGAAGACGATGCTCGCGATCGACGCTACGGCCGACCTTGAGCGCGTCGGCCCCGGCCACGATGTAGTGGCGCGCCTGGGCCAGCGTGACGACGTTGCCCGCGATCAGCTCGATGTGCGGCAAGTTCTGCTTGGCCCAGTGGACGCTCTCCAGCTGGTTCTCGGGCAGCTCCAGCAGCACGACGTCGACCCCGGCGTCCGAGAGCAGCCACATGGCGCTGCGCAGCTCCTCGGTCGAGCGGCTCCTCCGCAGAGCGGCGCCCACCCGGAGCCGGCCCTGCTCGTCCTTGCTCGCGTTCGCGTAGTTCTGATTCTTCCTCAAGTCCGTCCTGGATACCAGAGCCACGAGCTCGCCGGCCTCGTTGAGCACCGGCAGACGGGCCTTTCGCGACTCCTCCAACTTGGCCACGGCCTCGGCCAGGCTCACACCCTCCTTGGCCACGACGAGCTGATCGAGGGGGGTCATGAAGACCTCGAGCTTGGTCGAGTCGAACTCGGCGTAGCTCAGATCGACGTCGCGCGCCGTCACGATGCCGAGTAGTTGGCTGCCGGGGCGGCCGTCCTTGGTGATCGGGTATCCGGAGAAGCCTCGTAGGCACTTGAAGACTTTGAGATCGGCCACCCGACTCCCCGCCGACAGACAGACCGGCTCGCGGATGAAACCGTACTCGTAAGACTTTACCTTCGTGCAACGAGGAAAAAATAAAAAATTGAGCTCTCGATTAATTTCATTCAACCGCTAATAGTTCTCACCTTTTCCACCTGCTTGGCTTGATCCTGGGCAGTGAGCGTCGTGTCGTCGATGAAGCCGATGCCACCGGCCAGGGCGGCCTGTATAGCCGTGTCTGCACTCGACACTCCCGGGGCCAGCACGAAGGGAGTCTTGAGGGCGATCTTGCGCGTCAGCCGCGAGCCCAGCTCCACCTGATTGAGCTTGAAATTGATGCAGCCGGGCAGTATGATGAAGTCGTCGTAGGCCAGGCCGTCGCCGGTGACGAACAGCTCCTCCGCGGAGAGGCCCTCCTTCATGGCGATCGTTCCGATTTTGCGCTTGTTCAACATCGAGAGCGATACACGATTATATTGTGTCGAAAAACTCGGACTGTCTGTCTGTTTATGTGCGTCGGTCTTGGGTGAAAGTCGGCAGCGAAATGACAGACATAGACGATAGGATCCCGCCGATGACGATTGGAAATGAGACATATAATACGCGTTTTAATGCGACATCCATATCGATTGCGTTCCCAAGCCCTTTTTCAGGAAAAACAGCCCGCCGCTCCATAACACGCGCCGCGCACACGAAAAATCGCCACGGTACGCGCGCTTCTATTGATTTTTACCCTACTCGCACGCGCGTCATGATTCTCGTCGGATCGTTGGCCGAAAACGAGACTCGGATGAGCACAGGACAAAAGTCATGTGGCATCCCTAATTACTTTTTGCGTGTCAAAGGCCAATAAATCAATTAGCCAACTGGTGTAATACCATCCTCGAAGCGCCTCGAGTTCGAGTCGCGCGCATTATGTAGATTTGTGCTCACGTATATAATATAACTGCGCGTTTACGCGAATGTGCGACACATTCGTACTCTGCATGACCTTGAGCGATCGCCGATAAGAGCTGAAAATCACACGTCTTTCTCTCTCTCTCTGCGTCTGTCATTGGACGGGCGTGGAGGTCCGCAGATCTGCAAGAATCGCGGGTGGAGCGCCGACGATAGAGGTGCCGTTTGCGGATTCCTCCACCTTGAAGTCAGGTTTCTCGATTAGTGCAGCCAACTCATGGAATGCACTTCCTGCTCAGATACGGTCATCGGGCTCTCTGGCGTCATTCAAGAGCCTACTTGGGCATTACATGAGGAGACAACAAAATGCTCAATAATTTTTTATGTATTATTGCTTATTAATTGTAATCTCTCGTACTTATAGCATTTAATTTTACCTACACTTGTATATACTTTTAGTCATAGTGTTTGAATATGATGCTGATTAACTGTACCTGAATATCTGTTATCTGGCTTAATTTTTGCATAATTTTGTTTTACTTAGCTTATTTTATGCTTGTTTTATTTGTAAATATATATATTATTGTACTTTACTGCTAATTGCCATTCGGTCTTTCGACCTTGGTCAATAAATTGTTCAAATCAAATCAATCTGTCGCAAATGATCCTTGCCGCTGCGATCGTCGCATTATAATTATAATTATGCACGCAAGTTTCGACGATGTCATAGTATACGCGTGCGCTGCGTGCAATCACGCGAGCCACCAAAGAAAAAAACGTTTTTCTTCGAATATCTCGCGGAGAGCCGATCATCAAAAAATTAGAGAACGTTGCGCAATGTAATCGACACAGATCGTTCAGTGTGTACTTGTACTTTTTGGCATTCGAGTTATATGGCGGACAATAAAAAAATTATGTATGAATTAGCGCGCGCGATCACGAGCTTTTTATCAAATTCCATAAATTCTTCGCTTTTTTATCATCGAGGCTTATCAGCTCGCAAAGCTCCCGCTCGACGTACTATGTACTCTCCATCCTTTTGTCGGAAGCTTTCACTATAAGCGCCTCGATGATTTACACGCGCGGCTCTACGTATTATACAAGTACAAATGACATGTGTACTATGAGCGACGTGCGACGCGCGGTGCAACAGCAGCAGCAGTATGTCACCGCACGGCTGCGGGACACTCTTTTCGTCGTCGTCGTCGTCGTCGTCGTCGTCATAGACGAGAGAGGCTAGTAGTAGCTCGTATATAACTCATCCGTAATCGACGCGGCGCGCGCAAAAGTGCGTGATATCTATAGTACAGTGCCGATCTTGCAGTGCCGATTTTTTTCATCGAGCGCTGTCACAAGAGCCCGCCCGCTTCGAGATCGCGCAGAGGCAGCCCCGACCAAGGCCGTGATCGCCGCCGCATCGAAATAAACTTTTGTCTCTCGTCAAAGGCCGCTTTGTTTAGACGATTTATAAAATATAGCGATTCATAAGCTCGCAGGAGAGTTTCGAGAAGATAGCGCGCGGTGTATAGCGTACAGTAGCTCGATTTGCCGATCGCAGCAGCCGTGCATGTGCGCCACGCGGCTCCTCCGTATCCACCGCGTTTCGTTATATAGGTGCGGAAAAGAAAAAAAGAGGCTCTTTCTTGGCCTCAACATCTCTACTCTCTGTGTACCCTGTGCTGTGCTGTGTGTGCGTGTGTAAGTGAATAATACGTCGACGGTCGATCTCGTCGTCGCCGAGCGCGGCGGTTCGATTTTCTTGGCAGCGAGTCGTTTGTTGACAAAGAGAGAGAGACAAGCGGCGCCCCTCTAGCCACCAGACCAACGAGACACAAAATGACGAAAGGTGAGTGGACCACTGCAGTTACGATTCTACACGAACATAATAGTGCGCTTCGGCCTGTGACGCTGCAGTGATCGAGCAAAGCTTCAAACTTTTTTCTCATATTTTTCAACGCAAAATCGGACGAATTACGTGGAAAAAGTGCAGTGTTAAACGTGTGTAAGTGTGTATGTGTGTGCGTAGATAATGCGTGGCTCGAAAGTTTGCGACGATCGGACGTCGAGTTGATGAAATTACGAGCGGAGCGGGCCGCGCGCGCTTCTCACTAAATTGACCGATTACGCGCTCGCGCGGCAATTGAAACAATGATCCGTGTTCCTCTCTCTCTATCTCTCGATTGCAACGTGCCTCGTAATCGTACTTGCACTTACCCTTGAAATATTGCATCGGATCGCTCGTGTGAATTTATTTCTCATGCGTATGCGAGAGAGAGAGAAAATTTCGCTTGCGTGATGTTGTAGGTGAATCGAGAAGAGACAAAAAAAAAGTTGGAGCACAACAACAGTAGCAGCAGCAGCAGTAGCAGCAACACGTGTGATGTTTTTCTATCGCGTGGGCCAAAAATAGCGGATTTATAATAAGAACTTGGTGTGCGCGCGCGAGAGCGAGAACGATGTATAGATATAGATGCTTTGTTGACATTATGTCATTTTGATAACCGTAAAGGCATAATAATAGCGTCCAAGCACCATACGAGAGAGATTGTAAATCTTTTTTTAAATAGAGCTTAATGTTATACCATCGGCTTATCTTTTTAAATCAAACAAGAGTGGTACGCGATCAATGACAAGATTGTGCACGATTACGCGCTTAGCTAAAGCTATACTCGATCATTTCATTACATATTTCTTGCAAGTTACGCGAATTTTCACATGAATGATCCGCAGGCAAAGAATGGATATCCTGCCGGGACGTGCTCTGGCTCATGGTCTTCTGGGGCTTCGGCATCAACTACATGCTGCGCAACAATCTCAATCTCGCCATCGTGACGATGGTCGTGCCCCGGGAAAAGTCCGTCGCCGCCACCGAGTGCGGAAGCGGCAACTCGACGTCTACACTCCAAGCAGCAGCAACAGAACAGCAACAGCCGGGACAATACCCCTGGAACGAGTACCAGCAGAGCATGGCCCTCGGCGCCTACTACTGGCTGCATTGGCTGCTGCAGCTGCCGGGCGGCCTGCTCGCGAGGCGCTACGGCACCAAAATGATCTTCGGCCTTGGCAATGTGCTCGTGGCCGTGCTCGGCTTCGCCTTGCCCTACGCCACCCACTACAGCCTCGGCGCTCTCGTTGCCGTTCGCGCGCTACAGGGCTTGATTTCCGTTAGTACATCGCGTATTCATTTATTTTTTATACTTTTCATATTTATGCAATTATTGAAAGGTTTCTTCTATTTTTGGAACCTAAAGGGTGTAGTGTGGCCATCGATGCACGACATGACGGCCAAGTGGATTCCGCCGAATGAGCGAAGCCGATTTGTCAGCTCTTATTTAGGTAAGAACATTTTCACGTTTTTAGCGTATTTTTATCGTAATATCGTCCCATTATTTCGTTGTTTATTATATCACTTTGTTTAATGACACCGAAGCAATCGAATTTTTGACGTATTCTTTTGTGCAAGCCCTAACTTAGCGACGAAATTTTTGTAGAAAAATAGTTATATAGCGTCTTTGTAAAAAAGCTTCCCGTGAACTTTCAGCTTTGTTATTGACAATATAAAAAAAAAATTGGCTATTAACCATGGGACTATTTTGGATAAGAGACGTGTTTGGTACAGTGCAAAAACAAAGCGCAAAAAATGAATTCATTAAATACGGCCGCATAGACACACGCGAACGGGTGAAAATCTGTATGTGCCGCAGGTAGCTCGGTAGGCGCGGCCGTCACCTATCCGCTCTGCGCCACCATCATTAGCAATTACAACTGGGAGGCCGTTTTCCACATAACTTCGCTCATCGGTATCGTTTGGTGAGTTCATTAGATAATATCATCGAATGAAAGAGAAATTTTGAATCCGAATTCGTGCGTATATAGGTACGTGTTTTGGCTGTTTCTCGTGTACGACTCGCCCCAGCAGCATCCGCGAATATTGGAAAGCGAGAAGAACTACATCTGCAAGAGTTTGGCCGCCAACGATCCGGAAATGGACGAGGACGACTACAAAGCCGAGACCGAGGAGCCGAAGGGGGCGAACAAGCGGGTACCCTGGCGAGCCATCATGACGTCCGGCCCGTTCTGGGTGACGATCGTCGCCCACTGGGGTGGCGTCTGGGGCTTCATCACCTTCATGACTCAAGCGCCCTCGTACTTCAAATACGTCCACGGCTGGAACATCAGAGATGTATACGCATTGAACTCGATCGAAAAACGTTGCTCTTCCAGATACGTAGCTTCGGACTCATGTCGCTGCTGCTTTCTTTGTTGCAGACGGGACTGCTGTCGGGCTCTCCCCACGTGGCCCGCATGATATTCTCCTACCTGTTCTCGATGCTGGCCGACTGGCTGCTGCGCACCAAACGCATGACCCTCACGGGCGTGCGCAAACTGGCCAACCTGGTGTGCGCCGGGGGCCAGGCACTGCTCACCCTCGGCCTGAGCTTCAGCGGCTGCGAGCCCGTCTACGCGGCCGTCCTCATGATCGCCGGCACCGCCATCAACGGGGCCGTCTCCTCGGGCACGATACCGGCCTTCGTCGATCTCAGTCCCAACTACGCCAGTGTGCTCTTCGGCATCAACAATCTGATCACGTCGCCGTCTGGATTCTTGTCGCCGCTCGTCGTCGGCATACTCACCAACGATAACGTAAGCCTCTTTCGAGTCAAACTCAAAGTACATTAACTATAAACCGTTTAAATTTAATAAAAAAGTTATCGAATCAATTAAAATTAAATTAAAGGATCACCGTAGGAATCGACACTTACTATGCAAATTCACGAAAAATGGGAAAGGTATTAAACTAAATCGAAAAATTTGATTTGATTTTTTTACCTTTATTTTCTTAAATAGTACTGTGAAAATTGACAAAATTTAATGATGCTAGACATTAAAAAGTTATAGAAATATGCTCGACGAAATCACGAGCTTTGGCTTGTAGCCGCCAAGCAAATACGCCATGAATCTTCGTTACTTAGTTTGCTGATGATCATCTCACAGCAGAGAATCGGCAGTCGGTAGCGTGTCAGTTCCAAGAAAGAATCCAAAACCCATCGTCGACAAAATTTTTTTATAACAATCTCGGTCAACTGTGCAGTACATGCATCCCTGACCTCCTCGGGAATGTACCAATAATCTTCCGAATAATCCGTGTCCATGACCTCGCGGTAATTTGTGTATGAAAATACTTTTTCCGCTTCTTTGGGTTGTAATCGGACCAAGTCGTAGAGCGACAAACTCGAATTGAAAATCCACTCTTTCGCTTCTGACTCGAAATCCTCGTCGTCATACCAATTTGTGTCAAGATCAGCCATCTTTTCGAACATTCCGTTTTTAGAAAATGATTTCATGATTGTCACGGCGTCGTTTCGATTCAGTTCGTATCCTCTTTTCTCTAAACGTTCAACGATAACCATAGCTTTAGACGCTTGTCCCATCGCAAACAAATTCCCGAATTCACCGTCCCGGTCAAATACTTTGCCAAAGTAACTCTCGGTGGGGAAAACAAAATTAGACAGATCAGCGCCACGATCCAAAAGTACATCGACCGTCTCCGGCAAATGACTCGCTACAGCTAATTGCAGCGGTGTTCGGCCCAAATTGTCAAGGGCATCGATCTGCAAAGTTTGATGTTTTTCGTCGATGATCTCGAAAAACATGTTCACCAAATCATCGTCTTCATCTCTGGTGCAAACGAGGTGCAGAGGAGTCAATCCTTTCAAGTTGAGCAACTTTGGATCGGCATCATTTCTCAGCAGCAATTCGACCACTTTTGAGTTTCGCATAAATGAGTTGTGAGCTAAAGCCAGGTGTAGCGGCGAGTCACCTGTTTCTTGCCAGATGCAATTAGGATCCTGGCCAGCCTCCAGAAATTTTTCGACGACGTCCGAACAACCAAACCTGCAGGCCACATGAAAATGTGACAGACCAGACTCGTCGGCGTAATTCACGTCGAATCTGTTGTATATTTCGAAAAGTGTAACGGCGTCGAGGCTATGAAAAACGTTTTTAGACACCCAGTGCAGTGCCGTTGTGCGGTTCACCAACGGCTGTCCGTTTTCATCAATTTCGGTTTTGTCCTTGTGACCGGCCCTGGTCAGAAATTGGATGATTGAACATTGTCCACGAATGGGGTTGTGTTTGTTCTTTACATCTTCTATAATAAGCCAATCAATTTCTTCAGGCCGAAAGATTTCATGGAAATCGGGAAGTTGGCCTTTCCAATGTCTACACAAGAATCTAATGCGATCAAAAAATTTATCCCGCTCATCTTCGACTTCCCAATTGACCAGTTCACGTATGCTCTTCAATTCATTAGAAAATTCAGCATCATTATAATCGTTAGGCGAGGGTATCCACATTGTTCTGCACACTCACGCACAAAAACAGTACTAACAATCACTAAGAAATCAAGTCACTAACAAATATTTTTCGACTACAGTCGATGCGATGATACTCTTTTGTTTACGCTACGGCCTCGTAACATGTACTGAATTGCGAACTCGCTGTGTGGCTGAGCGACTGCGGCGCTGTACTGCCAACAGTGCCCGCACGTGCACGCCTCCCTCTAAACACAGCATAACGAAGCACATACACGTACACGCAAAGAAATGTAAGAGACTTGCGTCCGTCACAGTGGTAACGGACTAATATATCGGGCATTCTGGCGAAAGAACGGGTAACCTAGTAACTCGTTCATGCGGATGTCACTGATCCTTAGTATTAAATAGTTAAAACGTTATTAACACCAAATTTTCCATGCGAGGCGCCGTATTAGTTCGTCATAGATATGGGAATATGCCGGATATAATCGGACTTTCCATAAAAATTCAAATTTTTAATTTTTACCTTGTATGAGTTGCCCGCGCGAAAGTAACCAGTTCCATTATTAGTCAGAATGATTCTAGCCATTCGTCGTTGGCACACTAACAAACGATAATGACCCTTTTTTGAGTTCAAATTTCTTCGTCACCGCATGCATCTACGACTTGAGCGCTCGCTACTAGAATTTACTAATATAAGCCGGAAAGTATCTGCGAGGGACTGAATCGAAAATTTCACTCGATTAAGGTCAGTTATTGAAATCCTTTATATTTGTTGGAGCTTGGACGGTCTTTGCGAAGAAAAATTAAATTAAAAAAAAAGTAATTTTGCATTTTTTGGACTCTAAAAAGTGATACAAAATAAAATAATAATAGTACAATCATTATTTCAGCTTAAGCTCCAATAACAATTAAATAGCATTTAAAGAAAATGAAAAGTTCAGCGATATTTACAGTAGTTTTTGAGATATCTTGCTCAATCCTGACTTTCAATGACTTGGAATATGAATTCACGTACAAAATTTTAGGAGTGTTTTCTTGAAAGTAGGAGCATTTGAAAATGAAAAAAAAATTCATTTTTTGATCGATCTGAATAAGAACCTCATCTTAAACAAACTCACAAATAAGCTGAAAAGTATTAACACAGAATCTACATAGAAAAATACATTCTGATTTCTTTAAATTTATTTATTTAAATAATACAGGGAATCTACAACATTAAAGGTCACCAAATATTGAAAAAATACTAAAAATATGTTCATGAATTTTGGCCTGCAGCAGCCAAGCAAATATGATACAAATCTTTGTTCATTAGTGGCTCGATGATCATTTGACAGCATAGAATCGGAAGTCTATAGTGCGTCAGCTCCAAGAAATATTCCAACGCCCATTGTCGGAAAAATCTTCTCATTATAATCTCGCTCAAGTGCGCAGCACAAGCATCCCTGGGCCCTTCGGGCAAGGAATAATAATCTTTCGTTTTCGCGATCTTAAAGCGGTCCGAATAAGTGACTAGTTTCTCCGCCTCTTCGTGTCGCAATCGGACTAGGTCGTAGAGTGACAAACTCGGAGTAACCATGAGCTTTTTCGCTTTTCTTGCAAACTTCTTATTTTTATACCAACGTTCGTCAGTATTCGTCGAAAACTCAAAAAAGGCTCCATCATCAGCGAAATATTTCATAATGGTCAGGGCGTCATTTCGATCCAATTTATATCCTCTTTTCTCTAGACGTTCGACGATGATTAGAGCTTCACAGGCAATTTCAATTATCGATTCAGCTGGATAATCATATAGCCAGCCTTTATAGTACTCGCCATAGTAGCTCTCAGTGGGGAAAACGAAGCTGGACAGATCAGCGCCACGATCCAAGAGTGAATCAACCATGTCTGGCAAAATATTTGCTACGGCTAATTGTAGCGGTGTCCGACCCAACTCGTCCCGGGCATCAATCTGCACCGTTAGATGTTGCTTGTCGACGATCTTGAAGAATAGACCCGCCATGTTGTCATTATTATATCTTTCCTTCTTGCAAATAATGTGCAGGGGGGTCAGTCCATCTTCGTTAACTGAATTCGGGTCAGCGCCACTTCTCAGCAGCAATTTGGCAATCCCCTTGTGGCTGCTGTCCAGAGCCAAGTGTAGCGGTGAATCATCTGTTTCTGGCGCAATGACATTAGGATCCTGTCCGAGTTTGAGAAATTTCTTGACAACCTTGTCACACCCACACCGGCAGGCAGCGTGAAAATGAGTGTATCCTAATTCATCGATGTAGTTCGCGTCGAACTTGTTGTATATTTTAAAAAGATTATGTACAAAATCGCTGTCTCGATCTTTAGCCTCTTCATGAATTGGCGTACTGCGATGCAGCAAAGGCCTACCGTCTTCATCGACTTCGGGCTTGTCCTTGTACCCGCTCTTGATCACAAAGTCAATGAGTAAATTTGTCTCGTGTCTGTCATCAGAATTGATAGACTCCGTGAGAAGCCAATCAATTTGTGCTGGTCGAAAAATCTCCTCGAATTTAGGAAGCTGGCCCCTCCAATTTCTAATTAAGAACAGAAAGCGATCAAAAAATTTAGATCGCTCTGTTTCGACATCCCAATTGAAAATGTTACGTATACTCTTCAGTTCATTTAAAAAGTCTTTGTCATTGGTACGTATACGAGGAGTTCTGAAGAAACCGATATGTTCGTTAGTTTGATCGTGACCGTTGGACTCGGACTCGGACCCGGACAAAGAAGAAGACGAAGAAGATGGAGATGAAGAAGTAGAAGACATCTTTTTGCACACTCATGCACAAACACAGTCACTAACGATATGTAATATTTCACTTCTTTTCGTGAGAATCACTAGCGGCAATCAATGCGATGATATTTCTTTGTTCGTACCCCGCTGTCGCGAGTCGCAACGTGAACTAAACTGAGACACGACTCGACATATGCAGCTCGTAACTGCCAACATGCGCGCCACCGCCTTCACGTCTTTACAACATAATATAAACAGGCCCGTACTCGCGCGGATTTACGTCCGTTACCGCTGTGATGATGTGTTATTGCGCATCACTTACTGGGCCGCAATGATCTTTAGAATGCAAAGATGAAAACTAATATCAATAAAATGTAATTGAAAAAAACCAACATTCAAAATCGAGAACAGTTGAATAAAATTACAAAATGAAAATTTAACCAAAGAAAAGGACTATGAAGTTTCACTTTTGCCGGTTAAATTCTCTAAAATGCATTATACATGAATTGGCATCAGAAACTTTAGAGTCTTTTTGAAATGATGTCCACATGAGTCAGTCCTTCTGCATTGACTAAAGTTGGCTTGGTCCCACTTCTCAGCAGCCATTCAGCGATCTTCCTGCGGCCAAAGATCATATAGCCAAGTGTAGCGCGGTGAATCGCCTGTTTTTGTCACGAAGATATTGGGATCCTGACCGAGTTGTAAGAATTTCTCGACGACGTCGGCACAGCCAAATTGGCAGACCACGTGGAAATGTGTCAATAGTTTCGTCGATGTAATTCACATCGTACTTGTATATTTGAAAAAGCTTTTTATACGAATCACACGTACGAAGGAATGGACTGTACGAAACATTTTGCACACTCACACACGGTGTACAATATCATAAAATATTTTTCAATAATTTTCCGATCGCTTTAGCGCCTGGCACCGTGTTACTATGATATTATTTGGCATTTTTGCACTTTTAATAATTGATATTTGAGTTAAATCATTTTATTCATTCGTTGCTAATCAAGACCATATGAAACGAATAAACGTATTTTTTTTTGCAGCAAACCATCGGTCAGTGGCGCTTGGTGTTTTTGGTCTCGGCGGCGAATCTAGCCGTCAGTTGCGTCGTCCATCTGATCTGGGGAACCTCGGAGGAGCAGCCGTGGAACAATTACGCGAGGGAAAAGCGAAGGATCAAAGACGCGGAAAGCGCCAGTCCCGCCGAGACGAAGGAATTCATCGAGGCCAAATCCGACGAGGAAGACGATAAAGCTAAAGGGGAAGTTAAGGCCGAGCAGTGAGCCGAGCGTGATCGATCGCTATTAAGAATTCTTATCCATTCCAATTAAATTAATTATGTATTATCTACGTAAAAAATGTAAAGACCCAATTATCGTTTCGTAATGTACGTGCGTGACTTACGAGGAACGAAGTATTACAGAAGCTTAGTCGTAAGTTTATATAGGTCCATAAAAATCGTACAATTGAATGATTCTACGTTACTATCTAATTCTATCAATGCAAAAAGTGCCAAAAGTAATGTAAATATTTTTATATTGTACAGACGCTCGAGTTCGATTTTTCAAAAATGAACCAGCGTTGAGTATATAATTTTGATTATTGTTATAAAATTTATATCTATTTATACGGCAACCGATCCATTGAAAATGTTTCGCTTGCTTCATTTAAAAAAAGGAATAAAATAAATACTATTTCGAAAGAAAAATCTAACGAGCATGAATTAATTTAACCTTGAAAACGAATCGTCTATAACCAACGGTGCAAAATAACACGAGTCACAAAGTTACCTCGTCACCCCGCATCGAGCAGCCGCGATCGTTTTATGGAATGCGGCGAGCACGCGAACTGCTACAAGCGCTACGAGTGCATAGTCAACAAGCTGAAACGGGAAATCCGCAAAGCCGACGAGTTTCTGAAAAAGTGCGACAAGTGCGACAAGCAGCGACCGATCGTGCATCGCTTAACCAACGAGGAGAAGCGCCGAATCGTCAACAAGCTGAAATGCGCCTCGCAGGACTGCTGTTTCCTCGTCGAGGAGCTGAGGATGCACAGGGCCGAGGTGAAGTACCTGACCGGCGCCTATGAGAAATTGATCTTCAAGTACAACGAGATGCTGACGCGCCAGAGATGCTTGCTGCAACAGGTGAGTTTATCGGCGTTTTTCATTGTCGCGCGTCGTGCTGCCGATACGAGGGCCGATTTTCTGGTTCCAGATAGAAAATTTGTACGATCACGCGAAGACGCAGATGCAGTGCGAGGTCAAATCCTTTCAAGCCGAGGAGGCTCAATCGGCCGAGAGACTTTGGGAATTCCGAGAGGTTCAAAAGCAAGAGAACGAAGCCCTGGAAAAGATTTTCGATAGGCTAGTCTCCAAGTACAACGCCATCGTGGACGAGTGTCAAAAGAGCAAAGTGTGCCCGAGCAAATGCGTCGAGGAAGACCAGAGGGACAAGCAGCTTTTCTGCGTCGTGACGCAGTCGATCAAGCAAGCCTTCGACTTGCGAGCGCAAATAGAGAATAAGCCTTGCGACGTGAGTTGGGCTATTACACTTTTTTCTAAACTTAAAATAAGCCTGTACAGCGTCAATTGTGTTTTCAGTTTTTCCATTACGCTCTTGCCGGCAGTTCGAACGTCTAGAAATTTTCGGGGGAGCAATAAAACAGAACAGCGCACAGATCTCGGATCAAACAGCTTTATTACTTTTCCACGCTTTACGTCGTGTAAGTTTTTTCTTGCATTACTACGTAATAGTATCAGAAGATAAAATCGTGACTTGGAGTTACGTATATTATATACTTCGTGTATATGGTACTTTAACAGCAATATATTCTGTTTTAAAAATTATGCATGTATGCTTTTTCGGTAGATATATAATTCTCTATTACTAAAAATAGCCAGACTATACGGAATCGCAGATCCAAGCGCATTTAATATATGTTTTTTTTGTAATCATTATTAAGCTCACTCCGTTATAAGCGTCGATTCTCGGGACGATACGAAATCATCTCTCTCTCTCTCTTACTCACTTCCATTCAAATGCAAGGTACATTTCGTCGGTATACATATAATATATTGTTTGGACCGTATACGAGCCGCAGATTGATTCAAAGTGACAACAATTTGTTTCTGGTACTTATATATTCTATACGCAACGGTAACTTGATTATAGTGCGAGTATCGAATTTGATTATTACTTTTGAGACGGAGTTAAGAGGAATATGACATTATTGTGACCCAAGCAATCTGAGGCTAAAAAGACTAGATTGGCGCAATTACAAGATCCTAAGTTCGGTGCATTATGATTATAATAATCTCAGTTTGATTTTATCGATTAACTTATGAATTTTATGTATGCTCAATAGAGCACGGAATCTTTGGAGCTTGCGGTGCGTTCGTCTACATCATATCGTGGAGGCGTCGACGCCTCCATGGATTATTTTAGATTTGAACGTTCCCATCACTACGACCTCGCCGAGCTTAATTTTCAAAATAACATAATCATGCAAATTATAGTACATTGCGCACCAAAGTCAGTAAAAAAGAATGGTAACAACGAGTTTGACAAACGTGTCATCAAAAGACTTCTTTTTTACTTTTTTAAATGCGTGCGCAATTTTTTCATGAATCCCCCAGCAAAAGGCGATATTATTTACCATGTAGTCTAAAGCCGAATGCTGGGGTAGCATTAAAAAACATTACATATGACAAAAGCGAACAAGGCATATAATTACAATAATACACTTAACGTAGATAAATTATCCTATGGTAACCAAGCGATTTACAGCGTAACAGTTTTTCTATAAAGCATTCAATCATAATTATCAATTTCAAAGTGCCAAGATTTGGCATCAGCAGAGCTTTAAAATCTAGAAAATACATATTATAAAGAATCAATCAATAATTATTCGAATAAATATAATGATATCTATAGCATTAAAAGTAGCGAGTTCATTTGATATTTTTTATCACATTCTACGACCTGATTGAACAATGAGCGGAAAGCGAGGTTTAATTCTTACTAAAAAAAATTATGTTTCCTTAAAATTCATTTATAACGCTCAACTTTTGATTCACGGCATGTTAAGGTCGTTTTGTTTATTTTTGTATCTACATAAACCTTATACTACTAGATTAAAATTACAGGAGAGTCTGTGGTATTTCGGCACCAGTTTAAATACTGAAGGACGTATTTAGTTTTATGCAATATATATAATTATTATGCGCGGTAATGAAAGCGAGTATAATTCAAGTTTTTTGATCATGTATGCAAATTGATTTTTAAAAGCATAGTAATAGTTCATTTATGAATCATTTGCGTGTCAATGACAATGATAATAGCAATAGTATTATTAATATATATAAAGACAAATATTCTAATACTTAAAACTATTACAAACAACAACAAACGATTTACAAAGCATTTTCCAATATTTATAAAAGTATAAAAAAGAATCTCAAAAGTCTACTTAAATCCTTGGAAAACGTCCGATAAGATAAAAGTGTAAAATTTTATTTTACCACGTACTTTTCACTTTCTTAATTGTAAGTTTGAACTATACTGACACACGCACACACACTTTCAACAAGTGGAAAGAAATTTTATGACCTACGTAATAATAGAACAGCACAGCTGTCTAACATCTGTTGTTTACTTTTCTTTTATCTTAATTTATCGTCAAGTTTTAATTTTGCATTGGATTCAAGCTGACGTTATTTTTTGAACATTAAAATTTATTACTTTACTATCATTTTGCATCTGCTATACTTCCACATTTTTTTTATACTTAAAATTGAGTTTTTCGTTTTTTCCTTTTCTTTTTTTTTTGTTTAAATAATTCATTAAATTATGACGCACGTAAAAAGTACATTAAATATCGATAAAACCTAAAATACTTTAAACATGTGAAATAAATATGCGATGAGAATTTTCCAGATCTTGGTTTTTCTACAATTTAAGGTCAAAATAAAAGTGTAAGATATTTTATTTTGATTACATAATCGAACCACTGAAACGCGAAAAAAAGATAATGTGTCGAACGCAACGAGTGACTTCGGTTTTTTTTTTAAATTTACTTCCTCATTGGCGAAGGTGGGTCCATGGCGCTTATCATGGCTTTGACGACGCTGGCGGCGGCGAGCGAGGCGTAAGGCTGCCATTCCTTGCCGCGCGAGCCGTCCTTGTAATCGGCGATGCCACGCACAACGGCGAAACTGTCGCGGCAATTGCCGAGTATGCTGTCGACCACTGCGTCCATCTCGGCGTCGAAGGCCAGGCAGCCGAAGCGGCTGGCGAATTTCTGCCTGAGCTGGTCGTCGCGAGAAATCCGACGACCCGATGCGATGGGCGCCAAGTGAATCTGCGGGCAGCCGTCGCTCCTGTGTGCCGAATAAAAGTGATTATAAAATGAGAGAGAGAAAAAAAGAGAGTGAAACTTTTTATCACGGAAATAGATATTTTTTCATCACTCTGAGTTATGATTCACTCGCACACATGTGTTATTTTGGGTTACGCGACGACTATTCCGACCGAGAGCATTATGATCGAGTATTTATCTCGCTATTAAGAGATGATGAATATTAACGAGTGACTCTCGCGGGCAAAAAATCTAAATAAGCAATAGCGCGAGTCGTCGTCGGCTCGCGATCGAAGCTCGGCGCATAAATTTAGCAATGAACGGCACACCGATCGATACGAAAATCGGCTAATTCGAGCCCATTGACTCACGTATATTATACACACGCGAGACGACACTTTTACGTCTTCGAACTCCTCCTCGTTTAAAATTCACGATATTAAACTTCCTGTCGCGCGCAATGCGACATACTTTTTTTTCTACCCATTTAAACGAGGAAATGACATAAACTCGTTTAAGCTCTATTAAGTTGTATTATTTAGTTGAAGCAACAGCAGCAGCAGCACGGCACACGTTTTATAAATACCCATATGTGGAACGGTGAATCTTACTTTGATGCGAATAATATCTCTAAGTACCTGGCGTAAGCGGCGTCATCTTTAGGCGCGCTCGGATGCGATACCTCGATAACGTCCTGCTCGCCGATGTTCATGTAGAGCTTGTCCGACTCGGCGGGCGGAGCCTCGAAATTGTGCTCCGACTCGTTGATCAGATTTTTCAAGCCCTCGCGCATGTAATTCTGCCACGGTGGACTGAAGCCTTCGTCCAGATTCGCCTGTAATTGAATATGCAGTGATTTGCAATAAGACAATTTTTATCGTCTAAAAATAAAGCGTCGATTGGCAATCCTTACCTGTTTCTTCATCTCGGAGGCGATGTTCTGCAGAGACAAATTGGTCGGGCTATACTCCTTAGTGTCGAAGATACAGCCGCCCGAGGACAGAACCCTCGCGTCCTCGCAGTACATGTAGACGACCTTGTTGTGGGTGCGAATGGGATAGGAGACGACTACGTCACCGAGGCGCACGTGTCGCTTGTAATCCGTGTAATGGGGTACGCCACCGCCCACGCCCACCAAAAATACATAGTCGACTTTTTGGAAGGTCCCGAGGAGTCGGGTCGTGGTGTTGCCGGCGGCGGTCATGGCCTCGCGGGTATGCCCGACCGTAGGCAGTTTCGTGCACACGATTCGGTGCGCGCCGATGTCGCCCAGCGTGTAGACGTTTGATTCGCCTGTAAAAAAGATGATACGGAGTTTCGTTAGTTCGGTAGTCACGTAAGTTAAGCGTACCCAACAAAACACAAAGACACGATTCGGCTCGATGATTTTTCCAACACCTTCTGTTTTTTGTTGTGCCGTATAGATGCTTAGCGAACACTTAGAATGAAAATATTTTGTGCCATTGTTTCCATGATTATGCGAGATTATTATTTTTTTTCTCGCGATTCAACAAAAGCCGAGAAAGAGAGACTTGACCCAAATCGCGCGCATGTGTCTCGCGAACAGTAGTGATGAGCAATTTATAAATAAAAATATTTTAACATTCCTCATGGGCTCGAATTAAGAGCTTTTTAAGTTATCATCATGTTTGTTGAGCAATCGATATTAAAGCGCGTGACAAAGTGTCAAAGCGCGACGTCAAAGTCTCTCTCTCTCTCGCTTCTTATTGTTTTTACGCTCGCGCGCACATATTGTATAAATACATGTGACAGACCAGAAAATGTGTGTAATCTTAGAAAGACGATGAAAAAGCTGTTATGACAAAGCTGTGTATATAATACGATGATGAGGGTCCCCGCAACATTTGAAGGCATATTGTGTTTCCATGATTTTTTTTAACGATTGTGTGTACAATGGGCATATTTAATGCTTTATAACGATGCGCGCACACATATATAGGTGGGTACAACACAGAGAGCAGCGGCGACATACGCAAGCGATGAGCAATACACATGTGCATATAATATCCTGAATGAATCGTTGCTACGCTCGCTCGGAGCGCAAACATTTTTTTTACCGAAACGAACACGTCGTCGTGGGTGTTTTGTCGTGGTAGTAGTAGTAGTAGTAGTAGTAGTAGTAGTAGTAGTAGTAGTAGTATTGGTAGTAGTGGAAGACGTGTTATCTAACTCTAGCGTATTGGAGTACACTAGTTGATTAGTAGGAGACGACGACGATGATGACGAGCTCGTATTATCGACGTCTTTCTCGCTTCCTGCACTCGTGCACACGCACATGCATCGTTATACAAGGAAAGAATCATGCAAATAACATGTGGATTAATTTAAAAAAATTATAATTAATTACTAACAGGTTGATATCGTTCATGCACGAAGAGGCATTATATTGATTGCTTCTTTTCTTATTCATAAAACGTTCACGCTTAGTGAATGATATTATATGCTACTACTCACCCACGGTAGTGTAACGCACAAACGTCTCTTTGTTTTCGATCATCGAGTCCACGGCGAGTTTTTCGCAGTACTGAGCCGTGATTATCGCTATGGTCGGCTGCTTCGCGCTAGACAGCTGAGGCATCTGTTTAACGACCTGTTGAACAGCGTAATTTAATGTGTAATTTTTTATTTATTATGAATGAGATAGCATCACCACGATGAGCGATTACAAACAGGAAGAATTTTTTTTCTCATTGCATTGCTCACCTTGATTTGGTTGTTTTTCTGCACTGCTCTGGTGTATGCACCTTTGTCCATGGCCATGACAAGACCATCTTTCTCAAGTTCAATGAGTTTTTTGGCAATTGCTTCAATATCCCAACCATGATCTCTGATGAGTGAAAAAAAATTAGCAATGTTTTCACTAATTTGATCAAAGAATGAATAATTTATTGTATACTCACTCAGCAAGATCTTGAGTGGTTAATGGATTTGGATAAGCGGACTCAATTAATTCTAAAACTTTCTCACGTGACAATTCTAATTTTTGTTCACCTTCTAATATAGTTTCATCTGTAGACACTGAAAGTTTAAGGTAATTATCATTAATTGATGTCATCATGCAATAGTTCACTTAAATGGATACTTTAAAAATTCTAATACTTTTTTGAATGCACGGTAGAAATTTAAATCAGTAAAAAATTTAATATTCTTCAAACATAACAATAGTGTTACTTAATTTGTAGTACAATGATTAGCATGCAAGTTAAGTAGGTGTACCATGAAACAGTCAAGCTATTTCACTGCCTGCACATATATAGGCATGACCTATTTAATTAAATTCAATTTCTGCAGGCTCTTGTTTAATCAATATTGTTATGGTAACTTTTTTTTAGAATCATGTTTATCTTATACATCATTCGCAAGCTAATATATCTAACAACAGCTCTGCATGGATATCTTTAAGATATAAAATAGTAAAAGTTCTTACCAGGTCTTACTGGGAATTCAATCGGTTCATCAATTTGCTTGAGTTCAATTTCTATACGGTCTATGCTTGTGTACTTATTCTGTACTAATTTCATAATTTTTTTGATAAAGCCAACATAATCTGGTAAACAAACATTATAAAAATATGACATGTAAAGTATTATCTTACCACAGATACTAATGAAAATATTATTTAATTTCAAATACCTCTGGGAAATTCAAGAGGACTGACAAGTTCTTTGAAAAAATCTTGCGCAACAGTAGCTCTATTTTCAGGCATTAAAGTATCTGGGAACCAGAAGAACAAAGTACGCTGCTCTTGGCTGTGAGTACCATTCTGGGCATCTACTAGAAATACTATAAACTTGAGTGATATTTGTGCTGGTTCGTTCTCATGATTGTCATCTGCAACAAATACAATAACAATTGTCAAAATGAAACACGTTGTCTGACAGACAAAATTATAAAATATAAAGCAGCAAAACTTACCAATCATCTGCTTGTTAATAATAATTCCCTTGTGATCGCCACCAGCAATGTGAATATCATCCTTATTGCCATTGAGAACAGGCTCTGCAGCCTGTCTCCTTCTCTCGATCATAATAGTCGTTGAATTGGCGGTTTTGCATTTCGGTGTCATAACAATTTGCTCGTGCATGGTTGCTGCAACAGTCCGATCGGAACAGGGACTTTGTTATTAGTTGAAATAAAATCGTGGAAATCCAAGAGAAATACCGCTCGGAGACAAAATCGATGAAAGAACGTCAACGTGAAACGACACGCTCGATCCCTCGAGACTAACGGAAAGTTCAACCGCCAACCCTAAGTTCATGCACCCCAACCCCTCTCTAAGCGCGGAGTTAGTCTCTTCCAAGCGTGTATATAGGTATGCGCGCGGTATAAATACGTATCCCCTTACGTAGTACTATAACGTACTATATAGAAGAAAATAGGGGCTGAATAAAACTCACCCGTGTCGCCGTTCATTTTGTCGTGTTCGGTTTGTTTTTCGCGCAAATTTTAATACAACACTTTTTCAAAATAAAAGTAACAACAGTCACTGCACGTCGCACAGCACTGCACACAGCTCTCACAGCGTAAACAACAACACGAGACTGCACACTATCTGACGTATACTACCGCGGCAGCGGCGGGTAACGCCCGCTGCTGTGTTTTCCCCGTGTGTACTATATATTTTTTTTATTTTCCCGCACCCACAAGCACCCGTGTGTGCGTTGTATCGCAGAGCCACGCGACGCCGCACAAGCGCGTTTCGCACACGGCACGACGAAGAGGATGGAAGCAGCAGCTGAAACTTTCTGCGCGCAGCACAATTCACGCCAGAGATAAGCGAGCGACTGCCAAACGGAGCAGAAAACGCGTTGTAGCATGCATGTGCCGCTGACGCCGCCGCGGCGAGTAGGTAGCAGTGGCGGCGGCGGCTCGAGCGCGCAAATTTCCCCTCCAGTTCGTGCACAACACAATAAATACGGTAGTCCGCGTTGTGTTATATAGGTATTAGCGGGCCCCGACGCTTTTTTGCGCTCGAGAGAGAGAAGACTCCAGACGGTTTTATAATAATATCACATTGTGTATAATATTCTGACTCACATCAGTAGCCAACTGCGCTTTTGTTAATTTTCTTGTATATTTACACGCAGCGATGCGCGCGCTTACGTTCGAGCGCAGTGCAATTTCGCATGCAGATGTGTTCGCGCGCGATGATGAGTCGCTTAGAAGCGCAGCTCCTTGTGCTATACGTTTTCTCGTCGATTACTCATTATTATCATTTTCACGACTGACTTCTTTTTCCCCGAAAGTATAATTCTTGCGCTCGGAATCGCTTTTTTTTCTTTACTTTTTGCAGCCAAGCATGGCACACGTGTCGTTTGTCAATTGAACTTGACACTCGCGCGTAAAGTAAGATTAATATAGTATAACGTGTGGACGTAAGATTAAAATTTCGATAAGGCGAGATTTTTATACCGATAAAATTAAAAGCCATCGATAAACGATAGCGATTGTTCGTACATGTAATTGTGATTTTGCTCACTCATACTCTCTGATCGTCGCCTCGAACAATTATTGTATAGCTTTGAATTCGTTTCCTCGACGAGTTATTCGAGCTCTCGCTCACTCGAGTCGCAGAGAGAGATGAAACAAAGTATACGTATATATATCGGCAATTGCGAGACACAGCTCTCGCTTTAATATTATATATCTGCGATCGTCGCCCGTCAACGGGTTATACAATAAATACTGTACAGACACGGGATCGTTGATCCGAGAATTGAACTCGACGAACGAACGACGACGACGATGGGTAAGATTCGCTCGCGCGCGTCACGTATTTGTTACATTCGTGCCGATGACGACGACGACGACGCTGATAAATTGAAATTGACACGAGCCGACGACGGGGGCCGGCGATTTCCTCTCGAATTTTCTCTCATCTGCTGTTGCTCGCCGTTGCAATGAGTCATATTTTTGCGAGCTCGAATACATGTATTTACGTTGACCGCGCGACGCACGAGACGATAAGTCGACGTTTTTTCTCTTTTTACGAGTGTCGAGTTTTCGTCAACAATTGCCCCGCGCACAGCACGCGCACGCATTTTTCATCGTTCATGGTAGTACATGTGAGCTGCAGAATCCAATGTTACAATATTATGCGGTCACCGCCGCTCATAACACGCAGACGTCCGACGATGATCGGCTTCGTGTTCATGCCTACGTGCGTATGTGACGATATTGCAACATAGTAAACGTTTACCGATGTATAAGTCACGCGTAATATTAGCGAGCCTAATTGTAATTTTGCACGACGAGCAAGAAACTATAATCTAATCACGTAGTACACGAAAAAGAATTTATTTTTATTTCACCGATTTCATGCGCCTGCAACTAGAAAATATTTACTACTCGTATGTATACCGATCCAGCGAATCGCCGATCGAACTTGTTTTTATTTTTATTTTCGCCATCGAAGCAGCGCTCGTTAGATCGAGAGATGTCTGGAGCGCGAATTTTTGTAATTCCCCCGCGATAAAAATAAAATAATGAACTTTCATTGACCCGCTGCTGCTGCAACACGTAGCAGCACACATCGTCGTATGTGTACAATAGTGCGAATTGCGAGACTCTGCAAACGATTAAACAAACAAACGATTACGATGTAATTATCCGTGACTGGTATGTGTGTACTTTATCCTTGGCATCGCTCTGCGAGTCCTTGATTTTCTCGAAGATCGAGGATTCGACCTTAATCGCGCGAGGCGACTGAATTACACTGCACATCTGTGTACTTACATGCAATTATTATTATAGTCGCACGGCTCCTGCAAGAAACGTCACACGTTGCGCGCCGACAAATTTCCGCGAGTTGACGCAATAAACCGGACTCCTTGCGAGAATCGTCAACTACTATACTTCTTCTTTTTCATTTTCTTCGCTACAATCGGTTTTTTTAATGCAAAAAAAAGAAAAGACGATTCGTTACCCACACACGTCCAATTTGTATAATTTACTCTTGCCCGACGCGGAATCACGAAAAAGTTATAAAAATAGAAACTCTTTCCACGAGTATAACTCTTATACGTATTAGTAAATCTCGACCGTATAGAAAACGTTGCGCGTTTTGCGAAGCTTTAAACGTACGCTACGGGCATGAATAAAAGCCGGGCCTAAGAATATTAGCCTACTTTATTATAGCGCGCGCGCGCGAAGCGGAAGGCGCCCACACACACACGCGGGAAAGTGTCTGCGAACCTGAATCCTAATGACCCGCACAAATGAAAACTTGCACTCACGTACACCCAGCTATAATATAGGCTAGGCGATGATAGACTCTTGCTTTCGTGTTTTTATCCCATTTCCTCGCGCGCCGGGGCAGCGATGAGAAAATCGATAGATACTTATGTGCTCTTGTTATCGCTCGTGTTATAGAGCTTGGAGCTCGCACGCGCGGCGAGAGCAGCGGCTATTGTTGTTTTTCAATCACTATCTTGTAAGTTGAAAATTAAAAAAAAAAATTTAAAAAAAAAGACACAGTGACGTACTGCACATTACTATACTCGCATGTGCATAATCATAACGCTGTTATTCGAATCGTGCGCGAGATAGTTCCAGCAAGTAGCGGCCGATGCAGAGGTTTGCTTTTTCAACGACTTCTTCGAAAACTGGGTTATCATCAAACTTTATATATTGGGGCAATAATGAAAGAATTTCGTAAGAGTAGTCGCTGCGGCCGATGTTGTAACGTCCGACGCAATCCATTACGAGAGATAATAAAGCTCTTTATGATGTCCGAAAAGATGAGCGAGAAGGAAGCTTCCTATGTGCGAGATGATTTAATGTATTACGAGAGAGTTTGTCGAGCCGATTATTGTCTCTCGCACTCTATACAAGGCGACGAGATAGGCCAGTTTTAACCGACTTCGACTGCCCCCTTTGGCAAATAAGTTTTGAAGATATATTTACGAGACACCACTACGTAAAAACATCGTGCAGAAAATGACTCGCGTCGAGCACGGCTTTTTTCGTAAATGCAGCAACTGCATCGTATATATACGAGGTATACGCATCGAGATGTGTAATTAAAAAGCTGCCGAGTAAGCTCATTGTACGTAATGTACTCGAGGCAGACTGTATATAACTCGTCGCGAGGGCGTTGGTCGCACTCGAGATTTGCCCTACTTGTACTTTCCCACTCACACACACACATGCGCACACGTGCACGCACATGCAAGCCTCTTTGATAGCGTATATAGTATCTAGCCCCGAGCTTTCGGACAGTGCACCCAGGCTGCGATTCAAAAGAAGCTTTATACGCTCTGTCGCGAGAGCGCCTGCACGTATATAACCACCTGGCTACGTGTGCACACATGTCTGCGCGTACGTGTGTGCGTGACTTTTATTAAGCCTTTGCCCGCGACGTTATATACTGCGTCTGGGATCGTGAGTTTTTCTTTTCTTTCGAATAAACGCCGAGCCAGCGACGAAAGCTCGCGAGCTTTTAATTGCGAGCAGCCCTTGCCAAAAGAAACGCGATGTATGTATTTTTAGGCAGGGCAATTGCCAAGAGTCATTGACTTTTCGTGCAAAACACCTTTCGTATGTGTGTATATCGTAGCACGCGTGTGTGTATATAATATCTATCTCGCGACTAAGAAAGCACGTGTGTATAATAATATTCCTTGAAACCGAGTCACGTTTGTTTGCAAACAAAACTTTCACGGTGCGGATAGTTATGAGCGAAGCTCGAGTAATAAAAAAATCGGTAAAGATCGGCTCGAACCGGTATTGCGCCGGGTATACTCGTCTCGTCGGCGGCTGCTTACGCTATCAACTTCGCGCGCTGCCACTTTCGCATATTATTGCTCTTCTCTTGACGATTTTTTTTTATCGAGCCAATTCGAGTTAAAAATCCCCATTCTCTCTTTCTCTCGTTCGAAGATTATGATTCCGACGCGACGCCGTTGTTGTTGTTTTTTAAGAGGGGCTGCTTATTGCGGCTGGTGCACGCGCGCACCGCACACGCATGATGCAAAATCTGAAATTTCTTTCGAAGCTCGTGCACGCACGCGAAAATCGATTGATTTGTTACATCAGGCACTCAGCGAGTCACGAGCGAGCTACTTACTTACTTACTTACTTGCGATCGTCTCGCGGCGCTCCATATTCGGACTGCGCCGACTGTGTTGTGAATTTTTGTCTGCAATTATAATCTCGATCGCTACCACTAGATATTGTATATTTGGCCAAAACAAATAATCACGAATCGTAAGAATACAATTTGATATAATTGTAACCGGGTATATGAATCGATATATTGTGCTGGCCCCAAGGGCAACGCGATTATTTCGATTGAAGTGAAAAAAAAACGAATTTTCGTTACTTCAATTTATGTATACTTTTGAAGTTCATTGGACGAAAAAAAACCCGGTATGTTTTTGATACAGCTGGTGATAAGCGGATGGCACACGTGAATTAATATATAATACATGATATAAGCCCATCTGTTCCCACGTGTTGGCGGAAAAATTAAAAAAAGAAGATGATTTGTCACTGTATTATCGCGTTATTTTATAATAGTTTTATCGGTCGGTGACAAAATATCATCATCGCGCTCCATGTAGCGCAGCGTGCGCGAGATTACAAAAAACCAACGCAGTTGGAAAGAGATACTTTTCCTTCACTTCGATCGCGATACATATACAAGTGTATAAAATAAGTATGTATAATCGACGAGAGCACAGCAGCAGCAGCAAACTTCGAATCTGGAGGGGCGGCGCACGCGGGGGCACTTTCAAGCATATACGTACATTTAATTTATAATATGTATAAGCTGCACACGTTCGGTTATGAGCCACAGTTCGACATCGCTACTGGAAGCTTCAACTTGATCAAGCGAGAGCCGCGAAAGAGACGGAGATTATCTCTGCAGTTATATAGTACAGACGCGGAAAAGTTTTATACACGCACATACAGCAGCACGACGAGTCGTCATAATCGTAATCGAGTCGCATTTTTCGTTCGCGGATCAGCTGCCAGACTTTTCTTTTTCGATTGCATAGCGAGCGACGTCTGCTCGTCTCTTCGAGAAAATCTCTCATTCACGTTTTTGCGGAACTACGAGTGCGTTGGCAATAGATAGCTGTTGCAGTAAGACGAGCTGAAACTCGACTTTTCTCGATAAATCGGCAACTATCGGCAAATATCGGAAGAAAATCTAAATTTGCCTGTCATTTCCACTGCGAATCGCAACGAGGAAATTTATAAATAGAAATCAGTGAAATTCGAAAGAAAATAAAAAATCCGAAAAAAATGCCAAGCGGAAAAATGCGCGTAGCCGTGATCGGGGGTGGAGTCGCGGGCCTCGTAGTGGCTCGTCACGTCGTCGCCCGACCGGAGCTTTACGACGTGTGCCTGTTCGAGCAGACGGACAAGATCGGCGGCACCTGGGTCTACACCGACGAGACCGAGCTCGATCGCAACGGCCTTCCCGTGCACAGCAGCATGTACAAAAATCTCAGGTATGCTGCAGTTTGTAATTAAATTGATTTGCGTAACGCGCGCGCGGTTTAACTGGTTTTTTCCCGCGCGCTGCTGTGCCCACTCGATACTTTCGATTCGCACGTTTTACGCGGGTAATAATTACATACGTGTTTGTGGGTTGCAGAACGAACTTGCCGAAGGAAATAATGCAGATACCGGATTTTCCATTCGCCGAGAAGAAAGGCCCGTCCTTCGTTCACCACAGCGTCATACGCCAGTACCTCGAGGATTACGCTCAGCACTTTAAACTCTATCCTCATGTAAAAGTCTGTACATAAAACTTTTAATTTTTCTCTCTCTATCTCTAGACGATTAATTAAATGTCTCTATTGTTGTTTTTGCAGCTCAACCACTTGATCGAGCACGTGGAACCGGAGAAGCTCGCCAACGGCCAAGTTATCTGGCAGGTGAGCTACCTCGACCTGGCGACGCGCATCCGCGAGCGTCGTACCTTCGACGCGGTCTTCCTCTGCAACGGCCACTACACCGTCGGAAACGTGCCCGAGATCGAGGGCATCGAGAGCTTCCCGGGCAGCAAGATCCACAGCCATCAGTACCGCCAGCCCGAGCAGTACGCCGGCAAGTCGGTCTGCATCCTGGGCGCCTCGTGGTCCGGCATCGACATCTGCCTCGAGGTGCACAAGCACGCCCGACGCGTCTACATCTCGCACAATCTCGCCCAGGAGCTCGACGTCAAGATCGCCTCGAACGTCGACGAGAGGCCGGGTATCGAGCGATGCGACGGCTCGACCTTCTACTTCCGGGACGGATCGAGCGCCCAAGTGGACGTGCTGATCTACTGCACGGGCTATCACTTCACCTATCCGTTCCTGTCGGACAAGGTGAGGCTGAGCACCGAGGACAATCACGTGGAGCCGATCTACAAGCACCTCGTGCACATGGACTGGCCGAGCCTCTTCTTCATGGGTCTGCCGGCCATCGTCATACCCTTCCCGATGTTCCACGTGCAGGCGCAGTTCCTGCTGGCGGTGCTGGAGGGCCGAGCCCGGCTGCCTCCGCGCGAGCTCATGTACCAGGAGTACGAGGCCGAGAAGCAGAGTCTGCTCAAGGAGGGTGTCGCGGTGAGTTACAATAGTGGTGGTACATTTCCATCGGATTTCGTGTATCTTATCGCGCGCGTCGTACACGCGACACGACCATCTGTAAGATAGCGCGCGCGAGCCATGACTTTGACATTTTTCGTGTAATGTGTCATTTGGCCCGATGACAACAGTTCACTCACAATCTATTTTTCCTCGTGTGCTGCAGCTGAGGCACATCAACAAGATGTGCAAACGCCAGTGGGCCTACTACGACGAGATTGCCAAGGCCGCCGGCTGTCCGGCCTTCAAGCCGGTCGTGCGCAAGATCTACGAGCACTGCAACAAGATGCGCGACATGGACTTCACCACCTACAAGAACTACATGTACAGAATCGTCGACGACGAGAACTTCGAGGTGGCTCCCTGTAAGGGTCTTTGTTAGGGTCTACGCCCCCAACATCGAGAGAGAGAGAGAGCTAAAAATCTGCATAATATTACACGTTACTTTTAAGCATTTATCTATAAGTACTTGTAAATGATAGTTAATATTCCTCGCCATTGAAATGCATTTAATTTTTTTTTTGTATATTGTATATTTCAACTTTTGTACTCTCGAGTCTTGCATCAATAACACATCAATTATTTGTAATGATATTATTAATATTTTCCTCAATAAAAATGAGCTCGATCGCAGAAAACGTACGCGCCGCATTGAATATAAGCTTTGTAAAATTTTTTTATCGCGTTGACCCACAAAAATACGAACGGGAGACGAAAATCGTAAATGTGCAGTGCGCGCAATCGTCCGAGATAATATAACTAGCCGATCGAGCCGCTATCAAAAATTATTAATTTACATGAGAAAAAAAGCCTCGATTCAATTTTTTATTAAACATAATAGTTGATGTCTGCTGATCGACTTTACTTGTTCTACAATTGATAAAAAAAACAACCGTACGATGTATGTACAAACGACTAATTCATTTCGTGTCTACCAAGTTTTCAGTCCTTACAAATGTTTGTTTATTAATTTTAAATAAATTTTATAACCACAGATTATTATAGTTTAACCAATTTGAAGGATAGTGCGTTAATTCATCTTGTTCATGTACGTAGTTTTTCAATACAATGTACTGCCACTTCAATCTTGACTATTACAAGTTTCGTAGGTATTTTCTGATGATACGTAAATTATTTTTAATCAGTCAAACGTATCCACCTACAAAATTCTGTAAGAACTAAATATAATATAAATAAATCGACTGTATTCATTTTTCAGAGGATATCAAAGTTAGTGTAATTTGAAAATCTTCCAACGGGTTTTTCTGAAAATTACCTAGAATGTTCTGTCTTGAAAAAATTACTTTAAAATTTTACAATTTACTTCAACTTTCAATTTTGTTAATGAACTATTCATCTATTACATTTAAAAGTCTCAAAATAAAATTAAGCACTTGACTGATCGAAATTATTTGATGCTTTATCAATTATAAAATAAAAATTGAGTCTGAAAATAATCGAGGGAATTCCCCATTGCAAACAGCATTCTTATATCTACAAACTGGAATAAAGCTGTCAACGAAGGTTGATATCAATGAATATCATATGATATTAAAAAAAACAATTTTCCACAAAAAATTTCTGAACTGCCTTCAGGATGCTTTAATCATGCACAGCAAACCATAGCTCAGTAGTTCTCTTTTTGAAAAGATCTTATCCAAAAAATGTATAATTTTTTTTATAAATTCATGATGTAGGTAACACAGTCACTTTTTATGATATTTACTTACATGCATGCCAATATTTTCTTATATATTACCAATTTATAACCATTCAAGTGGTACCTCATATTCATTACAATAATTAATAGTCTTGTAGATTAAAATTAAAAACAGAAATTAAAGTAATACAAAAAATTCTAAAGAAACTAATGAAGTAAATATTTTAAAAATGTATTTATATGAATACGATAAATTTGCACCATTTGACAATATCAGATATTAAGAAACACTGCAATTATATGCAACACAAGCTTCAGCCTGTAACCGCTATGAAAATACTACATAAATCTTTGTTTATTAGCTGGTTAATGATCATTTCACAGTATAGAATTGGCAGTCGATAGTGCGTCAGCTCCAAGAAAGAATCCAATGCCCATAGACGACAAAATCTTATAATAATTTCCCTCAGGTGAGCAGCACAAGCCAGTCTGGGTCCTTCATCGATCTCAAAATAATCTTCATACATAAACCGGTAGTATTCCGTATATGTAAATATTTTTTCCGCGTTTTTGGGTTGTAATTGGACCACGTCGTAGAGTGAAAGGCTCGAATTCATCATCCATTTTTTCGTTTCAATTATGAACTCGTCATCGTACAATTTTGTGTCAAGATCAGTTGATATCTCGAACATTCCATACTTGGCAAAATATTTTATGATGGTTAGAGCGCCTGTTCTGTCTAATTCGTATCCTCTTTTCTCTAAACGTTCGATAATGATCAGAGTAGCCGACGCTAATAAACTTTGCGTATCATGCGCGATGATGTATAACTCGCCATAGTAACTCTCATTAGGGAAAACGAAGCTCGACAGATCACGCCACGATCCAAGAGTACATCGACCACATTAGGCAAAAAATTGGAAACAGCTAATTGCAGCGGTGTCCGACCCAAGTTATCTCGGGCGTCAATTTGCACCGACTGCTGGATTTCGTCGTTGATTTTGAAAAACATCTCTGCCATGTCTCCATCTACCTCGTGGTTGCAAATGAAGTGCAAAGTTGTCAATCCATCCTTGTTGGTCAAGTTTGGATCGGCACCTCCCCTCAGCAGCACCCAGACAATATCCTCATTGACGCTGGTCACAGCCAAATGTAGCGGCGAATCACCTGTTGTTTGTAGGAGATTCGGATTCTGCCCAACCTCGAGAAATTTTTCGACATTGTCCTGAAGATAATATCGGCAGGCCACGTGAAAATGAGTGTATCCTGATTCACCGGTGTAATTTACGTCGCATCTGTCGTATATTTTAAAAAGTGCTTCGATAGTTGTACGCGTGTCGATGGACCAGACTTTAGCCGCATGATGGATTGCTGTGGTCTGATGCAAAATTGGCTTGCCATCTTCATCAATTTTGGGCTCGTCTTTGTAGCCGGTCTTGATCACAAAGCTAATCGTAACATATCGACTCAAACCTTCACCGTAGCTCAGGTTCTTCACATCCTCCAAGAGAAGCCAGTCAATTTTTTCTTTTCGAAAAAAGTCTCGGAGATCCGGAAGCTGATCCTCCCAATCACTGATTAACGAAGAAAATTCAAGGAAAAACTCGTGTCGCTCTTTTTCGGTATCCCAATTGAACTTTTTTCGTAAGTTCTTCAACTGTTCCAAATTTGAGATTTCTTCTTCGGAATCGTAAGCATGCCGAAAGAGGTAAGGGTAAAACGGGTCATCGAAACTTTCATCGGATGCGTCGTCAGAACTTACTTCGGATTCGTCGTCGGAACTTTCATCGGATTCGTCGTCGGACGTGGAAATTAACATAGTTCTGAGTACTCACACAACACGGTGGTTTACAATATAGAATATCTTTTCACTTTTCATTGCAAGAATCACCAGCTGCAAGCGATGCAATTTGCATACCTTTGCACTGTGGCGTCGTAAGGAGCCTACTAACTGCACACACAAATTAAACTCTTTAGTCTAAACAGCGTAAACTTTAGCCTTAGCGTAAAAGTTATGCAGAATGCGAGTTACATGTATGCCATTTGAGACAAATGCACTTAGTAGCCAACACGAACACGGAGTCAAAGCGAGGCAAGCGACGAGTGCGACGCGATACGTACAGACGTTACAACTTACAAGTTACAACAGTCTGAGCAGCGAGCAGAAGTCAACTGTTCTAACAGCTTACTGCTGCAATCCTTGCAGCAGAGTGAGCGAAGTCAATCTTACTCAAGAACGCAGGGCCAATCGGAGCGCGCGAAAAACTGTCTTCGCATGGAGTCTTGCGATTATCGCGCTTGCTCGTCAACTTGAGAAACAAAAAGTGGCAAAGGGTTAATAAATTGCCAAAATATTTTAAGATTTTAAAACTCATTATAAAAGTATGATTTTATTCCATTGCCACCCAATTTGATTTTTTTAACGAACTATTCATCAATTTAAAGTTAAAAAGCCCAGAGTAAAATTGAGCACTTGTCTTGTCAAATTGTTCGATTCTTCGTAAATTTTAAATAAAAAATTTGGCCTAAAAAAGTCAAGGGGATTTCCCATTGCAAATATCAGCATTGCATTTTTATATCTATTAACTTAAAAAAGTTGTAGATGGAAGCTGACATGAACAATCTCAATTCATGCGAATAAGTCTCGAAAAGATCATATACTTTTGAAGTCTCACACAGTCGACCTGGTTCAATAATTCTGTTCACAAATTTTTTTTGGTAAAGGTGGTATTTTTTTATTATTAATTCATAGTGCAACACAGTCTCGGTTTCATCATATTTACATACATGCGTGATAACACTCTTTTATTTATTATTTATTAACAACAATCCAAATCATATTCCTTGTAGTCGTTATAATAAATTTTTTTTTAATTTAAAATCGATAAAAGGAATTAATGTAAAACACAAAGAAATCTAAACAAAAATTAATAAATTGAATTTTTTTTAAATTTATTTATTTGAATATGAAACATCTGCAATAATTAATAACACCAGACATAAAAAATGCTCATTAAAATTAGGAGTTTTGGTCGTCAGCTGTCAAAAAAATATTGAATAAATCTTTGTTCATTAGTTTTTCAAAAATAATTTCACAGCATAGAATCGGCAGTCTGTAATGTGTCAGCTCCAAGAAAGAATCCAGTGCCCATCGACGGCAAAATCCTCTCATTATAATCTCGCCCAGATGAGCATTCAAAGCCTCATCACATTTTTCGGATAATTTCCAAAAAGTTTCCTCGTAGTAGTCATCAAACATATCATATGTAAATAGTTTGTTGGCCTTTTCGGGACGCAATCTGACCAGGTCGTAAAACGACAAGTTCGGACTCACCTCGTACTTTTTGGCTTGCACAGCGAATTGTTCATCATCGTACCAACATTCGTCAAGATCGACAGGCGATTTGAACAAATGGTGCTTGGCGAAAAATTCCATGATCGTAAGAGCGGCTCTTCGATCCAATTCGTATCCCCTTTTCTTTAGACGTTCAAGGATGGTCAGAGCATCGTACGCTAAGTGAACCATAAAATCATTGCAACGATTATTATCCATGACCCATCGATCGCCTAAATAGCTTTCATCGGGGTAAACGAAGCTAGACACATCAGCGCCATTATCCAAGACTACATCGAGCACACGCGGCATAAAATGCGCTACGGCTAACTGCAGCGGTGTACGGCCTAAATTGTCCCGAGCATCGACTTTCACCGGTTGATTTACTTCGTCGCCAATCTTGAAAAATAGCTCTGCTAGTCCTTCATCTTGATCTTGGCTGCAAATGACATGCAGAGGAGTCGATCCGTCCTTGTTAGCCAAGTTTGGATCGGCACCTCCTCTCAGCAGCATCGCTGGAATATCGTAATTACCGCTGTTCACAGCCATGTGTAGCGCCGAATCACCTGTTTCTGGCCACAGACAATTGGGATCCTGCCCAACCTCGAGAAATTTTTCAACTTTGTCCTTAAAGTGATACCTGGAGGCTATATGAAAATGAGTGTATCCTGATTCATCAGAGTAATTTACGTCGAATCTGTCGTATATTTTAAAAAGTGCTTCGATCACGATTTTCCAGTCGAGGGACCAGACCTTAGCCATATGATGGATTGCTGTGGTCTGATGCAACATTGGCTTGCCATCTTCATCAATTTTGGGCTCGTCTTTGTAGCCGGTCTTGATCACAAAGCTAATCGTAATATATCGACTCAAACCTTCACCGTAGCTCGGGTTCTTTACATCCTCCAAGAGAAGCCAGTCAATTTCTTCTTTTCGAAAAAAGTCTCGGAGATCCGGAAGCTGATCCTCCCAATCACTGATTAACGAAGAAAATTCAAGGAAAAACTCGTGTCGCTCTTTTTCGATATCCCAATTGAACTTTTTTCGTAAGTTCTTCAATCGTTCCAAATTTGAGATTTCTTCTTCAGAATCGTAAGCGTGAGGGAAGAGGTAAGGGTAAAACGGATCGTCGAAACTTTCATCAGAATCGTCGTCGAACATGAACCAAAACATCATTCTGAGCACTGACAAACAACACACAATGGGTTAAAATATAGAATATTTTAACACTTTTTTTCGCGAGAATCACTAGCTGTTGTCGATGCAATTTTTGTGGTTCACGCTGTAGCGTCGCAACGTCTACTACACTTACACTAAGCTCTATATTTGAGCGTAAATTTTAATGCGTAAAACTTAAGATAACGTGGGCTATGCGTACGTTGTTTGACAATTGACAGAGCAACCCGCGCGAAAACGCACACGGCACATAGGCAGAGCGATCAGACAAGCGACGAACGTGAGACACGAGAGGAACTGATCACTGACGCTGCAAAGACGTTACTAAGTACGGCTCGATCGCGAAGTATAGTGTGGGATGGTCTACACTCGCTGCAGCGCCTGCAGCAGTACAGAAGTGAACTTATGGGCACTTAACTGACGAGTGTCGAGCGCCGGCCAGTAAAAGCGCGCGAAGCAACTAAACGCTACTGCGAAGCTAGAAGCAGAAAACCTGAAGATTTTTTTCGGCAGAAAACTTGCGATTGCGATCACTCATTGCCGTCATACACAACTACGTTGAATTCACCGTACATATATGCATTGACGGTGACGTCTTTCGCGTAATATGAGTACCGCGTCCAATTCTAAAAAGCGATAAAAAACAAATCGTCGATGTGGGAGTAATTAAACGTTTATGACCACGCGACTGTTGCTGTATAAAAATAAATATTGCTATTTTTTATTCAATCGAGTCTAAAAAATAAACATTTATTTTCATTCAGAAATTAGTGTTGCTCCATGTCGTAGTCAAGATAATCGTCGTCATCCACCCTTCGCTGGTTGTGATGGATGATGAGTATTGCTGCATATATTATCAGATATACACCAATTATTGCAACAAAGCCCACAAAAAGTTTTAAAGGCAAATTAAATATTGGATACTCTGGGAAGCACCTGTGGATTAAAAAGAAAAACAGTCATTCACGCTGCCCCTTTAACAATCGTTTGTAGCATCTTACCATTGTATGTGCTCTACGCCCCGGTTGTTTCCTCTTTCCGGCTCTCTGGACAGCTGCAAAAAAAAATTTTGTGAGTCGCTTCAAGTTTTTTTCTCTCTATAAATCAGTTACATGTAATAAATTATATTAAATTACCTCTATCGTCGCGGACGGTGGAAAGTTGACTCCTTCCATTGAATTATCGGACCCTCGTCTTTGGTAGATTGCTGGTAAATTGCTGAAAATTTGCGCATCAGTTTCGCATGCTTGGCTACCTTCTTCCGACGGGCTTCTGTCGTTCTCATCTGATTTGGCTTTCGGTGGCCCTGACGCTGGTCCCAGCAAATTATCCGGTGGCTTCACCGGCGATTCCGGTGATGCCGGTAGTGGCCCTATCCCCACTGGTGATTCTGCTCGTAGTGGTGGCTCCACCTGTTCTTGAACTTCAGTTGGACTCGGTGACATTGATTTCGAGCTTCTTCGGAATTCGTGAATCGCTTGGACATAAGTCGCGATATTCTTCTCCTCGGGAACCTGCTCCGGGGCTCTCTCCTCTCGCTGAAGCTCATTTTCAGAAGCTTCATTCCCGACTTCTTCGGGCGCATTTAAAACCGACCTCATAGCAGTCCTGAGTCGTCCGACACCGTGCTTGATCGACGTCATGCCCATGATCAACATCCTCAACGTCTGTCTCTCCTCTGTTTGACTCATTTTTCGATCGAACGAAAAAATAAATAGGGTTTAATAACGCACACGCGTTAATTCAATCGGTTTGTTCAACGTCGTCCGCGATACTGAGACAGTTCCGAGAGTTTTTCGATTTGACTTATAACGGTCGAAGCCGCTTGTATGTAATATAGGCCATTGCGATGTTTACATCACATGAACTACGAAGATGGGATAAAGAAAATTTCAAACGTGAATCGAGATAAAATTCTCTACCCAGGCTCCAAATTAAGTATCCGTGAAAAAGAGTATTTAGTGACAGACATAAGTCAGAATAAGTCAGTTCCCGGGACTATTTGAATTTTTTCCTACACTTGAAAATAGATCTACACTGAAATTTGAGTAATCAAAGATCATTACCTGCACCTCGTATCAATTTTTTTCTTTCTCTTACTTATATCTTTCAAGTTTGCTGTCTCTCATGTAATAAGATCACTATACGCTCAATCGTAAAAGGCAATAAAAAACAAATCGTGTAAGTTTTGAGCAACGTGTTTGTGTATTGGTATTTTTATACATCATTTTTCAATCAATTGTGACGACGCAGAAGTTTTAATGTGTAAAAAAAATTATTGACATTTTTCATTCAATCGATCGAGTTTAAAAGTTAAAAAGTTATTTCTACATGGGAGGAGTTGGACCTCACCATTTTCTTGGTCGTGGTGTGGTAGGGTTTTGATCATTGTCATCGTGACGATCAGGCTTGAACAGCTTGTTCAACTCCTTGGGACCGATTTAAACGGGCGACTTCTTCAACTCCTCGGGACCGTAATGAATAAACACTGCGAGATTGATAAGGACAGCGACGAGTAATACGAACATTAACAAAGTTATCCAGTTTTCACGCAGCTTTTGAAAAAACACATTCCACCTGTGAAGTAAAACAAATATGCATACACAAGTCATTCGTGTGGTTTCTTTAATTTTCAAAATTTTGGCATTTTACCATCTTGGGTTTGCTGGAACGACGTGCTCGTCATTTCTGGACCGCGCCTGTTCCGTAAATTAATTTTTTATCAGTTATTTCAATTTTTTTTTAAATCAATTAGCATATAATATTAAATTTTCTTTTAACCTGTACCACGTCTTGTCTAATTTGCTCTGGTGCTACGAGGTGGGCATTTTGTCCTATTGGTTCATACTGTTGCACCGACGGGTTGTCGTCCGGGACAGGTCTGTCATGGTTCGGACGCGCCTGCTGCACAACGAAAAACAATTTTTTACCAGTTATTTCAATTTTTTTTCTTTCTAAAAATCAATCAGCATATAATATTTTCTGTTCACCTGTTGTTCCACGTCTTGTCTAATTTGCTCTCGTGGTACGAGGTGAACATTTCGATCTTTCCATCGATATTGATAGCCTCCTGCCGGCTGGTTGTCTTCCGAGACGTATCTGTCATGGCTCGGCCGCGACTGCTGCTCGACAAAAAACAATTTTTTATCAGTTATTTCAAATCTTTATTTCTTTCTAAAAATCAATCAGCATATAATATTTTCTGTTCACCTGTTGTTCCACGTCTTGTCTAATTTGCTCTCGTGGTACGAGGTGAACATTTCGATCTTTCCATCGATATTGATAGCCTCCTGCCGGCTGGTTGTCTTCCGAGACGTATCTGTCATGGCTCGGCCGCGACTGCTGCTCGACAAAAAACAATTTTTTATCAGTTATTTCAATTCTTTATTTCTTTCTAAAAATCAATCAGCATATAATATTTTCTGTTCACCTGTTGTTCCACGTCTTGTCTAATTTGCTCTCGTGGTACGAGGTGAACATTTCGATCTTTCCATCGATATTGATAGCCTCGTTCCGGCGAGTTGTCGTCCGAGACGTATCTGTCATGGCTCGACCGCGACTGCTGCTCAACAAAAAACAATTTTTTATCGTTTATTTCAATTCTTTATTTTTTTTTCTAAAAATCAATCAGCATATAATATTACATATTTTCCACTAACCTGTTCCACGTCTTGTCTAATTTGCTCTCGTGGTACGAGGTGAACATTTCGATCTTTCCATCGATATTGATAGCCTCGTTCCGGCGAGTTGTCGTCCGAGACGTATCTGTCATGGCTCGGCCGAGACTGCTGCACAACGAAAAATAAATTTTGTCGTTTATTTCAATTCTTTATTTTTTTTTCTAAAAATCAATCAGCATATAATATTACATATTTTCCACTAACCTGTTCCGCATCTTGCCTTATTCGTGCTGTTTGATTCGAGATTTGCTCTGGAATCAAATTCTGAGGCAAACTTTGTGTGCTATCAATATCATACTCAAACGTCCCAGGTAGTATTGGCCTAAGCGAGCTTTCTGCTTCGTCGTGCGGTGTTACAAGCGGCGTGCGATAATTCCGTGGCCTCGTTCTTGTTTCTGGTATTGACGACGCTGACGATTCGACTGATGCCTCCGAGGTCGAGCCTCTTCGGAGTTTGAGAATCGCTTCGTCGTCGGACGTGACAGGCTCGGCGCTCGAACTGGTCACGACATCCTGCTGCGCGCGACTCCTCTGATTGTCTCCTTCCAACTGGACCGACCTCGCTCGGGGAACCCGTGGTCGAGGCTCGTTTGCTGGACTGGCTTCGTGGGACTGGGCTTCGTTCCCAGAGTCTTCATTGGTCTGGGCTTCCTCCCTGCTTATGAGTCGATGGATACTTGGCCTTTTTAAGGGCTGCGTTTTGGGCTCCTGACCTGGTGCCGCTCTGTCCTGTTCTTGACTCATTTTTCGCGCGAACAAAAAACAGAAATTAGGATACACGTGAGTTTATTATTGAATCGATGCGTTCAACGTCGTCCGCGATACTGACAGTTACAATTAGAGTTTTCGATTCGTCGTACGATCAAGTCGGCAGCGTGTAAATATGGGTCGCTGCCGCTGAAATGTTTACATCTTATGTACAACGGAGACATCGATCGTTAAATATCAAATACGAATCGATATATTTTCTATTGAAAAAATAATCCAAATGAATCCTCATATATATTGCAGAACTTTGAGTGCGAGAAATAAAAAAATCTTACGCGGTCACAACAAAGAATGTTTTATGCAAAACATTTAAAAAAATCTTGCCCCTCGAGCTTGAATAACTCCGGAGATTTTTGAATTCTTGCTCTTCTATAGATTTACAATTCAAGGAATAATTGTTTTGTCTCATTTTTATTAAGTATACCTAACGTGCGTAAAGAAATTTCGCTTTTATCTGGGAAAATGTAATATACAAGTGTATAACACTCATGTTTTTTTAAACATCAAGTACCCATACCGTTGAGTGAAACATTTACTTAGAAAAAAGTAAAATATTATCTACTTGACAAATTCAGTAATAAAGAGAGCAGACTCGATTTGGGAAAGTAAAGTATTCTTGTTTACCTCGATAATAATGGAAATTTTATTTTGCGATAAGGCAACCGTAAATATATTATATTGAACAGAAAATGAACAGGGTATTATGTGCGATATTAAAAGTGCCGTAATATATTGTACCATTACAGGAACCGTATAAAATCTAAGTGCACACTACGTGTAAATTTCATTTGTAAATTTTAACTCGAATACGCTTGTATGGAATATTGCATATTACCGACTTTGAAAATCACTATAGGCGACGAATTATGATTTGAGCACCACGAATAGTGTACAGAATCCAGAAAAAGTAAGAGTTGATCCTCCCAGTATTAGATGAGTTTGATATTTCGATGCTCTAGTCATAACTCCTATATGGACTTTTGAGTAGGCAAGCTGCTATTAAGACGTAAACCTCGTAGTCGTTATTATAATTATCATTTCTTTTCAATTAAAGTTTAATACTGATGTGCAAAAATCAAATAAATTAATGAGTTCAATTTTTTTTAGTTAATTTATTTGAATATTGAAAATACACAACGTCAAATAACACTTGACATTGAAATATTACCCAAATGATAATCGACATCATGAGCTTTGGCCCGCAACCGCCATGAAAATATTGCACAAATCTTTGTTCATTAGTTTCTCAAAAATAATTTCACAACAAAGAATTGGCAATTGGTAACCCGTCAGCTCCAAGAAAGAATCCAGTGCCCATCGACGACAAAATCTTCTCATTATAATCTCTCTCACGTGCGTAGCACAAGCCAGTCTGGGTTCTTCCGCGATCTCGAAATAATCTTGATGCATAAACTGGTAATAGTCCGTATATGTAAATAATTTTTCCGCTTTTTTGGGTTGCAATCGGACCACGTCATAGAGTGAAAGGCTCGAATTTATCATCCATTTTTTCGTTTCAATTATGAACTCCTCGTCATCATACAATTTTGTGTCAAGATCAGTTGATATCTCGAACATTCTGCGCTTAGAAAAATATTTTATGATGGTTAGAGCGCTTGCTCGGTTCAATTCGTATCCTCTTTTCTCTAAACGTTCGACGATAATCAGAGTATCGGATGCTAGTAAAAGGGTGATATCAGCGAAATGAGAATCTTCTCGGCTAAATGTCTCACCGAAGTAACCTTCAGTGGGAAATACGAAACTTGATAGATCAGCGCCACGATTCAAGAGCACATTGAACAAATTTGGCAAAAAATTCGCTACAGCTAACTGCAGTGGTGTCCGGCCTAACTTGTCACTGGCATCGACTCGAACCGGCTGATATTTGTGGTTGCCAAGCTCGAATAACATGTCGACTAATTCCTCGTCGTCGTCATCTCTTTGACATATTATGTGCAAAGGTGTTAGTGCCTGTGCATTGGATAAATTTGGATCGGCGTCGTTTCTCAACAACAATTTTACCACACTAGTATTTCCCATCTCCAGAGCCAAGTGAAGCGGCGTATCGCCTGTTTCATCTACGATACAATTGGGGTCCTGCCCAAGCTCAAGAAATTTCTCGACGATGTTTTTAAGGCCAAACTTGCAGGCCGCGTGAAAATGCGACAGACCAGACTCGTCGGTGTAATTCACGTCGAATCTGTTGTATATTTTAAAAAGATTAGGGAGAACGTCTGTGAGGAAGCAGTGTCTAGATGCATGATGTACTGCTGTGGTGCGCCTTAACAATGGCTTTCCGACTTCATTAATTTTGGGCTCGTCCTTGTAGCCTGTCTTAACAACAAATCGGACGAATTTATATCCACCATAAATGGTGTCATTTTTGTTCTTCACGTCCTCCGTGAGAAGCCAATCAATTTCTTCGATTCGAAAGATGTTACGAAGATTAGGAAGTGGGCCCTTCCAATTTCTAATCAAGAACTGCACACGATTGAACAGTGTATGTTTCTCTTCTTCAATCTCCCAATTGACCATTTCACTAATACTTTTCAGTTCTTTTAAAAAGTCGTTGACAACGCAAAACCTATAAAGGTATACGAAGAAATCGACTTGTCCGTCCGTTTGATCGTGATCGTCGGATTCGGACGCGGACGAAGAAGAAGAAGAAGACATTATGTTGCACACTCACGCACAAACACAATCAATTACAATATGAAATACTTTATTCTTTTCAAGAATCACCAGCTGCAATGGATGCGATGAGATTCGTTCATGCTGCGACGTCGTATAGTAACACAAACTGACTGTACACAATTGAGTATTTTATAGTAATTGTAAACTCGTGGACGACGCTATACGAAGCACGATCTACGTCTCTTGACAAATATTGACTGAGCAGTGAGCAATCTGCAAGAAGTATGAACACGCGCAGTCAGCTACTGAGCTCAGAGCTGCGTGAGAGTAACTGAATTGCACTGCTGCACGACGCTATCGAAGACGTTACAACGGCCTGCGCGCCAAGTATGGAACTCTCGAGCGCCGACCAATAGAAACGCGCGAAGCAACTAACGGTTACTGCGAAACTAAACAGAATACTCTACGATTTTTTCGGCAGAAAACTTGCGACTCCGAACACTTCACTGACGAAATTCACCATATGAGTATAAGTATTGACTTCTTTCGCGTATTATGATCACCACGTCCAATCCTATAGGGCAATAAAAAACAAATCGTATGTCTTGTGAACAATGTGTTCGAATCAGATCATGGCATTTTCATTTATGTATATAAGCGTCTAGGAGTAATTAAATATTTACGACTATGCAGTTGTTGGCGTATAAAAATATGAATATTACAATTATTTAGTTAAAAAGATAACAATCTATTTCTATCCGGGTATTAATGATGTCCCCATTGTCTGCGTATTACGGGAAGGTCGTGGTCGTCGCGAATGTGATCATCGAACGCGGGCTTCTTGAACTTGTAATAAATCATCACCCCAGTCCAAACTACAATACCAATGAAAATCAGAACTCCAGTCCAAAACTTGCAATCGAGGTCCCATAAATTCGGATGGCAGAGCCTGTGCGAAGCAAAAAAAAACAAAAAAGAAGTAGAAAAAAAGGTATTGTATGCGGTCGCCTTAATATGCGTTGCGGCATCTTACCGTTGGATTCTTGTCAGCTGCGGGTTCTGTCCTCTTGTTCCCTGCTGCAGAACAAAAATATTTTTTTGTAAGTTTTTTGTATTTTTCTCTCTCTTAAAAACAATTGCGTATTATAATGTTATTTTACCCCCGAAGGTAAATGAGTGACTACTTCTGGATTCTCAGACGCTGGATTTTGGTAAATTACTACGGGGTTGTCGACAGTTCTTGCGTCAGTTTCAGGCGTTGGGACACCCTCATCTGACGGGCTTATGTCATTCTCATCTGACGTGAGTATCGGTACCCTTGACACCGGTCCCAGCAAATTATCCGGTGGCTTTACCGTCGATTTCGGTGATGCCGGTAGTGGTCCTTCTACCACTGGTGATTCTGCTCGTAGTAGTGGCTCTGCCTGTTCTTGGAGTTTGTGAATCGATTGGATATGAGCCGCGACATTCTTCTGCACGAAAAGCTGACCCTCGTCTCCACTTGTTTGGGCCCCCTCCAAAGCCGGTGAATCCAATGACTGAGCCTTCGTAAGAGCCTCATTGGACTGGCTTCTGTCGGGGGTATCCGATTCCCGTGACAGCGAGGACGAGGACGAGGAGTGAGGACGAGGAGGAGTCCTTTCCTTCTGTATCATGTTTGGCGGCCTGTAAGTTATCAAAAGTTGATCGATACTTGGCTTTCGAGGCGACTTTCTGGGCGACTGCCCCGGTGCCGGCTTGTCCTTTTCTAGCGTCATTTTTCGGTCGTTCAAAAAACAGAAACGAGGATACACGTGCGTTTATTATTGAATCGGTTCGTTCAACGTCGTCCGCGATACTAACAGTTACAAGTTTTCAATTTGACGTAATAACGTAAAACAATACGGACCGCTGTGATGTTTACATCGCGTGTACCATACACGACGATGGGAGAAAGAAAATTTGAAACACAAATCGATATTATTGCTACTGGAAAAAGTCTCCGAATTGTATACCCGTTCATAACGAGGGACTTTAAATTCGAGCGATTAAAGAGCGTAAAAAGTTATTTTCATGCAAAATAATTCAAGATAAAAAACCCTCTTTCATTCGATTTCGGGCCCCTGTGCGTTTGTTATTATTCATACCCGCTAGTTTTGAATATTGCATATTGGCAGAGTGTATGTGAGAGTCGCATTGAGGCCTCGGCCTGTTCTCCCCCTCCTCGAGCCAACGCGCGGCGGCTGTAGAGCGTGTCACGACTCGTCGTGCTTCGACACAGCACGACGATGATGAGTCAATTCATCGTAATCGCAATTTCGCACGGCAAAACTTCGGGTCAAACTTCAGTCGCAAACTTTATCTTTTCCTTACTTTCTTCCGGCACCGGCAAGTCCGATTACTCAAATAATTGGAATAATTCTATAGCATTCAAATGTTATATTGGGTCACAATAAGTAGGGGACTGCTTATAGTCCGGGCGCCAGCTATGGGTCGAGTATACATTTTCAGGTCCATAAGGTAACCAAAGCTTTTTATAGGTTTTTTGGTGTGCTAAATCGATTTAGCTTGGTTACCAAGCGTTAAAATTGGTATTTTAAAAGTTATTAACAAATTTATTGTTTATAACTTAAAAAATTTGTTTAAAAAAATCTGAAAAAATTCACACGTATTCTTTGACTAATTCTAAGACTATTTTGTTCTTTGCATTTTTTCGTTTTAGACGTTCCTTAACGAGTTAGAAAATCGCAAAGATTGAAAATATGAATGGTTTCTGAACAAATTCGTGCGTAAAAAAATAACTTTGCGATTTTCTAGCTCGGTAAGGAACGTCTAAAACGAAAAAATGCAAAGAACAAAATAGTCTTAGAATTAGTCAAAGAATACGTGTGAATTTTTTCAGATTTTTTTAAATAAATTTTTTTAGTTATAAACAATAAATTTGTTAATAACTTTTAAAATACCAATTTCAACGCTTGGTAACCAAGCTCAATCGATTCAGCACACCAAAAAACCTATAAAAAGCTTTGGTTACCTTAAGGACCTGAAAATGCATACTCGACCCATAGCTGGCGCCCGGACTATTACTTTTGTGCCTGAACAGGAAAAAGAAGAAGACTCGTCGAATTGCGCGCAGCCCCTATATACGCTCCCGTGGCAAAAAAACCCACGATTATCGCATGGGTTTTTATTCTAACATGAGATCGTATAGTGATATTGTAAATCAGTATAACTTACGATGCCACAGCGTCAACAACAGAGAGAGATCGCATCGAAGGCTGCAATTTATTCTTGCGAAAAAGGACAAATATTTCTAATTGAAAGCGATTGTGTTATCGTAACTTGTGTGTGAGAGTGCGCAGAAAAATGTCTGCGTCTCAAGACAAATCTCACGGAGACGCAAATCACCTTGAGACAATCTCAAGCTTAGAAAAACTGAAGTGTTTACGAAAAAATGTCAATTGGGAGGACAAAGAAGAGCGACGCGAGTTTCTCAGTCAACTGCATCCCTTGATCGCGGATTGGAAAGGCCAAATGCCAAATCTCGGAGATATTTTTCGTCCCGAAGAAATCGATTGACTTCTCACAGAGTCCGTCTTATTCGATAACATATTTGACTCAAATTCACTCATCGACTTTGTAATCGACACTGGCTACAAGGACGAGCTCGTCTTCGATAAAGACGGCAAGCCACTGCTGCGTCGAACCACACCGCTGCACCAAGTGGTATCGATCGATTTTGGCAGTTTGTTGCCGAAGCTTTTCAAAATATACCAGAGATCGGACGCAAACTACACCACCGAATCTGGATTTACACAATTTCATGTGGCCTGCATGAACGGCTTTGACGACATCGTAAAGGGATTCCTCGAGCTCGGCCTGGATCCCGATTGCTTTTCCGAAGAACCGGATACTATGAGCTCGGTCGATCCGCCACTACACTTGGCTCTGCGAGGGGATCACTGGAGCACGGCCGAATTACTGCTGAGAATCGGCGCCGATCCAAACTCATGGGATACAGACGGATGGACAGTTCTGCACTCTTTACACAATGAAGAAATGGCGGAGATGTTATTTGAGTTCTGCGACGAAATCGAAAAGCCAGTGCAAGTCGACGCATTGAACCAGCAGATGGACACGCCATTGTGCGTGGCCAGCTGTGTTCGTCGTATAATGAAAAATTTATCGAGTTGCTGCTTAAAAGAGGCGCCGATCCTAATTTACCCGATGAGGGCGGATCGACACCTTTACACTTCATTGCCAGGAATCATTACCGGCATAACGATGGATTGGCGGGTCTATTCTTCAGGATCATCGACGAGAAACATAAACAGGTGCAGATCGATGCCTTTGACAAGTTGGGCCAGACACTGCTACAATTAGCTGTGGCAAACGTGCAGCCAGGTGTGGTCGATGTATTTTTGGGTCGTGGCGCTTGATCTGTCTCGCTTCGTTTTTCCCGCAAAAAGTCACTTCGACGGGGGTGTGCAGCCACAGTTTAATAGACATTTCAAAGTCGAACTAGCGTCTGGCCTGCTGTTCATCATCGAACGTCTTGAGAATAAAGGTTACGATCTAGATCAAAGCGATGCTATGTATGACCATTATGGAATTGTTCGCCAAGTACGAATTGTTCGAAAAGTCGTCGGTTATTGACGAACGTTGGTACGACAACGAAACATTTTCGACAACAGCCAAAAAATGCATGATGAATTCGAGTCTATCGCTCTACGACGTCATTCAATTGCGACCCGAAAAGGCGAAAAAACTAGTCACATATATGGAATACTTCAAATTTGCGCGCAAGAATCATCTTTGGAATCTCCCTGACACTGAGACTTTTGCCGTGCGTCTGTGCGAGATAATGTCTAGAGGATTTTTCCGGAAATGGGCACTGGATTGTTTCTCGAAGCTGATAAGACACCGACTGCTAATCGAGTGCTGTGAAATGATCAAGAACCTAAAGAACGAAGATTTATATCATATTTATTGTGCGGCTGCAGACCCAAGCACGTGATGACGATGAGATTTTTTGCAACATGTTTCAATGTCTTGTATTATTACATGTTTGTACATTTGTCATGACATTCACATAAATAATGTAGTTTTAAAAATTTAATTCATTAATTTTCTTAGATTTTAATTTTTTCATTTTAATCTTATCTTAGTTTTATCTTCAAGAAATCAATTTCCCATTGTATGATTGTATCATTACTTTCCATTTAATTGCTTTTGAGCTCCTGCGTGTCTGCAATCACTCATACTCGCTCGTATGCTGAATATTGTATATTATCGACTGCAAAAGTCGCTACTATAGACGACACATTGTAAGTTGTGCTGTGTGCACGACAAATCGCAATACTCGTACTATACTCTGAGGCTGCCCACGTGCGCCTCTATGATTACTTTGGGAAGCCAATTGCCGAAGCTTTCGTCGGCAAAAGAAACTTGCGACTGCAACTTGTCATTTCGCTAACATCGAGCCTGTCGCAATTTAAGGTTAGTTTTGTTCTTTAATTATTTTTGTAATTATAATTCTTACTCGAGTATGTAAATTTTCTTTTTGATTGAAATTATTGATTAATCTTACGATACTGCTCGATATTTTTATAATTTACTTGAGTTACGTCATAAATATGTTTCGGCGCTGCCGGTAATTATACACAAAATGTTTATTATTCTATTTGTTTTTAGGTGGTGTCATCGGTGAAGGTAGCTTTTGAGTACAATACCATGTACTAGGTCATTGTACATCATAATCAGTGATAAAACAAAAATTATACGTCTATTTGCGCAATGTTGCGTTCGATTGGGATAATTGCCGTGAGGCACTGCCCGGTTAAAAAATCAAGGGCGTTACACACAACCAAGCTCAATCCAGTTGACATTTCAGTCAGTGTGCAGGATCCAGAAAAAGTGCAAGCCGCCCCTCCCAGTCTTGGACGAGCTCTGTACTTGGATGCTCAAGCTACGACTCCTATGGACCCCAGAGTCCTTGACAAAATGATGCCTTATTTGACAAGCTATCAAGGCAATCCTCATTCAAGAACTCACATGTACGGTTGGGAATCAGAAGCTGCCGTGGATCATGCTAGGCAGCAAATCGCAGACTTGATAGGAGCCAATCCTAAGGAAATTATTTTTACTTCTGGTGCAACTGAATGCAACAATATAGCTATCAAAGGTGTAGCCAAATTCTATAAAGACAAGAAAAAGCACATTATTACAACACAAACAGAGCACAAATGTGTACTAGATTCTTGTAGATACTTACAAGGAGAAGATTTCAAAGTTACCTATCTACCAGTTATGTCTAATGGCCTTATTAATTTAGAAGAGCTTGAAGCTGCTATGACTCCAGAAACATCAATAGTTTCAGTAATGACAGTCAATAATGAAATAGGAGTTCGGCAACCAATTGAAGAAATAGGTCGCTTATGCAGAGAAAAGAAAATTTTTTTCCACACAGATGCTGCTCAGGCTATTGGTAAAATTCCAATTGATGTCAATAAAATGAATATAGACTTGATGTCTATAAGTGGTCATAAAATTTATGGACCTAAAGGTGTAGGAGCACTTTATGTAAGAAGGAGGCCAAGAGTTCGATTAGAACCTTTGCAAAGTGGAGGTGGTCAAGAAAGAGGAATGAGAAGGTAAATGCTTTTAAGAGCTCTTTACATTAAACAATACAAAAGCAAGAATTTATTAACTTGTATTTTGATTTTCAGTGGTACCATACCTGCTCCATTAGCAATTGGCCTTGGGGCCGCTTGTGAAATAGCTAATAATGAAATGGCATATGATCATGAATATATTACAAAACTCAGTAATCGCCTTATCGATGGAATAACAAGTCAATTAACTCACGTCATTCGCAATGGTGATCCTACTTATTGGTATCCTGGATGCGTAAATCTTTCATTTGCATATGTAGAAGGAGAATCATTACTTATGGCTTTGAAGGATATTGCTCTTAGCAGTGGTTCAGCTTGTACAAGTGCTAGCTTAGAACCAAGCTATGTTTTAAGAGCAATTGGAGCATCGGAAGACTTGGCACATTCTAGTATCAGGTTTGGAATTGGCAGGTTTTCAACGCTGGAAGAAATTGAATATACAGTTGTTAATACTGTCAGGCATGTAAATCGGTTGAGAGAAATGAGTCCACTGTGGGAAATGGTTCAAGATGGAATTGATTTAAAAACAATCAAATGGTCGCAGCACTGAATTTTAAGATTGCGCTTGCTAATATACTTTTTTAATTGTATGTACATATCTCTCTGATTCCAGGACTTTGTTTTTTTATTAAAAGACTTTTTAAATTGTATAGTAGTTAAATATTGTTTAGTACTTAAATAAAGCCTTATCAAACAAATCCTAGAAAAAATTTTCAATAATGCCCGCCATCCAAACTGGCGACATCTGCCGAAACTGTTCCGCAAATAGGTCTGGTCGTTGCCGTGAAAATTTTTGCACGCGAACGTGCGTGTGCAGGGGATAACAACACACAAAATTTGCCAGCAGCAGTAGCAGTCTGAAGTCTCAGTAGTCAGTGATCTCATCTTCACTCGCGTGTTTATATTATTATACACGCGTAAAAATGTTCTGCCAAAGTTTTTAAGCTCAGCGCGGTTATTAATGAACGTCCGGCCAATCGAATAGATAAATACTTAAAAACCGCTCAAAGATAATGAAAGAATAAATAGAGCCAAAGTGTGCTATAAGCTGACAAATATTTTGGTCTTATTAAAAGTACTGCTACGCTTGCACTGAGGGTGAGTTATTTAAGCAATTATCTTAGCGTGTTTATTATGATAGCGAGAGAGCTGCGCATCGAAAGCATGTATAGGATTTATTTTCTCTACATTACGGATCGAAAATAGCTTCCGGAGTTCGCGTAAGCTCGCGCGCGGTTCAAGGTGAATTAATCGCCTTGCGTAGTGTCAACGACTTTGAAATTGCTGGGTTCGTTGCATTTTTACGTCGCTATTGAATTCGTGGAAAATTAATTAACGTCGACGATTGCACTCGTGTATCGCGGACAAGGCTTTTCTTTTATTGCTCAATTTCTTTCTCCCTCTCTATCTATCTTTCTCTCTCTCTATCTTCTAGCGTTCAACGCCGCGCAAGTCACGACCCTAAACCCGACGTTTAGCAGGCCGAAAATAGGAGAGAAAGAGTGAATATAATAGGTATGTACTACCATACATACATATCGCTCTGTACAAACAAGCTTTAACGCACATATATAAGCTCGGTACTGCTTTGCCCTCTCGTTTATTCGCAGAAATACGCTTCATACCTATAATGACCAAGTGCGTAGCGGTCGTAATTTTTCTATTACGGTGATCTCCATTCGATTGCAATTAATTTTTTGTGTGTGTTGTTATTGGCTGCAGGTGTCTCGTGAGAAGAGCAGTACGATTTTGAAGAGCAACGCACTTCTACAGCATCAATCAATTATGGAAGACGAAATCGGTGACGGATTATGCGGTATTCTGCATAGGCTGTGGTCCATCAATATAAACGGCATGTTTTTGCGTGATTTAAAAGCTAATTTTTAAATAAACTAATAATTGTACAAAGTACTTTTTTGCTTATATTAACTTGTGAAAGTCACGCCAGTCAATTTATATTAATGACTTACATTGACAGCCAATGGTGTTAATGTTTGAAATGTTTCATCAACAATAATGTTCTACTATTCATTTTTTAGATGACGTTCATCAAGATGTTCGGTTTATGAAACCATATACAACTGATGGTACACCAATTCGAAAGCTATTTATTGGCAATATATCTCAGAGAGTAAGTTTTAAATTCTTGTCTTAATCAAATCTTTGCTTATACATTTTAAAATTTCATTTTTATTACAGACTTCTTGGAAAGATCTGCAAAAATTATTTGCAGAATATGGCCCTGTTGATGGCTGCTACGTTAAAAAAAATCCTGGTAAAAGCAATTATGCTTTTGTAACTTTTTGCCACAAAGAGGATGCTTTAAAGTTAATATTTAAATAATTTTACTTAAATACAAATGATTGATTAATGTATAATTAACCATACTTAATTTATTTTTAGAGCAGCAAAAGCTGGTCATATGAAAAAAATTCATCTCCACAACAGAGACTTGAGAGTCGTTCCAGCTGATTCATGGCATCAACCAGACAGCATTGAAAATTTACAAAAAAAACAAGAAAAGGCATCGATGGCTGAGGCAGAAATCAAATATGATTTAAATCCAGATTGTTTAATACATGGCCTAAATGATGATTGTTTAGTTCATATATTCAGTTTTTTACCTATTGTTGATAGAGTAAGAAGTGAAAGAGGTATGGAATCAAATATAAATTTAATTCTACTATACATTTCATTTATTCAAAGGTAAATGTTTAATTAATCACAACAATCATATTTACTAGTATGCAGAAGATGGCGAGTATTAACACAATATTCGTGGCATTCTTTCAAGCGAATTGATCTATCTAATTCAACCTGGGGTATCAATTCTGAGATTCATCCAATAGAAGTTGATACACCAATTCTTAGAAAAGTTTTACTTCGATGCGGTCGTTACTTAACTCACATTGATTTTTCTTCCTTTGGAAAAAAATTAAGTAAAAGCACTCTAACAGTTATTGGACATTGCTGTTCAAATCTTCAATCAGTTGATGTAACTGGTCTTGATGTATCTCCAGCTGGTGTCAAAGCATTAGCTTCAAGTTGTGAACAGCTCACAGAATTCAGTTTAGGACACTGTTCTTCTTCCTGTGACCCAGATTTATCAACTTTGTTTTCAAAAAATAAAAAATTAAAAAGTGTTAAACTCTCGCAAAATGGTTCAACTGGTAAGTGCTTCCTCAGTTTGACCGGAGAAAGTTTGGAAGAACTTGTAGTGGAGAAATGTCCTAATATATCACCATGTCATTTTTCGAAGGTATGTTTTGTATTGAATATCAAATTTTTTGTAAGTCAACTGTTCTTATGAAAATTGTTTTTTAGGCTATACAATCGTTTACCAATTTGAAAACGCTAATAATCGATAAATGTGTTAGCTTTAATGATCAAGTTGTGAAAGCAATAAGTACACATGGAAAAAATATTTCAACTTTGAACTTGTGTGATTATTATCCAATGATAAGCAAGGAAGTTATGCCACAACTGGCATCATTAGAAAACTTAGAAGTACTTGATATATCACAGAACTATTTAGTTCAAAATGATTTTCTAATTGCTATCTCAGTTCATTGCAAATTGCTGAAAAATGTAGATATCACAGGTATGAAAAATATTCATATTTACGTAAATTACCTAATAATTTTGAAAAAACTTCATAAAATTATCCGAACTTTATTTACAGCTTGTGATAAAGTCGATGACACAGGTCTAGCCAGTATTTGTTCACTACCTTTGATTGAACATCTTACTGTAAGTTATATTGGAAATATAACAGATGCAGTGTTAGTAAACATGCCTCGATTAAAAACCCTCGAATGTCGGGGCTGTCCACTCATAGGCAATAAAGGTCTAGTTACACTTTTAGAAGAATCACACAATCTATGGCTGATAGATTTATCTGGCTGCAATTTGATTTCTAATGAACTCATTGACTCTGCTATTGAATCAACAAAAAGTAGAACTAACGGAGTGGTTTGCAAAATGTACGTTGGCGGTACAAAAGTGACTGAAACAAAAAAAGTGTCTCCATTTTTGCAAGTGCTTAACGTTGATTTATGCGAATATTATAAGCGACCCGATTTCGATCACAATCAGTACAATTTCTTCCCGGACGAGATGTACGATTTGTATGATATGGACGATGATTACGGCTTTGATAATTTTAATGAAGAATTCGAAGAAGATTTCGAATATGATGCGCTTTACTCTATGGATTTCCCAGATTATGATAATATGTTTGAATTTTACCATGCCAATGAAAGTGATTTGGATGATTAACCAAACGAATTAGTTTTTAAGTATTATTAAGTTGAATAACACAACTGCTGTGAACACTCCTTTGAGAAAATGTTAAATATTAAGAATTGTTATGAAGAATCTAAATATGTATCGATTTCATCAATATCGTGACATTTTAAGTGAAAATGACACTTTGCACGAAATTTGAAGATTATTTAAAATTTTCAAACTAAACGATTTTGAATGTTTTTTTTATGAACATATTTATGCATAAATCAATACTTAATTATTTACTTGAGTGATACGTTTTTGAAATGTTATGAAAGGTTTATGAAGTGAAATCATGTAATTATTTTTTTTTTTAAGAGCACAAAGTCAATTCATAGTTATATTTATTATTTACTGTTATTTAAATACATATATTAGTCAGGTTCACCGGCTGAAATTTTTGAAACAATTTGAATCAAAAATAACACTCCAATTCATTCATTTATTGGAAAAAAAATTTATTAAAATATTAAAACTTCTGACATTTATATTTTTTTACTTAATTTTACTGGCTTCCAGAGCAGTATAATTTATTGTAGCAGCACAGGTCAACGCCATACTCCAAAGGAAAGCCGCAAACAATTCATTTTGTAAATATAATTCAGTTTAAGCAGAATTAAACTACTTAAGAAATAGTACATAAAATGAATAATGTTGTGATCTTTTAATAGGATGCCGATTATATAATTTATTTACAAATGAAAAATTATACGGTCTATGAATAATTGTAAACATTAGTTTATTAAGTAGACTGAATAAAACTTATATAAAATTGATCTACGAATGTGTGTGTTTATAATAATTTATTATCCATAATATCTTTATAATCAATTAGTATTCATATTTTAACAAAGGTACTAATATTAATAATATAATAACAAATCAGTTTAGTCATACTGTCTGTTCAGAAAATTTTTCGATAACTAACTATGTGCAAGTCTTCTTGAAGCACTTTCAAATTTTTTTTATTTACAATTGTAAAGTGAAATGGTTTATTTACATCAAAAGTGCATTGTCATTATTTTTAACAAAGTCAATTAACAATTTGACAGACGTTAACGCAAACTGACAAAATTGACAGCTTTACTCACAGGAGCAAGTGCATAGATTCCAATGAGTGCTGAGACAAACGATTATAATTCACATTGAGAACCTACGTCGAGAACATACGTTCCAAACGTTTTCTCAAGATTTACATCTGTAAAATAATGTAGTACTCATGGGTAGAAAAATTCAAGCTAATCTTTACACATGGAATATGTTCAAGTCTTGCGATTTTGTTTCTTTATTTGAAAAAGCTTAACAACATAGTGATAAAATTTCAACTGAAACTTTCAGATTATCATTCATAGTTTGATAATAGAAATTGAATTTCACGTAGATGATCATTGTTAGTATAATAGTTAAAATTTCGAAAAAAAATTAATGAAATAAACGAACCAACAATGAATTAAAAAATCTAAGATTAATGCATCTGGAGGACATTTCCGATCGCCAGCGAGCCATATACATTATTATTCTATTAACATTTTGCTGTACGGAGAAAAAACGTTGCTATAATATTAATAACATTTTATACTCCTTGAAAAAGCGCAGAAAAGATATTTTCCTTTACTAGTTTAAATCATTTACTATAACTCGCTGATACTTGTAATATATTCAAACACACGCTTATAATCTAGATTATAATGCACCATTTCGTACAAGTCGTACGCAAAGTCGTAGGAAAAAAGTTTTCAAAACGAGTAATATTCAATTTTTATCATAGAAATAGAAATACAAGAATTGCAGAGTCAGTGAAGCGTTGTACCGCGAATCTTATCGTGAAATGCACTTTTTGAAAAGGTTTGATTTGGGATAAGGAATGATTGTAAATACAACATAGCAAAACTGCATATAATACCGTACGCTTTTCAGTTCAATCATTTTGGAAGTTTTGATATCATAGTGAGTTTCAGTACATAGTAATAAAGTGAATATGCAGTTACTTTCATTCAAAAGCTTTCATTACAAACTACAATATACATCACGGCAATTTGATCGTCTTTTTAATTTTTTTAAAGTTTTAGCATATATTATAATGTATGGCAGAAATGTATCGAACATACATATGAGGTTTTTTCTCGAATTTATCAGTCCATTTAAATGTATTTAAAAAATTTTTTAATTGGTTAAACAAGTACTATTTTGAACTGAAGTATTAGATGTTTGCTTTATTAAAATTCAAGTGTATAATGTTTATAAATTGGATCAATTTTGATCGAAGAAGCTTGATTTAATAAAGATATATACAGCATTCAGGTACAAATCTCACAAAAATCAACGCATAAATGCATTTATAATGCCACAACACATTCAATATTATAGATTATATCGCTATATACTTTTATAATTCACTCAGGTATTTTTTTTTCACGCTATACTGTTAGTATTCCAAGTAGATTATTTTTATCCTTTTTTATTTTCTTGTCTATTACAGAAGAACTCGTTTTTTTATAGTATATATGTCATATATATTTTGAGCAAGTAGCAGTTGAAAATTATTATCAAACTTTCTTGATTATTTTATTTGTTCTTACATACTTTTAAATAAAACGATGTAATTTGACAAGAAAAAATAGTATAAAACAAATTGTTAAAACATCAGTGGCGAGATACGAAAAAAAGGTAGAGTTAAGTTAACAGCCTCATATTTCACGTACCCCTTGGCATTTTTAAAAAAATGCTTATGCTCCTATTTACACATTTAACACATAAAACTCTTGTTGCGCGAAAATACAAATTCTGTACAGCAATATGACACGGTGTTCGATACGATCGTTTCGATGGGCAACTATCTTTGTTATCACATAAATAAAATTGACTATTATCATCAATACAAGCATACGTATATTTTATATTATATATAGTTAAACATCTACGAAGCTTCAATATAATTATATATCCGTTGTGGGAATCGACGATCGTAACTGAATAAACAAATAACAACAGAACACTAGAAAGAGACAGAAAAAAAAAAAATTAAAAGTACGCCACTGTGCGGAGCGTGCACATTAGTTACCGATATCAAACTCTACACACGCGTTGAGTAAAGTAGGAAGAAAAAGTACTTGGAGACAAATTAAAGGAACAAGAGTTAAAAAATGCGACTCAAGAGTATTGGACGCGGATACAAGTGGTCAAGTATGTAAGAGTGACATTTATTCAGGATTGTACGTTAGCCAAACGCGTCGGGGTCGTAGGCTGAATCTCCATTGTTCTGCACACCCAGCCGGCGATGTCGACGTTTTCCGATTCTGCTTTTTTGATCCATTCGTGATTCTGCGAAGAATGAACGAAATTCGAGTTGACAATTAAAAAATTCCCACTACTTATAAAATAAAAAATATAATGATGTTGCACTAAATACCATGAGAGTTTTTAAATCCGCTCGTTCGGTTGGATTCTTTTTCAGGCAACGATTAACAAAGTCCGTGAAGGAGTCGCTGAAAATTCCAGGTGGCAGCTTTGGCGGTGGCTCGTTTACAATGTAATCCAGCAGCTCGAATATCGCCATGGGCCGTGGACTACTCGGATCTGGAATATGAGACAATCGATTTCCAACTGGAAATTGGGAAAATGGGCGTTTCCTGTCTGGAAGCTGAGATAATCGTTTGAAGCCTAGATTTTGCGATGAGTCGATTGAAAAAAGTAAAAAAACAAAAATTAAATAAAATGATGAATGGATGCATTATAATGAAAATAATGAAAAAATTATAAAAATATAATAAGAAAAAGCGGGCGAAGCAAGAATGAACGATGAATAAAGCACGCCATTGATAATATATATCAAGTACTTTACCAGCTTGACTATCGTTTTTATACTCGAAGTGCACTGGCAGTCGACCTCGAGTGGCAAAGACAGAGAAAAAGAAATACAGGGTAAAAACGCTTTCCACGCTCTTACTAAATGTATCTGCAGTATTATTTTCAATTCACATTATAATAAAAAAGTCGTTCAACTTACTGTGCGCTGGAGACGGATTAATCAGGGCAGCGGAGCTGTTTGCTGGGCCCGCCGACGCGACCCCCGAAGACGTTGCACCGGTCGAATTGTTGACGGAATTCATGGAGCCCGCCGCAGCCGCGCTGGCTTCGCTGCCCGCGGAGGGCGACGCCGCCGCCGCCGCGGCCGCCGATGTCCTGCCGAATATCGCGTTGATCGTCTTCTCGTCCGGGGGCGGAATCGGATACATGCCGATGGCCATTTCGACGAGCGACAGGCCCAGAGACCAAATGTCGCTCTGCACGGAGTAGTGGGTGCCTTGGAGACGCTCGGGCGACATGTAGCTGCGAGTGCCGACGAACGAGTTCGCCATGGAGTCGATCAGCTGTCCCGAGACGCCGAAGTCGCAGATCTTGATCTCGCCGGCGCTGTTGACGAGTATGTTGCTGGGCTTGACGTCGCGATGCATTATCGCGTGCTTGTCGCGCAGATAGCTCAGACCCTTGAGCACCTGCGAGCACATATGAAACAAAAGAGTAACGTTAACGTCCGGCCGTGTGTCTGTGTGTATATAGGTGTGTAAAACACCGATCCAACCTACAAATGCTACCGATTTGATCAACATTCAATTCAAATACAATCAAGCACGGAATTATGGCCAAGGAGTTGATCAGTAGAATGTCAGCGAAACTGCCTCATATCATCAGCGGCGGGGGCGGTATAAGCGATCGCGAGCTCGAGGATCTGCATCGCGAGGTCGACACGCACGACCACGTGGTACCCATTCAGCGCCTCTGCGAGAGACTCCAGACTAATGCCGAAACGGGCCTCACCGAAGACCAAGCTCAAGAGGTGAGTAATAACTGATCATAAAGTCAGGGCAGAGAACGTTTTTAGCTACATCCCCATCGATTTAGATCCTCGAGCGGGACGGACCGAACTCTCTGCGTCCGGCCAAGGTCACGCCCGAGTACATCCACTTCCTGCGCTGCATGTGCGGCGGCTTCGCGCTTCTGCTCTGGCTCTGCGCGCTACTCTGCTTCGTCCTCTACGGCGTGGGCGAGCTCACGAATCAAGACGAGGAGGGCATCGAGTACTTCGGCGTGATAATCGTCGTCATCTGCATCATCTCGGGCCTGTTCGCCTACCTGCAGGAGACCAAGAACTCCAAAGTGATGGACTCGTTCAAAAAGATGGTGCCCACCAAGGCCCTGGTGATTCGCGGAGGCCGCAAGATGGAGGTCAACGCCGAGGATCTCGTGCTCGGCGACCTCGTGGAGATCAATCTGGGCGACAGGATACCGGCGGACATCAGGATCATTCAGAGCAACGACATGCGCGTCGAGAACTCGAGCATCACGGGGGAGAGCGAGGCCCGGGCGCGGACGGACCATCCGACCGACAACAATCCTCTGGAATCGAAGAATCTCGCCTTCTTCTCGTCGTTCTGCGTGGGTGGCGCGGGCCGAGGCATCGTCATAGCCACCGGCGACGACACGATGATCGGCCGCTTGGCCGGCTTGACCACTCATCTCAGCAAGACCGAGACCACCATGGCCAAGGAAATAAAACATTTCGTGCACATCATCACGTTCGTCGCCGTCGCCTGCTCCGTCCTGTTCTTCGTCATATCTCTCATCATCGACGGCAACGTCATCCACGCCTTCGCCTACTTCTTGGCCATACTCATAGCCAACGTGCCGGAGGCGCTGCTCATCACCGTTACCACGAGCCTCACCCTCTCGGCCAAGAAGATGGCCTCCAAGAACTGCCTCGTGAAAAATCTCGAGGCCGTCGAGTCGCTCGGCTCCACCTCGACCATATGCTCCGACAAGACCGGCACCCTCACGCAGAATAAAATGTCCGTATCGAACATATGGTTCTCCAGCACGAGATACAATGTCGCCCAGAATCTAAATCTCGGCGTGGATCGTGAACTGCTGCTGGAGATTCCGGCGTTCAACGTCTTCATCAAGTGCGCAACTCTCTGCTTGAGGGCCGAGTTCAAGGACGACTCGGACGAGCAGTTCGAACTGATCGAGGATCGACACGTTATAGGGGACGCTTCGGAGACAGGTGAGCAGCAAACGATGCCTTCCTCCCAGGATCACACATTGACGAAAATTTTCCACTGAATAGGAATCTTGAAATTTTGCGAACACATCCATCTGACCAAGACGTTCCGCGCGTCTTTTCCAAAAATTGCTGAAGTGCCGTTCAGCTCGGTTACCAAGTATCAACTGTCCATCCACAAAGACCTCAGCAAATACGTTGTCATTATAAAAGGTGCACCCGAAGTCGTGCTGGAATTTTGCAGTACGGTCCTGGTGACCGACGGTACCGCGAGACAAATGCTGCCCGAGGATTTCGAGATCAGTCGCAAAGCCTTCACCGAGATGGGCTACCGAGGCGAGCGAGTGCTGGCCTACTGCGACTTCGAGCTACCTGGTACGAGATAATCGTGTTCGTTCTGACGTTTTCTTCATACTCGTCCATTTTTCAGAGGACCCCTACGATGAAAATTACGCGTTCAATACGACGAGCATCGAAAAGTACAACTTCCCTCTCAAAGGCTACCGATTCGTTGGCTTCATCAGTCTTCTCGATCCGCCGCGTCCGTTCGTTTACGAGGCGGTGCACAAGTGTCGCACGGCCGGCATCAAAGTCATCATGGTCACCGGCGATCATCCTGTCACGGCCATAGCCATAGCCAAGAAAGTCGGCATCATCGGCGAGGGTCACGAGACCAAGTACGAGCGCACCATGCTGGCTTCCTCGACCAGGGCTTCGTCGACCAAGTCCAATACCACCACCTCGAACGAGGAGGAGGCCATCGTCGTGACCGGCACGGAGCTCAGGACCATGGACGAGGGCCAGTTGGATCATCTGATCAAGAGCTACGAGGAGATCGTGTTCGCGCGGACGTCGCCTCAGCAGAAACTGCTGATCGTCGAGAGCTTGCAGAGACTCGGCGAGATCGTGGCGGTGACCGGTGACGGCGTGAACGATTCGCCGGCTCTTCGCAAAGCTGATATTGGAATCGCCATGGGCATCACGGGCTCGGATGTGGCGAAAAATGCGGCTGATATGATTCTTCTCGACGACAACTTCATCTCCATCGTTTTCGGCGTCGAGGAGGGTCGGCTCATATTCGACAATCTGAAGAAATCTATTGCCTACACGCTCACGTCGAGCATCCCTGAAATGATGCCGATGCTTGCGAGCATAATTTTCGCGATTCCGCAGCCGTTCGTTTTGGAATTGGTGCTCCTAGTCGACATCGGTACGGACCTGCTTCCCGCCGTGGCGTTGGCCTACGAAAAAGCCGAGTCCGACATAATGCGTCGTGCGCCGAGAAATCCTCAAGTAGATCAGCTCGTCAATAAGAGGCTCATATCCATGACATATGGTCAGATCGGAATGACCCAATCCATGGCTGGTTTCTTCACGTACTTCAGCATTCTCATGTTTTACGGATTTCTGCCGAAAGATTTGATTGGCTTGCGAGCCGACTGGGAGAACAAAAACATCGACGATCTTAAGGATTCTTACGGTCAAACGTGGACGTACGAGAGACGAATGTCGCTACTGAACGAAGCGAGAACTGGATATTTCTTGTCCATTGTCATTACACAACTTATCGATCTGATCATGTGTAAAACACGAAAAAATTCCATTTTTCAACAAGGCATGAGTAATTGGACTTTGAATGTTTCCATTGTCTTTGAGATCGTTCTGATTAGCTGCTTACTCTACATACCGGGTACAGAAAAAGTATTTAAAACAATGCCATTAGACTTTCATTGGTATTGGTTTTGTCTACCGCTGGGATTGATGCTTTGGATATATGACGAAGTGAGAAGATATTGGATTAGAAAAAAGCCAGGCTGTTTTCTCGAAAAAGAAACTTACTATTAAGCCATCTTTCATTACGTTTGAAAATCTAAGAATAAATGTGATGTATTTGAATATTCATTACCGCAGATGTGATGGTTCCTAATATTGGTTCTGGTATTCGCCCAGCTTTTTTAAGTATAAGATCCAATGATCCGCCATCCATATATTCCATGCAAATACTAATTTCTCCATCACTAAAAGATGTTTTATCAAGATTAGTATGCAGAAGAACTTGAATAATTAAAGAAATTATAAGAAAATGTTACCTGTAGAAAGCACCATAAAAACCAACAATGTGAGCAAAGTTGCATTCGTGGAGTACTTTGAGCTCCCTGATGATTTGTTTTTTGATAGCAGGTTTGACTTCTAAGTGTATAAGCTGTAGTAAGTGAATAAAAAGTTGTTATTAAAGTCAATATTTGTAAGATGTTTAAAAAGTAAAAACTTTTCAATTGTAGATTCTATGAATATTACATGCCTTCATTGCCATTATGAGTCCGTACTTTTTATGCCTAACTTTCATGACAACACCACCATTTCCAGCTCCAAGTTCGCCAAGTTTTTCAAAGTCTTCATCGCACAACTCGCCAACCTTCTCTTTTTGACCCAAGAAGCTTTCAAGTCTTTTTCTCTGTTCTTCGTCCATGCCAAGTTCTTCTAATCGCTCTTGAATAGCATCGATGCTCATTTTTCCCATTACGCCGCTAGTTAAAACAAAGCCATGTATCAATGTTTGATAAGAGTTTAACTATTATAGGTATGACATTGTCACAGACAGTTTTTTTCTCTCTTTCTCTACAATGATCCAAGCAAGCTCACTAATAATAGCACTACAAAGGAGTTTTTTCTCTCAACTTTAGCGTCCTTGAAACGATAAATCAATCTTTCGCGTTATCTATCTCGGCTAATTGTGCATCGCACGTAAGTATAAACATAAGGTAATAGGAAAAACTTACTCTGGTATGACAGGAGCTGCCTCGTTGTAAGCTGCTGGTGCAACTGGTGGCGAGGGCGAGACCGGCGGTGCTGGCTCGATGGAACCAGGTGGTAGGGTCAGATTCAGCTTGTTCTTGGACATGACGAACGCTGCGATTGTAAATAAAGGAAAAACAACGAGGCGCTGATCAGCGAGGATAGATCACAACTCGCAGACGACGAGTATCGCGGCGACCGAACTCGACGGTGGCCGCAATAAACAATGTAAAACACGACAACAACGAAGCTGTCAACAATAGCAAGTAGAATAACAATAACAAGACGAAGAACGAGAGACAGCAGCTTCTAGACTATATCGAGAGCCCCCGAGTGTGCGTATAAGAGGCTCCTGGTCACTAATGGTCGAGCAACAGGCTGACGCGCGGGGGGGTGGCTGCTGTCGCGATCCCGGACAGTGCAGCCGAGCGCGATATTATTATCGTAACCGCGAGGTCGTCGGCTCGATCGATTCACCGAAGCCGAGTTATTTCGGGTGATCACTATTAACTACCACTGCCTATTATACACTTGTGCGCGCGCGAGAGAGCCGAGAAAGTGTCCGAGAGGATGCGTATATGTATCGACTAATGTTGTACACCACACGCACACACACACACACACACGAGCAGCACACAGGAGAGTCTCTGGAGCAGTAGTATACTACATACACAGACACACGCACTCACTCGCGTATGGGCGCGCGGCAATTGTGTATATTATTATACGTTACGAGGCACGCGCTGACGCACCACCAGACACACATGCACAAACTGTATGTATACCGTCGCGGCTATACACGAGAGCAATATTATAATGTATCGGCGCAGATGTATATAGCAGTATACACACTAGACGCACACACAGCAGCAGCAGCTCTTCTCTAATATCTGTCTGGCACTTTGTGTCTATAATATATGCTATCGAGCTTTGCGCGTGGAGCAGCTGGATTTTTCTTCTCTATTCCTTATTATCTATATAGCTGCGCCGAGTGCGCGCAGGTCTATTCTGCTACGAGCAGCGGCGGCGCGTCTCTCACACTCGTATGCGTGTATATGTCTGTGTGTTAATCCCAGGATCCTCGAGCTGTATATGAAGCGAGCGAGCCGCAGGTGCGGATGTTTGACGTGCAAGTCTGCGTCTCCAAAGTCCAACGTCTATGTCTGTGTGCGTGCACTCGAGTGTACACAAACACGTTGACACATGTAGCGCCCAAAGTCCAGACTCGGCGCGGTGGCAGCGGCGCGTCCGACTCTCTCCGATAAGATGATGTTTTTTTAGCCGCCTCGGAGTTGGCAGCAGCGCGCGTCGGCCGAAAGACGCAGAGTGGCCAACGTTGCTTCATTCGAGCGCGCGACGTTTAAAAGACAAAGTCACCGAGTCGCAAAAAAAAAAAATAACGGCAAAAAGTGTTGTAGTTACATCTACAGCAGGGTCCGCGCCTTATCGTTGACACGGACCTGTCAGGTTAGCTCATTATTCTTTCTGAGATGTATCGAACACTGTTAGTTGTTTCTCTTCAACACTAATCTACTGCTCTATCCGATTACCCTAAGAATTGGGCGTTTTCCTCGACCGATGCGATTTTGTCGCCGTCGTCCGGTCATTGGATCGCGTCGTCTTCGTCGAGCAGGCATCGCCACCGGTACCCTTTTTTTGAGCTCCCTCCTCTTCCTCTTGTCGCTTCGGTCGTCGTTGTCGTCGTTGTGGCACTGCTCGACGCGGCTTCGCCTCCTCGCCGCTGAGTCGCCCGCGCGCAGGGCAACTCTGGCCTCGGCGAGTCACCGCGTCTCTAAACTCCCGTACACACACACGGACAGACACACTCGCGAACGCACATCGGAGAGAGAGAGAGAGACATCCCGCTTTTTCGACCAGCGGCGGCTACTTGTGACTATCGACGAGCGATCGACGTTTGACGTACGGTCACAAATATCCCATATAGTTTTGGCTTTTCTTCATCCTCTTGGTGGCTTCTTCTTCTTCCTATTGACTTCCTTGGATTGCTTCCTTAAACTTCCTTTGACTCTTCCTGTTCCTTCGCGTAGCGGCCTGCCAAATGATTGGTGGGGGGATTGCTTCGCACCAGAGGTTGTTGGCTCCAGGGTGGTTCCTCAGATCTGGTCCATAGGTTGTCCTAGCTGTTGGATTGTTTGTTTGTTTTTTTTTTCAGTTTCGATTCGGAGCGCGAAGGGGTTTGCACTTTGAATCGTGCACATTATCCTCCCATCTAAGCGTTGAGCTCCCACAACGCGGCGAAGGACGTCTCCTTTCGACGTTGAGGCGTGACGGTGGCGCATCGGCAAACGACTGCCGACGCGTCGCCGCTTCGGGACGACGTTGAGAGGGGGCCGCCTCGTCGGTTGATTTCCTACGTCGAGCTTGGGCTCGCAGCTCCGTATATGTACTGATCCGAGGGCCGATCTCGCCGCTTGCGGGTACTCGATTCGTAGGGGGAAAAATCGTGGCGCGAGACCCCAAGCGTCGTAACCGTGAAACGATCCGCGATTTATAACACACATGTGTTAATTGTTATTATATGTAATATACATACGTGACAAAAACGATTCTCGCTCTCGGTTTTCGAAGGCCAACCACATTACTATGTACGACCGATCCGATCGAGCATGAGCGCGGATCAATGCGCGCGACAAAAATCACGCGCGGCTACGATATAGATAATAATCTCTCGTCTCCTGTTCACCTGTCACAGCTCTACGTTGAGTAGCAGGCGTTCGTGTAACTTTTTGCGGGTAATTGTCGTGTGCAAGACTGATCGCGAGGATCGCGCATAGTTCTTCGTCCGCGGCGCAGAGTCCATGAACTTTCGATTATACTCCACGATCGCTGAGTACTCTCGCGCGGACAATAATTCGCGCAACGAAGAAACCGAACCGACTCGAAAATCTCAAGGTTTACCACTCTCTGTGGTGTGCGCGCTGTCTCAATAAAAACATCATCCTCTTTCTCGCTCTCTCTCTCTCTCTATATATATTATATTCCTTTGCCCAATACGTAGCGAGACTTATACAAGTTTTAAATACGAAAAATTCGCAACACTTTTTTATCGGGTCGGTCATCTCTTTCTTCGTCTTCTTCTACTTTTTTTTTCCTCCTTTGCTGCTCCGATCTGTGTCCCATTGCGATCATCGCAGCGACTTATCGCTCGTCGTTGGCGCGGACCGAGCGACACTCGAGTCTGTGCAGTTGTCGCCTGCGCGTCGATCGACAATCGACACTTAGTAGTACATAGACACGATGCCTCCTCTTTTACGCTCCTCGGCGTTGCTCTGCCTAGTGCTCGCGTGTCTCCTTCTCGCTGGTAGCGAGGCTCGTTATAGGCAGAAGAGGATCGTCGGTGGTACCGAGGCCCCGGTGCCACCCGTCGACGATCCCGTCGTCTTCGTGCGCAAGGATGACACGGAAGCCCGCATCTTCGGCACCAAGGACAAGCAGACCGGTTACTATCTGTTTCGGGGTATAAGGTATGCCGAGCCACCGGTCGGCAACAGGAGATTTAGGGTAAGCTTGCGATATCATGTAATATTTCTATATTTTTTAATACTAAATAATATCATTGAACAATGAGAAAAATACTAAAAAAATTATAATGTTATGATACGGAAAAACTACTTTTTCACATAGTACAATTTTCTATAGCATAATAATTTTTATGAAAATTTTTGAGTATACTTTTCGATTACTGTGAGCTTAGTGATTTTTCCTATAGTATTTTTCTTGGCGTGCTCATTGAAAACAAACGTCTCTATCACTTCAATGGGACGAACGCGTGAACTGCGAGTAGCGATAAACTTGTTATCGGCGCGTATCCTGCAGTATATAAAATGTAGAACTGCACTACGCGACTATTTATAATATACAATGACTATTTATAATATGCAAAGTCAGTTTGTAGACTTAATTTTTTTTTATGTATACATCAAAATTTTTATATAAGAAAAAATTTCGTAATGTGAATCCTCGGAAGAAGTGTCATTGGGTCGTTTTATATCGTTTTTCGTTATTTATGCTGTTTTTTATGTGGGCATACCACAATATACATAAATATGTTTTTTGTACACAATAAACTAAATATACTGAAAAAATAATAATAATATCGACGTTCCCCGCGAAGAATAACCGCTTCCATTTAAATTAACACATAAATTAGCACATAATAAGCCCGAGTAAAATCTTCAATTTTACACTCTCTCTCGCAGCGATCGGTACCCAAGTACCTCGAGGGTGAGCTGAACGCCACCGAGTGGGGCCCACCCTGTCTCCAACCGGGCCCCGGCAACGAGGGCACGATCGGCAGCGAGGACTGCCTCTTCCTCAACGTGTTCACTCCGGCTCTGCCCGACGCCACCGAAGGTCACCCGGTCGTCGTCTGGATTCACGGCGGCGGCTTTCGTCGCGGCGCCGCCACGCAGTACGAGATGAGAAACCTCGTGGAGAAGCGCGTCATCGTCGTCTCCGTTCAGTACAGGCTCGGATCGCTGGGTACGCATACAAAAATAGATCGATAATGCTATACATTATAAAAAAATATTTATAATCGATGCACACTGCAGGTTTTCTCAGCGACGGCAGCAAGGATCTGTCGGGTAACAACGGCATGTTCGACATGATGCAAGCCATCGAGTGGACCCGCAACTACATCGAATTCTTCGGCGGGAATCCCAAAAAGATCACGGCCTTCGGCCAGGGAAGCGGCGCCAGCGCGGCTTTCCTCATGGGTCTTTCCAGCTTCGGTCAAAGTATGTGAATTTGCATAAAAAGCTCGCTGTGGTTGCTTGTACGCATATTTTAACGTGGATTTTCTCGCAGATCGTCTCAGCGGCCTGATCGCCATGTCGGGCACGCCACTGTCCAACTTCGCGATCGACAAGTCGCCCCAGAATCACACCAACACCCTGGCCAAGGTTCACAACTGCTACCGCAGCACCTCCGTCGAGATGGTCTACTGCTTGCGCAAGCTGCCCGCCGAGACTTTCGTCAACTACGACTCGAAGCGCGAGACCTTGTTGAAAGAGCCGCAAAACTTCGTTACCGATCTGTCGTCGATCCTCGGCACCGGTCCCGTCGTCGAGGGCCAGGACGATCAGAGGTCGCTGCCGAACTTCGTCGAGTTCGAGCCCGAGCAGACGTTCACCATGACCGATCGCGTACCCGACATACCGATCCTCACGGGTGTCGTCAAGGACGAGACCGGAAGCGCCGTCGAGAGCAGCTACAAGGACATCATCAATCAGACCCTCAAGCGCATACCCGACTTCCTGGTCAAACAGCTCGTGCCCAGTCTGCAAAAGATCGTCCCCTCGATCGGTAGCGTCGTCAAGACCTTCGTACCCGAGGCCTTCGGCAAGTACCTCAGTCCCTTCGTGAATCCGAGCGGCGGCCGGAACAACGGCGGCGATCCCTTCGCCACCCTGGCCAAGGTCACGGACGCCCTCAACGACGCCATCTTCAACGTGCCCGCGTTCCTGACCGTGAAAAATTGGTCAAAGCACTCCAAGGCTTTCCTCTACAGCTTCGATCACGTGAGCAAGCAGGGATTCGGAAAGCATTTCTTGGACGGATCGCCGCTCGTTGGGAATTCCAAGGAAACCGGTTCGTACATAGCATATACGAGGCGCCCACGCGTAATTTTATTATTATGCCTAGGCTTGCACTCGGTCGCGATAATAAATCATTTCGATCATTTATAAGTAGTGGATTTTTGTAAAAATTTTTTTTTTCAATTTCAGGTAAAACTGGCCACGGCGATGACCTCGGCTACATCTTCGAGCCAAATACCATCGACGGTAAACCGATGAACATGCCAGGCTTGGCTGGCGAGGACATGGAGGTGCGCGAAGTCTTTACCGATCTGGTGGCTCAGTTCGCCAGGAGCGGCGAAGCTATGGTCAAGACCAAGGCAGAGGACGGCAGTATTCTGCCCATGGCCCTACCGTCCTTCACGGGTGGCAACGAGGACGACAGCTTCCTCAGTATCTCGGCCAAGCCGAAAGTAGCCAACAAGTTTAGGTGAGAACCGTGGCTCATTTGTTTTATTTTAAATAGGAGAAAATAAGCAAAGTAATCTAACGATTTAATTTTTTTAAAGGTACTGCGAGTTGGGCCTGTGGACCGGCGAACTGGAAAGACTCAAGTCTTCCTTCTGCAACTTCTTGTTCCTTGACTCGATCAAGGACCCGATCAAGACCGTGCAAAGGACCTTCAACACCATCTCGAACGTACCCCGGCTCGCCAAAGTCGCCGAAGTCTCGGACTTCCTGGATCTCAGCAAGATCGATTCACCTGTAAAGATACCCCTAAACCTGCCCAGCGTGAACGATCTGCCTGGCAACATAGCCTCTGGTATCTCGAATTTGAACCCTCTCGGGTCAGGCAACAATCCCGTGGGCGCCGTGACCTCCGGATTCCTGCCTAACGATCAATCGGGCGCGGCGACGTCCTCGTTCCTGCCGGTACCGGTGAAGGACGTTTTTCCGCTGCACACCCCGACGAGGGACGTGCCGATTCAACAGAATCCAGTGAGGGATTCTGTGCCCGTTCAACAGGTATCGCCGCACAGTCCACCAGCGGTGAGGGACGTCGTGCCAGGAGCTCAGGTCTTGCCGAGCAATCTGTTCGGCACCGTGACGAATCAGGTGCTGCAGCCGAGCAACAACAACAATCCGTACACCTCGACGACGCAGTTCCACGCTCCCGCGATTACGACGCACTTGCACCAGTACACCAGGCCGTCACAGCAGCAGCAGCAGCAGATACCGAGCAATCCTCTGAATCGATTCATTGGCTGATCGCGACGAAAATTTCCATCTTACCAACGGCAACGACGGCGCACACGTTTTCCCACAAACTGCTGTTTCTGATTGGAATTATAAATAATATGTATCGTGTTTTCGAAAAATTGTTAAATTATCACTTTGTATCTACTCATACTGCTGGTAAAAATTTCAACATTTCAAAGGTGCAATTACAATGTAACGATTAAACTTGCTATTCGAAGCGCTCTTTGACAAGAAGTTCTAATAATGATAGATAAAAATTATCGTATGTGCTTGAATAGAAAAACAAATATTTACCAAAGTCTTAATTTTATTTATGTACTAATCATCGTAAAAAAACTTATTACAAAGTACACAAAATGCATAACGATGCACAGTGAATGACAGTACACAATTGATACGAACACGATTAGTATCAAATAAATAAAATTCAAATTACAAATTGTTCATATTTGTTCATGTGTTACATTTCCAAAGTAGAAAAACTGCTCTGAACAAGTTTATAAAACTATTTATGCTCCCTTTGAGCTTTTAATTTTTCATTTTTGTCAATAAACGAATTTACATCCCTCAGCATTTCAGTCGCTGCTTCAACTACTTTCTCACTTTTCAACTTTGATGCTAATGCAGAAACTGCTAAACTTTTTTCATGTTTAGATAGAGCAGACTCGAATGCAGCTTTTGCTTGTGCAAATTCATAAATTTCCTTATTGCGTTCAAATAGAAACTACGTTTGATACGCATAATTATCCTCTTCGCGTATAAATGGTCTTATCGTTATATCAGGTTTCGACATATCATACCGAAGACAATCTTCGGAGTCAGGTTCATCCTTATGATCAGTATTTATATGGTAATCTACCCATTTGATAGAAAAGAAAAGATCACCACAGGTGTGGCAAATCAATGTCCTAAATTCTGGGTGTCTTTTAGTTACGTGATCAATCAGTCCTTGCAGAAGGGAACACTGTGTCCCACATACTGCGCAATTGTATAGAGATGGAAATACCGAGTCATATTCCATTGGCGTGTCCATTTCTTTAAAAAATTAAAATAATAAATATAAATTAAAACTTTCATGACGGAATATTTTACTACAAAAATCGAATTATTCTTACTTTTCTGCTGCCTACTGAGCGACTAACCGAATCTGTACATGTGTTCATTTTTACAATACTATTTACATCCGTCAGAAAAAGTTGATCAAAACAATGTATGCGAAGCTTAACTAAGTAATTGATTAATATTAATCTCTTGTCTTGTGGACAATTAATATTTATTTGTCAAAGTAACATATTAGAAAATTTTATAATATAGCTTAAAAAAATTTTTGTGGGAAAATTATATTCAAAAAATTATTTTAATTCTCTTTAGTGAGTAAACGCTAATGAAACGCCACGATTCGCCTATGAAAATAATTTTTTTCAGCTAATAGTCGAAGCGATATCCTCGCAAACGTGGAAAAAATAGACTAATGGGTAATTTTTGCGTCATTACCTCCTTAAGGACACCCGGAATGTGGAGACCAATCTTACTTTTGAGTTATCCCGTACCAATTTGTTTAAATCGATTTTTTTAAACAAATGAAGAAATTTTAAAAATTTTTGCCAGAAACTTTTTTATTCAGATAATTTCGACCATTCTAAAGAGAAAGTTACTCTTGATAATTTTCTCTAAAATGCATAATTTTCGAGTTATAAGCGATTCAAAGTAAAAAACTCGCTAATTTCGTCATATTCAATCGCTATACAACATGAAAAAATTATGTTTTCGATTCTTCCAGTGCTCTTTATTAATCTTCAATTATCGCTCTATCAAGTCCCATAGCTTTTTTTCGGGATTTTTAATGATAAATCAATCTTACCCATCGAACTTGGGCTCGTAGCCGCTTCGAGACACGAACGCGACGATCGGAAATCCTGCCGTGCAGTCTCTTCTCAATCTCTTCATGTCCTCTTTCAGAAGCCAGTCGATTTTTCTGGTCTGAAAAATTTCTCGGAGATTCGGAGGTGAGCCGTGCCAACGCCAGATCAAGGCGTAAAATTGACGGAAAAATTTACGTCCCTTATTTTGAATCAGAATTACTGAGAGGAGTTATATTAAAAATACTTTATTTATCTTTCCTTAGGTTTAACTGTCCGTTTCGGCAGAATCGATGCTGTAAAAATTCTTGTATAATTCAGTTCTTCATTTATAAAAATTCGTCCGATATCCATGAAGCAACTTCGAAATTAGTGATGTACTATTTGAAAATAAAAAATCAATTTTACAATTATAGGAAAATGATAAGTTTCTATTGAAATATGAAAAAAAATAACGAACTCATGTTTTTTTTTTAATTTTGTTTTCAGATAGCAATATATTGCCAATATATTGCTAAAAAATTTTAATTTTTATTTGCAATAGATCGGCAATATATTGGCAAATGTAAACTTCTTATATTTTTTAATAACACTTATTTATGGTATTATTTTCAACAGTCGATTCGTACACATTTTATAAAAGTAAAAATAATGTAATCACTGATTACTAATCAGGATATATGAGTACTCAATCTAAAGATTTCTATGTTCCGTTAAACTGTAAATCTGCCGTTTGACTCGCAGGCGTTTGTTCGCTTGAACTGTGCTCGCACAAATAGAACAGATCCTCGTAGCTCATACTCTCGGCAATCAGGTAACATCGTAGGGCAGATCCAGTCGGCACCGAGGATCGCTCGCGAAGAGCTCGGCCGCAAACAATTTCAAATGTCCCCTTATCAAAATGTTCCCTATGTGTCTCTTTACGATCTGCCGCAACAAACGTATTTCATTGTCGTTCAGCGATGGCACGCGCCAATCGTTCATTTTTTCCAAAATCGAGTAACCTTGACGATAATTCATTTGGCACAGTCGATAGAGTGAGATGTCGTCGTTCACCTCGATACCTTTCAATGTCTCTACTTCGATCTTCAAATTATTCATGAACCATTGGTTCCATGAAGCATCGGGTATATCAACCAGTTCGGCGTACGTTCCTGGCAATTTTTTCCTCGTCGCTTCGCGAAATTGGCGCAAATGATTCATGGACTCTGGTCTAATGTAAAAACCATACTTATTGATTATGAATAAATTCTCCACGATCTTTGAGTAAGAGTATGCTTCGTGTGCGCCTACAGAATAAGGAGATGAAAAACATTATGGTACCGTGAATAAAAGTAACTTAACGATAAAAAAAGGTTGAATGACTCACTGTGGTCTGGGATCAGGTGGTCCTCGTCGCTTTCCCGAATTTTCATCCAATACTTTAACATTCTATGCCGGGTCTCGTGACTGATCTCGCGACCGGCCGACTTGAGTAATTTCATCGTCTCGACGATGTCCAAAGTCAGCGGGTAGCACTTCAATTCGTGCGCGGAGAAATCGTCGTGCACGGCGCTACGGAACCATCCGCCCTCGTCCAGAGCGGCCACGTCCGCGCCTCTGTCCAGAAGCGCTCGCACGAGGCCCTTGTCGTAACGCGTCACCGCCACCCCCAAAGGAGTCAGGCCGCGACGATCGCGCGCCTCGATGTTCGCTCCTGCCTCGAGGAGCGCGTCGATTATCCCCGCTACCGGTCTTCTCTCGTCGTTGAAGTAGATGCCCCTGGCTGACTCGAGCACGCAGGTACGCGCGAGCGCGTGCAGTGGAGTCGCGCCCGCCTGGCCGGCCTCGTGGTCTTCCTCGCGGTTCGGATTGGCTCGGCCTTCGCGCAGCAGCAGCTCGACGCAGTCCAGACGCCTGAACCGAGCGGCTACATGCAACGGCGGCGAGCACGCCCACGAGTGCGCGAGAGGATCGTCGTCGATCCCCCAGGTGGCTAGTTGACCGTTGGCACCCATGAACTTTCGCACCAGGTCCACTCGGCCGATGGCGCAGGCCCCGTGCAAGAGCGTGAAGCCCAGCGCGTCCCGATGATTTTCCGTGAAACGTTTCAAAATGTATAGAATGAGATCGTGGAACTGAAGATAATTGTAAGCGGCTCGTTCGACCAAATAATGAACGGCTGATTTTCCATCCTCCCATCTGAACGAGTTGAAAGGCGCCATACCGTTTTTATGGAGCGCTTTTAACATCGCCAGTAATCCATGCTCCAATGCGAATTTCATGAAGTATCTCGTATTATAGGCACTATCGACACTAGGAAATAGGCTTTCGCACTTCGTCAACTGTATGATCAAATCCTGAACATTCGGGATTCTTAATTGGATCGCACCTTTGATTTCGTCACAAAAATATTTACGTCTTTCCTCTTCATTTTCTATGTTTTCCAGAACTATTTTCCAGTCTTCTGGTCGTTCATTGTTCAATAAGGGCTCCATAATGGAAGGAACTTGAAATGAAATTAACTTGAGCGTAATGATAAAGTTTCAATTTATATGCCACTACCGAGCACGTGGTCGAAATTTATACAGCACTAGCACAAACCGAAAGAGAGTTGTACGTAATAGTTGCACTGATAGATGCAATCAGACTGATCATGAGACGAAAGACTTACAGTGTGAGGTGTTTTTTTGAAAGCGCATTAGAAAGTATACATGCGCAGTGACGACACAAAGCCGGCCTGCGTGTGGCGCGGACTATAATATAAACGCATCGAGACCCAATTTCTGTCCACGTTAAACGTATACATGCGCGAGTCTGGTCGGTTGCTGCAAAACTGCTTTAATATGGGGATTATTGTTCAAAGGCACAATGTAATAAAGACAAGAGTCCAGCACGCGTAGGAGCTCCTTTCAAAACGATATTTATGATATTATGCAAACGAGGCATTATTTTATTATAAATCCGCCACATTGGCCGAGGCAATAATAGATAGAATCTCTCACGGAAATTACAAGATCGCAGACATTGGCGAATCGATTCGCTAATATGTTTTCTTCCTTGCATCATATCTACACGCACCGACCGTCGTCGTCGTCGTCGATCGCTGTCTGCGCGATGTTGTACGCATCTTATGTTTTTCGAATTCACGGGGAAGAGAGAGGATAGAAGACGGTAAATATTGCCTTATATACTATTTTATTTTTGTCTCGGCTACTACTACTACTACTACTACTACTCGCGCACCGAGTTGAGCAAAAAGTTGACCTTTATTGAAAAAAAAATTATGAAACAAATCCCGTCGATTTAATACCGCCATAATCACGTTTTTTCTTTCTTTCTTTGACGATCATCTCGAGCGAATCGCCTCGATT